CTGATAACATAGATGATAGTGATGACAATGGAAGGATACCTAAGACCTGATCGTGCTTTATCGCTTTAGCTCAACATTTTATTTTTCTTAATTTTCGTGTCTGTGCTACGATGAATATTTTATCGCCATTACTTCATATTGTAGTAAGTCTAGATACATTTTTTTTTTCAATATTATAATATTTAAGTTTTAAAAGTTAGTAGAGCTCTAAAATCATATCGAAAAAATTAAAAATTAATATAGTTCATAGTGATGATAAGTTTTAATAGGATTTTTTTATAAAACTAATTTTTATTGTAGTTTATTTGCTAGTTTAAATGTAATTGTTATAAGCGAAACTAGTAGTAGTTGCGTTCATACTTTTTAAAGTGCTCCTGGCGAGCAGTCACATTTCCTGAAGCCCATTGACTTGTCCGACCCCTGACTGTGACGGCGTTTTTATTTTGTCACAATAATAATTGTGATTGTATTGAATTTTCTATTATCGCGGCGACCATCATGGCGTTTCCGCCGGAATCGTTTTGTCGCCGTGTCTGCGAGGGACAAAACGGTTTTCTTTTCCTCTTTCTAAATGTATTCAACACGAAACCAGGTCGATATTGAGCTATGAATAAAAGAACTAGCGAGTCGTGTTGGGGGCGGGCGAACAGGCAGTTATGTGATTGCCGCCGACTGCGGGTGTTTTCCCTCCCATCTTTCTCACAATCGTGTTTTCTTCCCTGTACGTGCTTATATATATATTTCCCCCGCCCTCCCCCCACCGTTCTCTTTATACAAGTTCACTAAAGTTTTTACGATCCTTCGGGAGTGAGGTGGGGGGAGGGGACCATTGCGTACGGGCAAAAATATATTGGTAAACGCGAATGGCGGGGGATGTGCGGTAAAAGAAGAAGAAAAAGAAGCCAAAGAGAACGGAGACGCGTGCGCTCAACAACCGCGGCGTTCCCCTCCATCCGCTCCGCTCCTACGTTAGCGCTCACCACAGTCGTTGCACTCGGCACCAGTGGAGGCGGCGGCGGCCGTGACGACACGGTGCCTGACGGACCACGAGTCGCGGCGTCGGCGGCCGTGTAGTCGTTCGTGAGCTTTGGCTCGGTGTAATTGACCGCTGACGCCGTACAGCGAGTTATCCGTACCGGCGCGTTATTAAAAATCGGCCGTATTGTGTTCCCAATATTGCTTTGTTTTGATTTTTAAATCGTTCTGTATTTTTGTATACTTATTAACTGTTCGGGAGGAGTGCGCTTGTGTGTTTTTGATTTATTCAATTATTGTTTTGTCGGTCATGCCGAAGGAATGCCGCCCTTTGAACAGACCTCCGTTGCCATGACCGTGGACAGTCCGGAAAGTCAACCGGTAGACAATTTTTTTTATCACGTTTTTATTTTATGTATTGTATAATATTATATAGAAATAGGGTGATGAAGTGGGGACGACTGCCAAATTTGTTGTAAAGTGATAATTGTTAATACGAAATGACTTTAATCAACCGACGTTAAAGTGTTACAAGTTATTATATGTTGTATAATACAACCTAACCTAACGTTGTTCGGTAACTTTTTCTTAAAAAAATTGTTTTTTATATGAAATTGTGGTGTTTGGTCCTACTCGGATTTTTTTTATAAATTTTATTCGCATAAACGTAAGCTCAATATTGTGTTCGAGCCGTTATTGGCAGTCTCGTAGAATTAATAATAATAATAAATATACGGCCGTTTTTAACGCGCCTTTAACGCTTCGTTTCGGCCGTTTTATGTACAACCGAGAGAAGCAGCCTATACGACGTTTGTTTATTCGTTTTTTATTTTTATCCGCGGCGTTCGTTTCACTTTAACTGTTCGTTTTTACGGCCGGTTTAAAGCCTACACGAACGACTTTATGGTGCCCGGGACTAGACGAGGGTTTTTTTTATTTTATGGTGTCTCCCCCGTCCGTGCGCCGGCGATTCCACGTATTGCCCTCCGGAGTTTTAACTGTGAATCAAACTCCCCTATATTAGCAATAACAATATCGCAGAACACACCGACACAGTCGAGTTATTTTACTGTCTAAAGGCTTTTTATATGAAAGGCGGCTGGGGTGCCGGTATCACTTGTTCAGACCTTCGTTGAGATTTCCTTTTATTTATTTCTTATTTTTCCTCCTTTTGTTGTTGTTATCTACTCTTTCTCTTGTTATCTTCCCCTCTCACGTGGCACTTTATAAGTACGTCCCTAACCTATACTCGTTCAACCGAAATGCCCGACCTCCTGTGTATATTATATTGCAATAATAATACATGCAATATTGGGTTTGTCTTATCTACATCTTGTTTGCACGTTTTCCGTAGCCTTTATCCGTTTAACCTATGCTGTTTTTTTTATCTCTTAATATAGTTATAATTATGGCGTGCAGAATGTCTGATCGAAAAAAATACCGGGACAAAGCATTTTGAGGTCATCGTGAGGTCACAGGTCAATTTCGAATGGACGATTCGACGCAAAACTGTAGACGTTAAAAACAATTAAATTATTTAAACACACTTAATATACACATTTTATAGACACTTCATTTGTTAATGATGTTAACAGGAGCTCAAACATAAAAATAAAACTACCAATTAATATGTACTCAACGTGAGACATTCATTTCTTCAAAAAATAATAACAAATTTATAGTTTTTTTTTTTTTTTAATTTTATTGTTTATGCTTTGCTACGATTATATAACGTTTCTAAATATTTACCTTTTTGATATTTTTTGTAGACCTATCAACTTTTGAAAAAAAACATTGTTTAACCAAGAAAAAAACCAATATCCGCTGCTCGTCGCAGCTAAAACAATTTATACTATACATTTATTATGCTCATATTCTTCCTTTAGACAAATGCGTTCTGTCTGATGTTCTCTTATTTAACATTTTTTTAAATGTGCGAACCCGTTTGTGTAGGTATTACCTCTGCCGTTTTTGTGCTTACCCGCGTTTTTCATATTATAATATCTACAAGTGCCCCGTCATTCAACCGTGTCTCGTCGGTCTTTATGTTACATTATGATAATAATGTTTTATATTCACACTCGGTCTATGTAGGCTCATAGGTTCGTCTGACGGTTATCCGAATAATAATAATATTATATTGTAAAATATGGATATTTTTTTTTTTTGCCGTTCTTATACCTTATTCAGCGACCCGTAGAACAATGCACGCTCTCTGGAGATATTGAATATTTAAAATCTCTGTTCGTACAACATCCGTGCACGTTCCCGGTACACGATAATAGTATAATTTAACCGCACGCGCTACCTGAAAAGACAATAATAATGTTTTACTATTATAAACGTAAGGTTTACTTATGGTATATTGTGTGTTTTTTTTTATTTTGTTATCCACGCATGTATCTTATGCATGTGTTTCTCGGTATATCGGTTGTTAATTACTCGTTGTATTGTCTGAGTTTGCGGAAAAAAAATACTCAAACCAAAAAAAAAACCAGTGAGTTTTTTTTCCAGAAAATATTTGGTATTTAACCAAAAATCATGGGTTGGTTTTTTTTTTTTTTTTATGCTCGTATTCAATAAAATTGATATTTTTAGATAAATATCGTACAATTTATGAATGTAAAAAAAATATATATATATATTTATTATGACTATTGCGCGTAGTCGGTTTGATAAATAGGTGTTCAAAAATAATTTTACAAGTGACAACGTGTCGTCTATTATGGTGAAGTATCCTATATGGTTAGAAGTTAGGTTATGTTCGGTTTGGTTAGAGGTTCGGTAAGTATCTCCTTTTTTTTGATATTGATATATTAGAATGACTCTTCGAACTTGTTTGCCCAATAATGTAAACGACCGACGATCAGGAAAGGGTGAGAATGGCGTATTAAAGGTCCAATACGGATATCCAAAAGAGAAAGAGAGATAGGAAAAAAGCACTTTTGTCAATAATTAACCCTCGAACGTTAACTCGAATTCAATAAAAGCGGGATACCGATTTCGAGGAGTACAACGGTACACACTTGACATTCAAGTGCCTTACGGTTATTGGGGATAGTCAATATAATATAATGTTAAACCTTTTTTTTTTTGTTGTTATCGCCACCAGCCAACCTTATATTGGCAGGATAGGACTGAACTGATAAAATTGCCGTACTTTGATTTCCCATTTGAGGTGCATTTTTTGTATATTATCAAAAGACAATATTATAATCGAATTTACTTATTGTTTTGGCTCCAAAAGATTTTAAAGCTGTTGTAAATGGATGGGGATAAGGATGGAGTTGGAGATGGGGATGTTTAAGACTGCTCTTGGATTCAAGGTGTAAAAATTCAATGGGAAATCAGCCGTTATTGTAGTATGCGTGAAATATATTAAAAAAGAGAATTTACTGTTTATAGTGATTTATGCATTTTCAAAATAACGAAAATACTACATTTCATTTGCACAAAACTTATGTTGTATCTATGTGTAAAAACAACTTTATGACATATTTTTTAACATACTTGTTTATCGCTTTAAAACGATAAATCTATATTATTATTATTATGAGTATATTAAAACCGCAGGACGGCGATGGTTGTTTGTGTGTAGAAAAAAAAGAATTGACATTCTTTTAATAGTGTCTACAGCACAAATACTCTACACATATATTTGTAAAAAATATTTATATATATATATATGGATTTTCAATACCTAACAGGGGGGTTCACGGCCGTTGCAGTCGAATCGTAAACTCGCTATATACATACCCACCACGCGGAGAAGCTTATTTATTTTTATTTTTATGGTATTAAAAAAAAAATACTCTATAATCGTAAAAAGTCAAGGTTATTAAAAAAAAATCTAGTTGCAAAAATTATGGCTTTTCGAAGAGAATATAATAGTATAATACGGTACAATATAACAGTATTTTGTTTTATGTATATAGTATAATATTGTTTTATCGTCCGACTGTAAACAACCTGGACAAAAATTATGTAATTTTTTTTAATGTTATTATTTTGTTTTATTTTTGCAGGGTTCGGATAACTCTGACCTCTTCCGCGCCGCATTGGTTTCCAGGAAAGGTAAGCAAAGTAATAATATACAAACTCTCACGATAATATAAAAGGGTGAATATAGATATATATGTAGGCCAGTTTAATGCTACTTAGACCCCGCTGAGTAGTTTTCCCAAATAATTATACAAATTCAAAACAAACCCCATTTTACGGTACTGCGCGACACCTGGCGAAATTCTCGTACAAATTGAGGGGTCAGGTCATTATTGACTAATTACTATTAGGTGGTGATTAATTGGTAAAGAATGGTGTGAAATTTCGTCACAAATGGTGTGTACCATTTCGCATGATTATTTTTGGATGGTTCTAATATTTGTATTTTATTTTTTAATTGATTGAATTTACATTAATTAATTAATTGATTTTACATTACAAAAACAAATCTATTTGCCACGCGCACTTAAATATATATTTAAAAAAAAAAACCCTTTGAATTTTGAGATTCAGAAAATAGCCTCTCGCGTCCTTAACATGTAATCCACAACCTTCTCAGTAACACCAGTCAACGCTTACCGTTGTCAATGTCGTTAGCTACCTTTTATAACTTACCCTGATCTAAACTACCTTTCTCTACCTCACTTTTCATCCAAGTTCATCATTTTTACTGCTTGATTGACCTTCCTTCTAATAACATACCAATACCACATTATTATTTCTATGATTGGAATTTTTCCAATTTTTTAATGTGTTCTCTATCGTCTCATCCCACGTCCATTTTTTGTTAGTTTTTATTACACCAGTCCTGCTTAGGACTGGTGTAATAAGATATTATTCGTATCATACTTCTACAACATCAACTCCCATTATTTTACTCTCACCAACATTCAAATGAATATACCAAAAAAAACCTATCATTCACTCATAAATTACTATATACTATAATATATATATATAACTCGCTAATCTACTTTTTCAAACGTACTTTTTATAAACAAACGATTTAAAAATAAAATTCACACAGTCATGTCCCAATTAAGGTATTCAAATTTTGATCGTGACTTATTTAAATACAATTGCATTTAATTACGTGTGTGAATAATTTATAATTATTCATTATTCATTTGTTTTTTTCAAATGAATAATTTTATTATTTATTGTTTATAAATTTAAATTATTCGTAAACAGTTTTTATTTGTCGAGAATAAAATATATTTATACATTTTACAATTACACAACCAAGGTAGTAAGTGTAAATAATACATTTTTTTTTTTAATTACAAACATTTTCAATAAAAAATAAGGTGGATTACTTTTGTTGAGAGTCAAGGACAATACTAACATTTAATAAATTTAATACTAAGAAATTACTCTAATTTTAATATGAAATATTTTGTGTGAAATTTGTATTACAATTTTGAAATTAATTTTTTAATGGATACTTTATACCTAATGGGAAACTCAACCGTTATATACCAGTCTGGTAAATTAATATGTTTAACTTACAAATTGAATCAATAGTTAGTATTTGTCAATACATATTTCATACGAATAAATAAATAAAATACATATTATATATTTCTTAATTGATCCTACATTGATGCTAATTATCTTGTTTTCATTACTTTCTGTGTTCGATTCTTTACATATTATAATTTATGTATTAGTTATTAGTTGTTTGATTTAAAATTACATAAAAATATGAACTTAAATAAACTGCTAAATCAAATAAAATATATACGTAATATTAAATTATTAATTTTATACCTAAATATTAATCAGTTATCTTGCGTAACTTAACTTTGTTATTAGATTTTGTTTTTTTTAAATTTCTAATTAAATAAATAAAAAAACCAGTTATGAACTAAAAGGTTTCTTTTTTTTTAGACACATTACAATTATTACTTTTGTTTAGCACTTAACTATTGAGTTCTGTATTTTATACAGTCATTCTATTTTTATTCTTTTAGTGTTACTAATAGATAAAAATTATCATAGACCGCAGTTAAGAGTAAACTCATTTTAATTTGATTTCTTATCGTTTTTAAATATTTCATGACATTTTAATTATTCTATCCTTTTTTTATTGATCACGATTCATGTCCCTCGCATTTGAATAAACTTGGCTAACCTCTAGTGTCTCTTAACATTTTAGACCTTCCATAAATATCCTTCACTTTTTTTGTTTTCGCTACTCTTTATTTTACACTTAGAATGTATTTTTTTTGTTTTTTAATGTTTAACTTTAACGATATAACAAAACTTGTCTTTTGTTTGTCTTGCAGATGAACTGCCCGGCAGAGTTTCTTCTACTGAGTCCGGAAGTCATTCACAGCAACTACCGCCGTTGCCCTCGGTGCCGGCGGAACCGCCTGTGCCAACCGCGACACCGACACCGCCCAACAACAGGCAACCCACCCCAACCCCACCGCTAGTCAATGGCATAGACTTTGCAAACCATCCGCCGACACCGGAGACGATTACGGCCACCGCGACCACGACGGCCGCTTCGGTCGTCCCGACGTCGTCGTCCGCGGTGTCTAATCACGTCGCAAGGCCGCCTTCGCAACAGAATCCCATGATGCCACCGTCGACAGCTCCCCGGCCTCCGTTGGTGTCTCAGCCCAACAAATGTCCATCGCCGACCGTACCGCCGGCGTCCACGCCGCCCGTTTCACACAAGACTCAGCACGCTCACGTCAATGGACACGACATCTCGTCGACGCCTCCCGCCGTTGTCACCTCCATCTCCGCCGCCGCCACGGTCACCTCGAGATACTCGCCGGTAAGTCGTCTGTGTAAAAAACACTTATATTAGGGTGCCACGATGAGGTACTATGAGAAAGCGACCCTAGAATGTTTGAACAATTAATCGACTATAAAGGGTGATTCAGTATAAGATAAGACACTCATTTTCTCTCAAAATATTTGCAATTTTTTTGTTTTTATTTTGGAGACGCTTGGAGTCAGAGCTTCATCAACTTTTTAAACTTAATTGGTAACATACGCATATATATGTAATTAACTTAAATAAATAAAAAATAATTTGCTGAAAATTCTGACTGGTCGATAATCAGTTTGGGATAATTACTTCGAAACTTAAGTAACTCTAAAAGTAATAATCCAAAACTAGTTATCGACCAGTCAACATTATTTCCAGCAAAATAGTTTTAATAAAAAGTTAATTAAATGTATACGTTACTATTTAGTTTTTAAAAATTGCCAGTGCTCTGGAAAGTACTAAAAAAGGCAAATAATCAGAATATCAAAATATTCAGTAATTTTTAATATTGCAAAATAACATCAACACATTTTTTTCAGAAGTAAAAACTTGCAATAATTTTAAAAAAAGGGGCTTTTAATCCTTAATGAATCTCCCTGTAAGTACACTAGAATCTAGGTAAAAATTTACTAAAAAATCACAGAAAAATATAGCCCTCGGGTAGGATAAAAACGATTTTATATAAAATATTATCCAATTACACCTAATGTGATAATTAACGACAAGAGATTAACGATTTAATTTCTTTTACAATTTAAACCTTAAATCGAATAAGTAGTTTTTATTGAAAAATATGTTTAACGAAAGAACACATTAAAACAAACATTTTGATTAGGTTTTATTTTTTATGGTAACTTTTTTCAGTATGTTGTACGTTACACCTATGCAATATTTTCAAAAATTCTAGAACGGAATGAGATAAATTATATTAAAAAAACCGGCAACCATTGTTTTTGGGTACTGAATGTGAAAAAAATATTCAAAAATGTCGAATGAGATAAGATTTAGTGGGATATCATTGACGTATTTAATCATTTGTAGTTTATACTCGATAGGGTTTATAGGTACCCTAACATTTTTAAAAACACGAGTTTCTATTTTTTTAAATTTAAGAAATCCTGAAATGTGGTTTCAAATCAAATTAAAAGTTTTTTTTAATTAAGCAATTCATAATAATATCATAAATTAGGACGCTTTTTAAATTGTTCAATGTTACTTAATTTACTTTTATTATAGCTACTAAGGTAGCTTATAGGTCTCTCCTAGGCGACTTCAATGCGTATTTGCAGAGCCTACCTTTATCAAATAGGTATGACGATTTTTCGCCATTTGTCAAACTTTAAGATACATTCAGTGTTTACTCGTACATGTTCTGTTAGCAAAAAAATTAAGTAATGATATTCATGTATGTATATATATGCTTACTATGGTACATACACGTATATATTCTTAACCCAGACCAATAAGGTCAACGATTATCGTTTCCCATTGATCGTTGTCCGTTAGCGTTTCCCTGTCAACTCCTTTGTGTTCCCTCTGTATCTGCTTTGGCCGGCTTAAATTCTGCTTGACTTGTATTATGCTCTTCGCCATTTTATTTCATATATCCCATATATCCGAACAACAGCCGATCTTCTCATAATAAGCCTTTCAAAATACAGCCCTTAAGGTGTGTGTCGATGACGAGTGAGTTGTCCATTGGAAGAAAAGGGAAATTTCCAGGAAGGATTACAACTCCTCGACGCGAAGTGATTGCTTGTTAGACCGCTCTCAATCTTTTGTGTTTCCTAAAATGGTGTTCTACTGATTTCAAAGCGCAACAATATATCTGCGATGCTTTTTAGGATGAGCTTTTAAAAACGTTTAAGCGAGATTAAATCCGTTTGAAAGTTAATTATGTTTCTGTTTGCTCTCGCTTGCGTTGTGTGCACGGTCTCAGGCTTTAGATAAGTTTCACAACATATACATACATCCTTAAACATTTACAAATGTATGTGTGCAAACAATTGACGTTAAATATTCTTGTTGACACTGATGAATCCGTACATATTCGAACGTTTTCATATTGTCATCGTTTGTCCATCCAACACTAGGTGATAAGGGAGAGAGTCGAGAAAATCAGCTGATTATAAGACATGTTTAAAGGCAAAGAAGCCCCAAGACATAATCATGATCCAATGTAGTATTCCTTCGAGGGAGAGATAATGGGATTTTTTTTACCCAGTTAGGTTATCTTGCCCATTTACTGTAGCATTCTCGTACAATATATCATCTCTGATCTTTTCGACCACTTGTTCGTCGATCCACTTACCGTTTAAGCTGCATACGTGTGCCGTTTCTAAATTCGCTCTGTTTTTATGTTATACATCCAACAATTTTTCATTCTCTGCGCATTTCACGGTCGCTCGATTTAATATGGCCGACTATGCTGAAAAAGAAATTGCACCGTGCACCGACAGCGGCTAATGTTTCGAAATTGTACATAATTTAATGTATACAATTAATATTTTATTCAAACGGCGTCTCATAATCATCATAATAATTGTAATTATTCATTTCCCGTTGTTGTTGGCGTTTTATTAATGAGCGGACGCGGTGTCACTTCAGTGTGTGTATGAGTGTTTACAGGCACACGATGTGTTGTAATAAATAAGTAGTATGTATACCGCATAAATTACAATCGAGTTCATCGCATAATAACTATTATTACTGACCCTCGCCCCGCTTTCTGTGTTATTATTCAATTATCGCATCGAGATCAACCGACTACACGGCGTATGTATTATAAAACACAATTATTATAATCACCAACCGGTCGCTATACTACAAGGCGGATTTTTCTTTTGTAGGGCTTGCGCCAACTAGACCCTCTGAGGATTCCCTTAGTCTTAAACTAACGGACGAGCCCAAGTTTGAACAATTGAACTGCGGCTCTAATAATTTTAATTGACACTTGATTTTCTCATATGGTTTAAGGCAGATTTTAGAAATCACCCCAGCAAACACTCCCGATTCAAATGTCGTCATGACTAGCAAGGAGTCGTTTAGAGGGTGTTTAACCTAATCACTGCGCCATTGTTATTACCACGACCCTAAACCCGGTCTGGTAACTCCCTACACGGAGAAATTTAGTCGTTTTTTCCAGTATGTTTTACGCACAAAAAAAAAAGGTGACGGCTGATCAATAAACGCCCGTGGCTGCCATATTAAAAAAAACGACTACGTTTTACTGTGTAGGGAGTTTTCAGACCCGATTTTAAGTTGATGATTATTACTATTTTATCTATTATCACCTTGTTCTCCGTTATCAATGTACTATTTTAATCACTACATTATCTCTTTATCAGTATTTCCTCTCTTATTTACCTTTTAATACTTTTTTTCGAAAATTGCCCATTTCCTATTGTTGAGCAGCCATCTTTTTGGACTGGTTTAGATAAAAAAAATGAATAATCAACATTTCGTAACTGCTATTTCGGTCTCTGAAGCATGTCCTTCGCCTTTAAAAACTTCCCCTGGTTAGTCAAAGTTGCGCAAAGTTTTCTCGATTTCATCTTTCCCACGTGTTTCTCGTCAGTCTCGCCAACTCCAACACAGTGTGAGTCATAAGTGGCAACAACGCATCATCGTGTATTCATCGCACGGCCTATCTCTTCGCCGACCGGTTTCTCTTTACTTGTCCATTCTCGGCTCAAACTTTTTGCGATGTCGCGCGCTTTGGTCTTTTTCCCGTTGCGGTTGTCATTGTTTTTGCTATTATTATTAATATTATTATGTTATTATCTCGGCATGCGGTACGCGGCCATAATAATTATATTATATCGGTATTCCAAGGGCAAGACCGTGTATCGTACACGACGACGACCGCGGTCGGCATTTGTTCCAATAATCACGCAATATGATGTATTATTGAGAACATATTATTGTCGTTTTCATGTTTAGCACGCGCTCGTCGTGTTGTAAAAATATTACTACCCGTGGTCGGTTTTCCGAGAGGTAAAAAAAAAAAAAAAAGTACATACATCCTTATTAGTTTACTGTTGTTACCTTATACGAACCCGACCTACAGCTTATGGGATTTATGGCGGTGTTTGCTAATTGCTAATGGCCAACAGCAATGCCGGCGGAACGTGCTACCGCATAACGATTAATAACTGTAACGATAATAATGTGAATCTCTTTCCTCGAGCCCCTAACCTGATCGTATTGCTTTTGTCGTGTACTACAGCTACTCGTGCTGCTGCGCTCTTGTCGTTAATTAATTACCCATTTGCGTTGTGTTTGTACAGAAAACCAAGCGATTTGGTCTTTTCCACAGGTGTTTTGTCTAGGCAATCCGTCGATTAACATAACACATTCACACGGTGCATGTTAGTAATATTAATAGCTTTTTCTAATACGCTAATTGATCACGCCTTTTAAACGCCTACGGCTTTGGTCGTGTACTGTCTAAGTAGACAACAGTGTTTTATAATAAACAAATATAAAAAAAAAACATTTTACCGGTGTACAGTATGAGTAATTACGGATTGTTTTTTTTTTATGATGAGCCTCAGGCAAGAAGTTACTATAAGGTCCCCACGCCCATAGTATGTGTGAACCAATATTGTGTACCGTATGTATAAGTATATGAAACTTGGGTTATTTAAAATACTTAGAGATAACTTTCATTTCAAAGACTTTTTTTAAATATAATTAATTATTGAATGAAAACATAATGTAATTTTTTTGATGGGTAAAAGAAATACAATTGGAAATGCATTTCACAGTTCATTAAAATAAGTACCTATTTAACTAAAACTATATTTTAATGTTGTTGGTTATAAATAACGTTTTTGTAAAACTTGCAACCCTAAAGCCATTTATTTATTTAATAAATAATTGTAATGTGGCTAATAGAATTAAGAACTACGCCTCTCTCTGGACTAGACTAAGTCAACAAATTTAAAAACTCTCTAAAAATTACATACGAAACTACCTAATTTTTTTTTTTAATGTATAGAAAAACCTTTGTCTTAACTCTTGGGATTAAAATAATTTCTTATTAATTTTCTTGTAAACAAAAATCACCTTTGGGTCGGATAAACAATACTTAATTTCTTATTTCTATTCACATTCTATATAATTATGCACAACATAATATATTTAACTAAAAACTGCAAAATTTTGTTTTAAAAGTAGAAATAATTAACCAAGTAGAATAATGACCAAAAGCCAGGGAATTCTGATGACTTGCTAACACATTATTATAACTATTATATCGTATATCTGTGTTAATATAACTGCCTGGAGTCGCGCCAAACTGGGATTAAATATTTTATGACTTGAAAAAACACTTGTGATGGTGGCATGCAAAAAAAAAAGTTCAAAAAAAATGTCTGTTTTTTATAAAAAATAATAATAAATAAACTACGCTTAAATAATAAACATAACTGGTGGGAACGTAGGAAGTTGAAATAAAAACTGTTAGTTATAATAATATGCTGAAGGATACACAAACGTATCTTTAATACATTTTTAAAAGTATACTAATTTATCCTTAAATGAGTACACAAATCTTTTGTATAGTAAGCATTCTCTTTAGAGTCCATTGAATTTTTTAGGTTTAATGAATACACTTAATAAATTATATACTATACAACCCGGTTAAATTTGTTGGAAAAAGTGATCTATAATAATATTTTTTGTTACAACAATTTTTTCAGGCACCGCCGTCGTCGGGTCTCAACAGTTCGAGGAAATCTTCATCAACTCCGGTTGGCGCGCCGCCGACAACGTATCAGACACCACCGCAAGCCTGTGCGCTGTCGTTGAGCATCACCAACTCTTACATTACCCCATCGACGTCGCAGCACCCCATATTGTCGCACGCCGCGTCCAACTATATACCAAAGTCGACGGCCGCCGGCCAATCGCCGTCGCCGCTGCAGCAGCAACACTGTTCGTCGCCGTACGTGCAAAAACCACCTCACCAGATGCTCTACCATCCCGGGCACGGTGCGCCGTACCCGCCGCCGCCGTCCGGCTACCAATATCCCAGCGCGTACAAGCCGCCGCCGGCCGCATCCACCGGCTATGTGCCTCCGTACGCCTCGCTGCAGTCGTCCACGGCGACGGTGTCCGCCTCGTCGGTCGCTATACCCAGCACCGCTAGCAGCCAGATGCCGACGGTGTCGCATCCGCCGTCGCCGGCCGCCAACCTGGGCTCGCCTTACCAACCGGCCATCCATCCCCCCCAACACTTTCCGCCGCTGTACGCACCCTACAGGAGCACGCCTTACATGCCTTCGTCGCTGTCCGCCACGGCTGTGAGTACATACATACATACCTACATTATTATTTTTTTATGGTTTTTTACCACACTCGAGCCAATGTAAGACAAATACCTAATAGTGAACAAAAGAAAAATTTAACTAATTATGGTTATTCTAGACTTGGGTAAAGCGTTTTTACAAAGGAAGATGTTATTAAGGTGGTTAATGTATTTTTGTCATATTTAAGCCGGTGACTAGACCGATTATCAATTTTTCAAAAACCTAAACAAAATATTTTTTTTTAACAATGTACAGTTTAACGTTTTATGATTTATTTATCTCAATCCTCAACGAATGCCCGCAAAATGATTTTGCTATAATAATTCTAGTAAAAGTTTACACAATACTTCGGCGTTTAAACTTTTATTATTTATTAAACCCACGCCGGGGGTTTAATTTTGGCACGTTTTGAATTTATGCCGGTTCAGAACTTTTAATGTCTTGATTCGTATCAGAGTAATAAAAATATAATACAGTTCACCCTCCTTCTTTTTTTCAAAAGTTTTAGCCGTTATATTTCCTTCTCACTTTATATATAAATTTTATTTCTCTGCGGTTGTTGAGAAGTATGTAATTTATAAAAAGAAGATTAAGTACAATATTACATGTTTACAGTTCAATGCAGTTACAACCTTAATAATAGTTTTTAAACACTGTGGCCACAAACAAATGCATTATTTATTTAATTTGTTAACGGACAACGGTAATTTTAATGTATAAATTACATTTGTTTGTGGTTTACGTCATATAACTATATTATCTATAAACTTTAAACTATTAAACTTGTATTGTAAATGATCTATATTAAGATGGGCATTAATTAGTTAAAAAGTTACTTATAAAACACTTGGACACTACTCAAATACTTACAGAATTTTTTTTTTTTATTTATTATATTTTAATTGTTTCAACATAATCTTGTTTTTACAATATATTAATTAATAAGTTACATAATTAGGTAGGCATAATAGAGTAATAAAATAATTTATAAATTATTTTAATTTAGCAAATTGTACATAAATTATGAGTTGTTTTAATTAGGTCATTAATCTGATGATACCGATGATGATTCTGGAGGTAGTAAGATATCTTGTGGGAGACGTGGCTTTAGTCGGCGGTTTTTGGTTCTTTTCCCAATTTTGAAGTGAAGGGCTCCTTCTATTGTGTTTAGTTTCGAATGAAATTTTTTAAATTGTTCATTTATCCATGTGGTTAGGTATGGTATTCCAGTGTCGTTGTGGAGTTGTGTGTTTCGCATATACCATGGGGCTTTAAGAGCTATTCTGAGAAATTTGTTTTGTATCGTTTGTAATTTTGTAATTTTTGTTTGGGATGCGGCTGCCCATATAGGGCATGCATATGTTATTAAAGGTCTTATTATTGAAGTGTATAGTAGAAGTGAGCATTTGATCTGAAGTGTAGAGCTGTAATTAATTAGGGGGTATAAGATTTTCAATCGTGTGTAGGCTTGGTTTAATTTTTTATTTATGTGCACTTTCCATGTCAATTTTTCATCAAGGTAAACTCCAAGATATTTAATTGATTGATCTTTATTATTTCATAATATAGGCTGATTTTTGATTTTTAATTGAGGTGGATTTGTATATCTCTTTAAGGTAAATATTTTCGCTTCGCTCTTAGTTACAGAATTTTAAAAGCGACAATATTTTCAAGTATAATTAAAAAACTATTCAAATCTAATTGATTTTTCTAGTTTGTTGAATTTTCACAAAACTTATGTCTATGTATGCATTATAAAACTGCATGTAATTAACATAGGAATTTAAATGAATTCATTGCTCAGTTATACCATTATTAATTTTATTAACAAAGTACTGTTCAAGACAAACTAAAAAATTACACCATTAATGTGAACTTAATTGTTTTTTCCCATTTTAGGCTTAAATGTCCTGTATATGTTTATCGGGCTTCTTGTTTAAGTTACATTTAGTATTGAGTGTTCACTGTTCAATTTTTTAATACGTCGTGTTGCATTTGAATTTTGGGTTTAGAATTTATTTTTTAAATTAATTTGCACAATTTGTATGATTTTTCGGGTTTAATAATATTATGTTATCATCAATTATGTATCTTATTTTATTCTTTAGGTTTTAAATATTTAAATTGTCGAGCTTCAAAAACTATAATTAACACAAATTACACTTCTATACAAAATTGTGCGTAAGGATAAAACAAGGATGACCCGTTTGCCCTACTTAAGCCTTTAGTGTGTGTGCGCGTGAGCTTGTATAAACGCTTTCTATCGACGTTTACGATTGAATTCGATTAATTATTAAATCGTTTTTCTACCCGTCCTCGGTTTCCTAGTTTAGAAACGTGTTACACTTCCGAAAACGTTTCACAACAATACAATAATCCCTCGGGCTTTCCGGTCACAATGTTTTATTAACTAAGATTGTGATTCGCGCGGAAAATACTTCATTAAACATTATTACCTACTTACATCGGTCCGATCGATATGACCATCCTTAAAACTAGGTCAAGTACAACAAATTAAAACTTGCATATTATAGTCAATATTTAAATAATAGAAGAAGTAGATCGAAACATTTTTTCGACATGACATTCGGCCGTAGATTGCAGTCTGTTGATCCAACATATTTTCTATAACACTCCCAATCGTAGGATTTTTTTTTTTAATTAGGATATAATAAAAAATATAAATCTTATATCCGATTGCCATAATAAAAATTCAGTAACATTTTTATTGGTTAGGTACCACAGTGGTCAGATCTTCGTGTCTGGTTGTAATGATCGAAAAATATTGATAACAGTAGATGATAATTGATAACAGACACTTCAAGTAACTTTTTAATAATCTAATAAGATCAATTTGTTTATCGTGTATTAAACAAAAAACAAAAATAATAATTGTTGGTTGTTACGTCTTGTTGTCGTTATAATAATATGTTGGCTTGTTATCGCCACCGCTGAAAAAGAAAGGGGGTTAGCTGTATTGACCTCTTGCTCTTCAAGTCGTGTCGGGTTACCAGTGTAATTACCGGCTTGTTCGGTGTCTATGTTGATTAATACACGAGTGTTAATAATATATGTTAATAACGGTGTACAGAAGTGTGTAATTAAAGAATTTGGCCATGGTCAAGTGGTTGGGTGAAAACTATAGAATGTTTACCCGCGTCGGCTTACTGCCCACGATTTTGTGTATTCCGCATAGTTTACCAAAGATGCTACTTGGCCTATGGCAGAATGCCATTTTTTTTTTTTTATCTTTATTTATTGGCCTAACCAAAGCTTATAACGACTTGCTTAATGACAGAAAAAAAAAATATCAAAACAATAAAACACGCGTTTAATAAAATGTTGGCCACTGTTTTAAAAACTTGAAATATGGGTATGACTCGTATAAAAAGTAATTGTCTAGACTAAGTTAGGTAAACATGCCAATTTGTTTTTTTTTTTTTGTAACTAGAAGCCACTGTTCATAAATCTTGCGAGTAAGTCAAAAGTTTTCCTAACACATTTTATAAAGAATTACGCTTTTAATTGTGTAATATTAATTTTATACTTTCTTTGATCTAATTCTTTGTTTTTTCTCTTTGGTATTCAATCGTGAGATTGGTTTGTAGCAATTCTCTACTCTTCCCCGTGACTTGCCTTCCTCTTTGTCTCTTCGTAAGAATTACACCCTTGGTCCTTATTTCACTTGAGAAGATGTCATGTTTTGCTATTTTTTGGGATGGTTTTTACGGTGGTCTCCCCTTGCTTTCCGTATCGCAGTGCAGCCACCAGTTATACAGTTCCCGTATGTGCTGGCTGCTGTTTGGTGTGTAGCTGTTTCTACCATTGTAGGTTACCTGCACCTACATACAATATTGTAGTAGCTGCTGCCCTACTACAAGTCCCTTTTAGTCGCTCCTTACGACAGGCAGGAACAACCGATGGTCTATTGTAACCCCGACCAACGAGGGTTTGTTTTTTAAGTTATTGTAAACACCATTCTAGTAAGGTTTTTTTATTTCTCATGTCAACTCACCTGGTCGATAATTTAAAATGGTGATTGTTATTGTCATATTGTTTATGACGTTCTTTGTTCTTGGTCTCTACTTTACAAATTAAAAAATCATTTGTTCCACTAATTTTATTTCTGAGTAATTTGTTACTGTCGTTCCAGTGATTTTTAAATCAATTCTAAGAAACCCCCAATGCAAAGTAAAATAAATAACTAATTTTAATTGTTGATGAGATCGGTCGAGATTGGAAGGCGCCGAAATCGTTTCACCGAACTAGTAATATATGTTTTTTTAACGACGTTTGTGTCGTCATTAAGATCAATTATTATTGTTATGTTTTACCGTTAAAATATGTTGGTATAAATATATATGTACTCGAGTATTTTTTTTGTATGCCTAGTCGGCAAACCGTGTACAAGTAAAAGTAAAAACGTTATCCTAATAATACCTTTAATTTTTTAAACTAAATTGTCTATTAGGAATTATATTTGGGTTATTCAAAAATACAGTATTTTTATAACCTAGAACTGGTCAAAAATAAACGTAGCATTTTTATTTTATTTTTTACCACTAAAGAAAATAAAAAAAATCAGAGATTTTCTGAGGCCAGATTCGGATTCAGCAAAAAAATCCAAAATATAGATTAGATAACGTTCTTGTACCAAAAAGGTCATATTTTTGTCGTACAGTGTTATTTAAAGACTGTTATCAGTTGTGGATTATACATTTATAATTACAATTTACACATAAATTACTAACTAAACAATTTAATAAAATACTCAAATACTTTTATAAACGAGAGTATCAATTTTTAAAAAATTGTTTTTTGCATATGGCTGGAGTAACTATTAAATATTATATTTTATATGTATGCGTTAAACAGTAATCTTATTTATGTGACTTAATTCTGTTTTTCAGTATGGATTTTTTATATTTTTAATTAAAAAATTTGAACTCGTGACTTATGAAATACGAGATATAATTAAAACATTATTTGTGAATATCATTGGGCTCCTTGGTTTTACGTTGCTACCACTATTTCGTAGAGGAGAGGGTGGTGCTATGTAATAGGCGAGGGGATTATTTGTTAGCTAGATTTAAGAGAGAGAGAGAGGAGTCATTAATATTAATACTGAGAGTTCCGGCCTAGCGGAGAACAGACTTGGGAAACCTAAGAAAGTGTCTGTGTGCTTGATGTGTATATAATCATAGGATAATGTGTGCGAGAGAGAATGAGAGATAAAGAGGATATAAGCAGAGAGATATTGGATAGGTACCTGGTGTTCTCTCTCCCTCTCTCTTTAATCTTCGCATGTAAATTTTTCCTTTCCGTTAAACCGTCGAGAGATGTCTATACATGCTGTTTATTATTACTATTATTCGGTGCGTTGTTGTTTAATACGTCCTATATTATTATTAATAATGCGTCTGAAGAGAGACGGTTGTTAACGATAAAACTATATTATATATAATAATATATACGAGGCGAAGGCGAGGCGGTTACCTTCTTAATTACTATAACGAGATCCCTTTACCACACCTCCCTTCATTTCTGGGCACCTCCCCTTACTCTCGCCCCCTGTACTTTTCCACCTTGTAAAGCCTCGGCCGCTTATCGACTTTCGGTTTGTAAAACTTCTTGGATTGCCACTGCTGCTGCTGCTGACTTTCCGGTAGTTTTAATTTACCCTTCGTTCCTCCTCCTTTCTCTTGCTTGTTGTTAAATACTTAAACAACAACACCTTTGTGTCAAACAAGCTTCGAGTTTACTTTTAAATAGGTATTAGACAATTAACGTTGAAAACTTTCCGGCCCGGAACAAACGCTTATCAATTTACTCGGAGGGAAAAACATTTAATTATAAAAATAAAACTTTATAAGAATAAATGAGCGCAAACAATTTTTTTTTTTCAATTGTAAATTTTTTTTATATACCTAATCTCTTTTCTTGCAGTGATCTCTTTCTCTTTTGTTTGTGCTTTATATTTTGTTAAGTTTATAATGTTTTAGTATTTAAAAGTCTTTCAATAATATACTTTTTAAATTTTAAGATTTCTGAAAAACAAACCCCCCCCCCCCAAACTGCTTTAAATATTAAATTTTCTATTTGCAAAAACACGATTTTTTTGCCTAAACACCATTTATTTTTTTTATTAGGAAAACGGGTTTTAAAATGTTGTTTATAATTTCCTCTATTAGAACTAAAAATATTTGTTTTTCAAGTCAAAAGTGAATTTTCAGTTCAATATTTAAAACTAAAAATGTCAGGTGGAATTAATTATGTCACAGAGCATGACTAAGCTTAATTTACATTAATTACGCTTTTTCTCGAATCTATAATGAAAAAATATGTGCTTTTTAAAGTGTAATTTCCATTAATTAATTGTAAAAAAGGCTGTCTAGTCAGTTCAAAATCGAATCAAAGAGAATATAAAACATAATCTATTCTTTTTGTCTTTAGAATAGTAGCTTGTTTTACTTACCTGATTATTCGCTTTTGTGAACACACACAAGTCGCATAACGACTTTGGTAACTTTTAAGGTAGGTTAGGCAGAGCTTTTACCATTTTTTAAAAGTATTAACCGATCTTAAGGTTAAATTATTTATTTTTTACTTTTTTATTTTGTATAATTGCAAAAATGTATTGATTTTAAAGTAGTTCAGAAAAATTATTTTTGGTCAAGTTTTTTCTTCCTTCTAGAAGTGAGACCAGGATTAATCGATTTTTTATATATTAACTTACCCAAAATGAGAGACTAAATTTATTATTACAACTCAAAAACATATCAAGCGGAGAACTTAATTTTGTTTAACTTTAATTCGGTTATTGAAACAAATTTGTGTGCATTCCAAGAAATAACAGGCTTATTACAAATGAGGTTTGTCTACATTTGAAGGAACTATTCTAATACATTTGTAGTTAAAACTAAGGATAGATTTCCCCTTACCTCCCCTGCCACAAAGTTTTACTTAAATTAATGTCAATGAATTTAAACAATGAATAGACTTGACTAAAAATAATAATAATTTATTTTTGTTTTTCAGAGGTTAAGCCGATCTTCCCCAATGTCTGTGATATCAACCAAGTCCAGTGTAGCGTTGGCATCTAATCACGCAACGTCGTCATTAGCGGCTGCTACTGCTACCACTACGACTCCTTCCGTGTTGAGTAGTCACCCTGTGCTGGGCAGAGGACATTCACCACGGGGTCCGAGTCCGAATCGAGAACGCGACAGTTATAAGTAATTTGAAATTATAATGATTAATGTGACATTCCTGATCAAACAATGTTTTAATTGTTATCTGTTTCAGCGGCAACGTCAGTAACCTCAGTCGAACCTCTGCAGGTTCCGCTTCGTTGAGCTCCCCTTCACCGTTTAACGCTCCGGCAATAGCATTACCGCCCACTGTCGGGCCACCTTTAGCATCTGCTGTACCGGCTTCAGCACCTTCTAGTCTTGTGTATAATAAACCGCCTCTTTGGGGCCCAATGGGGTTAGTAGTGTGGTCTGTTAAGGGATAATGTTGACAAATTTAACGTTAATCATTTTTTTTTTTACAGTAACAACAGTATTGCTGTTACATCGTCAACGGCAAATAACACCAGGCAACATCCGTCGTCGTATCCAGCACCATTGTTTTCATCTCCCGTGGCCACATCCACCTCGCAACCTAGTTCACTGCCACAAGCAGCACCTCCTGCTCATAATCCATTCTCTGCCGAATCGCTATTTCAGTCGAGTGAGTTAAACAAAATAATTTATAGTTGTTATTACAACTGTGTACAATATATTAAATAATGAAGAAAAAGTTATTGACAAACAATATTAAATAAAACATTTATTAAAATAAGAAACAATATTGTAAAGCAAATGTGTTAATTTTAGATCAAGCAGACATGTTGAGAAGAGAACTTGACTCCAGGTTCTTGGCGTCGTCACAAGAAAGAGCTTTAGCTGTTGGCACACCTTACTTGCGTACTGAAATGCACCATCATCAGCATCAACACACCCACGTACACCAGCACACGGCTACGCCACTTATACCCTCTGTGGCGGCAGCTACCCCAACCATACCGAGCGCTTCGACTATACAACCAGCACCCAATTCATCACTTTATCCTCCTCCACTGGTCAGTAACGAGAACACTAAATGTCGTCGTATCTCATTGTTTAAATTTTCCCATTTTATTTTTTATTTTACAGTTCAAAGAAATACCAAAATTGGGCGGAGTCGACTCGCCATTTTACAGACAGAGTTTATTGTCTAACAACTATCCCGGGTTTACTCCGGGTTTGTTGCATTCGTCAATAGGTCATACACCATTTACACCACCATCTCATGTTCCCACATTTACTCCCAAGGTAAATTTACTATTGTCTCTTAATTCATAACTTACAATATTAATTACAAATGTTTTTTTAAAATTTTTTATTGAGCAGTTAGCGGATTCGTCTAAACCCACAAAGTCAAGTGTAAGCGAAATATTTAAATATTATACCAACATAGTCGAACGGTTTTCTAATTTGTATTATTGCATTTCTATAGAAACCTGGCAAGTGGAACGCTATGCATGTGAGGTTGGCATGGGAAATCTATCATTATCAACAAAAGCAGCAAGCGGCCGAATCAAAAAATGCCGTAAACAATCCGGTGCCAAAGACTGAATTACCGAGGCCACCCACTCATTTGTTTCCCCCCAACCGGCCACCACACGATCTCTCGCCATTTGCTGCTGCTCACCATCATCATACCGGATTACCTCCCGGATATTCACCTATGGGTAATGTTTTTTAATTTTTAATTTGAGACAGTGAAGTTAATTTGTAATTTTTTCATTTAGCAGCTGCAGCCATGTTTTCGAGGTACCCCACAGGTTTCCCACCAATTTCCGCATTCCCTCCGAACCCTATGAATGATCCTTGGGCACGATTGCAGCCTGGACGAGGACTGCCCACGTCCAATTCGCCCTATGGACCTGTTGCGGGATGGCAAATCAAACCAGATCCCGTGGAAACGGAACGAGCGGAACAGCAACAACGCGAGAGAGAAAGGGAGCGCGAACGGGAACGTGAGCGTGAGAGGGAACGTGAAAAAGAAAGAGAAAGAGGACGTGAACGAGAACGAGCAAAACGCGAAGAAAAACGAAAGCAAATGGTTCAACAGCAACAGCAACAACAACAGCAACAGCAGCAGCAGCATCAACAGCAACTGCAACAACTACAACAGCAGCAGCAACAACATAAACAGCAACAGCAACAGTTCCAGCAACATCAACACCACATGCAACAGCAACACCACCAACAAACTGTCAAAATGAGAGAGCGTTCCCCTATCAAAGACCCCAATATGATGCACAAAGAAGAAGAAATGAACATGCTCTTGGGCCGTGTCCCCCCGCCATCACATTATTTGCCACCCCCTCCGAGGCATCCTCAACGAGGTTTGCCGACACATTTCTCGCCTTGGGATCAGTACAGGTGCGTTTGTGGATATATTTGATTTTATAACACATTTGTCCGGTTTAATAATTCACCTGGTGTTAAATAAACTCTAATATAATAAGAATGTCTAATGTCAAAAAAAAAAAACTTAAATTTAAAAAGAGAAAAATTATAAACTCAATTGCGCATGGTTTAATTTAATTTGGTAACTCGGCAAAATAATCTAGGAATGGAACTTTTTACATTTATATCAATAAACGATTTATAGTTTTGTCTAAATGTTAAAATATATAAAAGATATCAATTTTTTAGACTGATATCTCTTATCAGATATTAGTAATTATCGTAGAAAATAATAATGAAGTAGATAAGCTAAACTGTGTATTTATTGTTATTTATCGGTTATCATATTTGAACTTTCAACAAAATCCCTTTATTATTTACTAAACTCTCTTATCTAGTTTTATGTAGTAATCTTCTGTACCATAATAGATCCTTATGTCGCTGTTATCGATTGTTGAGACATTTTGTCAACACCCTGACAAGAATTGTGTAAAATACATAATTTAATCTGATCAGTGCGATTACCTATCGTAAACCTTCGGCCCAAAACTTTCAACTGTATAAAGTTCTATCTCAAGTTATTATGAAATAAGTCATTGCAACATGTTTGATAGTAATCTATCGATGTCGATTGTAATAATGTCTGATAATCTAATGTAATCGGGTGTAGGACTTCATTTTTTTTTTTGCGTCTATGTACTTAATTGGTAATTGATTTTTGTTGTAGGTATGATTCAATGAGATTTAGTCCGTTAATCGCTGCTGCGGCTTATAGAGCGGAAGAAGAAGAGCACAGAGCCAAACTGTTTGGTTACCATCATCAGGCCCACTTAAGGCCAAAAGACCCGTCTTCTCCGAATACACACCACCAACAGATTCCTACGGACATGCAACTACCTAAAAAAGAAGAATCTTCACAGTCTAGGTAGTCAATGATTACTAATTAATTAAGTTATTATTATATTTTAATGTTTAAATTTTTTATTAATTGTCAAAACTCAAACGTTGACAGACTTGTTTTTTAATGATGATTTAATATATTCTCTTTGACTTCTCTCCCCCCTGCCCTTGTCCTTCAGACGTCGATTACACTTTATTGTTCTTGTAGGATTTTGTTCATCGCAATCGACTATTTTAACCATTTGTTTTTTTTAATTTTATTGTAATTATGATTTTTTTTTTTTTTTATGTATAATGAGTATTGACTTGAAATTTTATGTTGTGCAATTTAATTACAATTTAATTTCGAGTTGACTTAAAATATTTAAATTGAATATATAAATAAAAAACGAAAATTAATAAAACCAATTTAGGAATGTTAAGTTTTTATTGAAAGAAAAAGATGTAATATGATTTTAATTTACACTAAATTTTGTGCAATTGCGGTATGTCTGTCATATTATTATTATTTTTAAAATATAATATACTATTTATAAATCCACAAGACTCATTAACGATAATTAGTATTGGACACACAGGGTCAATTTACAATTTTCTAATCTGTTATTTTGACCCTAGTAAGTCAAATTATGTCGAAAGGTAAATTTTCTCTACCAAATTAAATACTAAAAAATAATAACAAAATAGTAAATTAACCCAAAATTTTAGTGCATAATATTTACTACAATTATTATAGTAATAATAATTTTTTTTTATGTATAATATAATTATAAATATATTATTATTAATTTTGTTCCTATTATTATTTAATATACGATTTTATCCCTATTAAAAAGGATGATTTCAATTATAGGAATTATATAACAAATTTTATAAAACACCGTCTAAGTTACCAGTTGAAGAGAAAATATTATTATTAATTAAATAACAGCACACTAACTTTCCTTCGCAAAATTTTAATTATTACGTGCTTGTTATTATTCTTTTTTTTTTTTTTTAGCTATATTCATAGTTTAATAATTTTAATAATACATTTTCTGGTTAAACGAAAAGCCTGTGTCTTTCCTTCTTAATACATTTATTGTTCTGTCTAGTACTTATTAATTATTATTATTATTATTATCTTTTTTTAGAACAGTATACTTAGTTGAATTAATTTTTGTTTTTTAACGAGACTATCGTTTTGCACAAAATACATTTTATTTCTTTGTAATTTTTTTCTAAATGATATTTATTAAAGTACTTATATGTAATTAAATATATTTTACATTTTATCTTCAAGATTAGAAATTATTGTATATTGTATTATAAAAACACACTATAAATCTGAATAAATAATATAGATTTACTTTTTTTTTTTCAATCTCGATTATAAGTCATTAGCGTCATGTGATTTATTGATTAAATTTAATAATGCTAAAGAAAAAATGTACCAGTGAATTATTTGGGATTCTAACTGGGAAAAAATTTCTTCTGTTTAGTATACTAAAAACGATAATTGTTTTTTTTTTTTAATTGGTATTTTTTTTTAAATTATTGTCATTTTTTTATTCACAATGAAAATGCTAAAATGTGGATAAAAACAATTATAAAGTATATAATTTTGTTTTTTTAAATCCTTATACATATGTTTATAAATATTATTATCTTAATACAATTTACGAACAACTTTTGGTCAATCAATTATAAAAAAAATACCAATCACTAGACGAGTAATGTGAAAAAAATATGTGTAACATAATTATTTGTACAGCTTTTAAATACTTATTTATTTTTGATATAATATATTGTGTATTGTGAATATTGTCTGAACATTTTGTGTACATACTTGTAAAGTGATTATACAATAATACAATTTTATGTACCACATATATGCTTCAATATTGGTTATTTATATTCTTATTGTGTTATAATATCCTTTCCAATTTACCTAACCGAGAAATGGCTCATCAGACAGAAGGTTAATCTAATATCTTATATAATGTGGTAAAACAAAAAAAAAATGTCTATGGCTTGTTTTCAAACTTCATACAAATAAAAAATTGTGTTTTTTACCAATTTCTACGTTTTTACTCTTTAAAGCGCTATTACTGTGATAAACGATCATATTGTGCTGATATGTTTATTGAAATCTTAGATTGACCTTATTGGGTTTTAGCTTGTTTCTTTTTTTGCTCGATTAATGGCATCATTTGTAAATAAAACTTTTTTATTGTGCTAAATTCTCACACTATACACAGATTTGCATCAAAGCAGCAGTGATCGAAAGGTCGCTTTCAAAGTACACGAAGTGTGACCCCACAAGTAATCATCTTACCATACTGGTTGTTTTTCAATAATTAGCATTATTCATTAACCGGTTATAAAAATACTTTTTATGATAACTAAAAATTGAACGAGTTACTTTTTACTTAAAAATAATATTTAACATTACGAGCAGTTTTAAAAAGAAGAATTTCTAAAGATTAAAGTGTTTTATCACCAAAATTAAATATCTACAGGTATCTTTAATAATTTAAAAAAAAAATTGTCTTTACAATCGTGTTTTAAGATTATTTTGGTATTTCCTATTTAATAAGTGTTTAAATTATAGGGCTACGTTTAGACCTCCAGTCTAATTATTCAGATCTAATACCCTAAAATTACACTTAATAAAGTGAAATAAATAAAAAAAAACGTCTACTTTTTCTGAGGAAAGGGTTAATGATATTTTTTGGTTTTCTATGCATAAATTATCAAAGAATAGTACTAAAATTTTCGGATTATTGAATATTATTATACGTCTTATAATAGAGTGCTTTTTGCGTTAAACATTTATGTGTAATATATAAAAAATAAGTACATCTGTCAGTTTTTTCCGTAAGATATAAATCGTAAAAACACATTTTATTACAATTTAAAACTTATCAATGTATACTTGACCTCTGGTCTCTTTCTATTACAAAATGTATGCGTCATGCGACAAGTGTAACGGTTGTTATTTATTTTAATTTATGACTAAGTGAACAGAAAATAATATTAGCTATGTAATCAATCGACTTAGTTTTGGTTTGTTATGTTGATATAATACGTCTTATGTTTGTAGGACAATAAACTTTTTGCCGAATAGTGTATGACGTATGTGCAAACACAGTACACACTCAAGACAATATTCAATAACAACACTATTTTATAAAAAAAAATAGACTGCCCGAATATGTATGTTTTTAACAACCGATAATCGTTATAGTTTAATGTCTATAAACGTTATAGAAGTGTTTACGAATCATTATTATTAATAGTTATTAATCATTACTGTTTGAATGAGTAAAGTCTCCCGTAATCGTTATGTTGACTCGTGTGTGTCGTGTGGATAAATCTAAACTTTACCCAGTGGATTCTAGCCGCCCTGAGACTAGTAATAATAATAATAATAATTTGAGTTATTAATTATTGTATTTTTGTTTTGTTTCAGTGATAACGCAACGTGATCACTGAATTTCCGTGTTTGTCATTACTCATCGCTGATAACAGCTGCTGCTGCTGCTGCTGCCTGCTATCGATCGTCGCCCATAGACAATATAATATATATATATATATAAATAATATTTTATATATTTCTATATACAATAGTAATAATATATTGTGACCTTTTATGACGTAACTGTTGTGTGTGTGTGTATACTATAGTTTATATTGTGAGTTGTGACTTGTGACGCGGTACGCCATTGTCGTTTGTCGTATTTTGTCCGTTCGTTGTTGACGCCTGATCGAAATTGTCGGAAGTACTTTATTTTCCTACCGAACGGTTTTAGAAATCTTGATATTTTCCTGAGAACCAATCGTCCAACCACCGATCATGTCGGTTTTCGAATTTTTCGGCAAGTACATCTTGTACTTGTTCAATTTGTTGTCTTTGGTAAGTGCACCGTCGCTCAGTAGTGTGACCCTTTTTGGGTTTTCACAGAACCACCGTGTACGTTCTGACTAACTGTACTGTCTTTTTCGTACAGATTTCATCCATATGCATCATAGCCATCGCCTTGGTGATTACTCAAAAGTTCTACACCTGGTCCAGCTTCATCAAACCCGACTTGATCACTGCCCCTCAAGTATTGTTGGTCATCGGCCTGGTCGTATTCGTTATCGCCATCGTCGGTCTGTGCGGAGTCATCCGGGACAGCTCCTGCCTTTTGGCTTTTGTAAGTGATCCCTAATGGCCGTACGCTCTTTGTTTTCATTGATATGGACCTACATCAATTTATAATAATTTTTTCAGTTTTCCATTCTGCTCCTAATCGCTTTGATCGGCGAGTTGATTTTGTCCGGAGCTATATTCGTAATGCGAGGTGATGTCGAACAGTACGCCATGAACGTGATGAACCAGACCATTCCCAAGTACAACCAAACCAACCAAGAAGTGGCCACCCAAGCTTGGGATATCTTGCAATCCGATGTAAGTAGCAATAATATTTATGGAACTGCTCGCGAGCCGCTTAATCTCTCAGTCGCTGATTTCATTTATTAAGTTGTATATAGTTACTTTTAATTTACTTTGAAAAAAACAAAATTCTAGATGACTAAGAAATAAAATTATTATATATAATATGTTTAACCTTGAATATATAAGTCACAATGTCAATGTAATAAATTTTAAATAAGTGAATTGAAAAAAATTAAATATGGATAATTTTTAAATTATCTGATACAAAAAACTATTTAAGATTATTTTTTAGTTTACATATTTTTCAACATAAAAATAATGTTACTTATACATTGTATAATAAAACTGTGATAACTGATAGTCATGAAATACTCGTGTAAAGTTTTAGCTTACTTTCTTTTGGTTCGCTAGCGTAGATGAGGCATTAGCTCTGTGAGATAAGTAATTTATATATTTTTTTCTATGTGTGATCAGGGGCAATGTTGTGGCATTAACAAACCTGACGATTGGAGAGTAGTCACACACAGCGATGAACTACCATCGTCATGCTGTCATGAGTTCCCGGCTGGAAAAAGTTGCACCACAGCTTACGCTTATCCTAATGGCTGTCTAAAATTACTGAAGGATATGGTTCAAGACAACAGCCATTATTTAATTTATACCGGAGTTGGATTCGCTGCGGTTCAGGTATTATATTATTTTCAGACAAATTTTGTTTTATTCATCATAATAATCAATAAATCTACATATTTCTGTACTTGGTTTCTAGCTGTTGGCCGTATTGTTAGCGTGCTACCACCGACATACTTTGTTCAAGGAGTATGAAACCGTCTAAGCAATATTATCGTAACCTACTATTTATCGAGACCACACACTGAATAATTATTTTAAAGGCTTCATGATATTTACTATACCTGATTTAAATCCACTAGAATGTTAGTTGTTATTTAATTGTTGGTCTCGTACATTTAATGCAGTTTTCATTTTCCAATTTAGATTTAAATATGTTATATCTCTCAAATGTCAAATCTATATGACTTTAACATGTAGTTCTAAAATCTTTGTTTTGTAATTGTTTATACTTAATAGTTTTTATATACTTGAAGATTAGGTATATTATTATTTATTTTATGTATCTTATTGTGTTTCTTGTCTGAACAAAAGTATACGTGTATTAAGTAACAATACAATGATACAGTATAATTTATCATATTATATTTGTTTATATTATTTTTTTATTAGTTAGCCAAAGTAGCTGTTATTGTAATAACTTAGCGGATTAGCATATATATTTTTTTTTTACTGTTGATAATAAAAAGAAAAACATTGACTTGAAATTGAAACTTTTTTGTAATTTACAACTGCGGAACAATATTTTAGCATCAATTAATTTTTTGTAAAAAAGTGTTTGCCTAGCAATGAGGAGTTTCTGATTAGATTCTGATGGCATTTCTATGTAATTATTAATTAAGTATTGTCATTCTATGTAACTATCTAAATAAATTTGATTTCCCATACAAGTCCCATTTAAACATTTTAAGCTTCAGTTTATATTGTAAATTTTTGAAAAAATCGTTCAGTTGTTGTTCTCTGAACTTATCAATTCAACTTGAAGCGTTATAACTGGCATTTTTGGCAATGACCACGTTTCGTACTGTATGTGCACCGTTTAGTTTTAATAAAGCGTGAACTTGATAGATTTATATTTATACATCAATTGTAAATATGTCAAAGCCTCGTGAAACTTGGTTGAATATAAGATCAAATTGTGGTAGAAGAGGGCCAGTGAAAAAATACTGAGCTCACTTGCAAACCATTAGCGTAAATCTATTGCAATGTAAATTCCAAGTAGTATAGTAGAATATTCTACTAAATGTGTACTACAAATTCTACAAATACTATTTTATTTTTCAAGTTTTTAAAATACATTTATCATTATTTTTTTTTTATTATATTAAAATAATTATTATTTAAGTTGTGTACAGCAAAATTTTAATGCAATATGTATTTAGGTTTCTGAAGAATAATTTGAGGACAAAAATAATACATTTTAATAGTGTCAAAAAAAAAAAACATTGTTTTGCGTTTTAATCGTAACGTCAACGAAATAAATTATTATTACAATAGTTATATTAAGTATATATATTTTTTTTTTATATAATTTCGATTTTTTTCCGATTCTATTTAGTGTTTGTCCTCGATTTATTCGAATACGGAATCGAGCAACAAGATAACAAGTAACAATGTCGAACATCAAGTAACAATTTCATCAAACCTCTGGTAGTCCGATGTACCTACCACACACACACAGTTTCTAATAGTGATTTTGGGTTTTTTTACTTAACGGTGCATTAATGCCTAAGGTCGCTGTCTACCCCGAAGGGGAGGTTTCATAGTCCATCGATAATGGAAAAATCGTTTAAGGGCAAATGCCATCAATTATAATATATAAGGGACTCCCATAGAGACTCCGCCAAGTCACTAAATGCATGTGCGCGTTACTCATACGAGCACTAGAGGGCGCAAAATGTCTATTTGCAAATTTCCAAGTGCAGTGCGCAATAGAGCCTATCCCGGGATTTATTGGATTTCATAATACATATATACCTGTTCTTTTCGATGAAAATGCAACAATGAAAACTGCAGCGGCCTACCTGCCCTGGGCCTTCAGTTGTTGCTGGAGCACTTCATCAGCAACGTCAAAATTATAAATTACTGTTAACGAAATAACCGGCTATTCGTACATACATAATCTGTTTTTTTTTTTTTTTTTACAATGCCTAAAGACAAAAAGAATAGAGAAAAAAAAGTCGCAGCAGTTTACGAAGATCATGAGTATGACTATGATCCACTCATAGAATATAGCGAACTCTATTACTACCACTTTGTAAGTGCACCAATGGACAGTAATTTTGTTTCGATAGTCGAATTGTATGCAAATAGTTATCGAAACATCATGTTTTTTATTTAATTTTTATGTGATATAATTATATTTTATTCGCAACTTTTTTACCTAACACAATTATTTTATAAAAATAATTACTCTTGCGTGTTATACTCATACAGAGGCCAGAGCTAAATCTACTTTTGAAACTTAAACGGTAACATATATTATATTTAATTGTTTTTATTTTTTATTTATTGAAGTATAATAATACTTAAATTAATTAATTTAATTTAATTAAACTAATTCTACACGCCCTCTTCCTCCCGTCCTAAATTTTAAACTTTAATAACTTTAAAACTATTTATTCGAAAGTGGTCGTCGACTAGCCAAAATGTTCAGCAAATTATTCTTAAATTAAAAAGTTAATAAAATATGTACGTTCAAATTTAACATTTAAAAACAAAGCTCTAGATAATACTGAAAAGATTTAAAAAAATTAAAATTATCAAATAATGTGAATCGTTAACTACAGAAAGGACACAAGTCCATTTTTATCAATTTTGAACTAAGCACACGTAAACGCATCGCTTATTGTAGAAAGGCGACAATCGAACCGTCCAAACGTCTAAAAATAGCGCTCGGAATTTTCAAAATCTTATATTATTATAATAATATTATGTATGTATGTATGTATGTGTGTATTATTTGGTTTTTTGTGTTTCTTGAAAATTTAGAAAAAGTGGACTTGTCCCCTTTCCGTAGTTAGCGATTCGTGCAATATAGGATTAGATAATATAAATGTTTTCAAAAAATAAAACCTACAAAATTTCGATACCAAATTTTAAAAGAACTGATCTAGTGCTCACCATAAATGTCTTTTATATATATATATATATATATATACATAAATTTATTTTGTTTTGCAGATGAATACCGCATTTGTAGGTATTACATGTTCAACGTTTTATATATTAATCATGTATCGCGGGAGCGAACTATTTAAATTGTGTTTATTGACTGCTTCATGTTTATGGTGGATGTTTGTTGTGTATAATATTAAAAAAGGGGAAAAAAAGGCATGGCGAGTTGGAATCTTTAAACACATGACGTCGGAACAAATTGTACTTTGTTTTTCAATGTTTGATTTGATTTCTTACGTGTTGGTAGGTATTAATGTTATATTAGTAGCGTTGTATTTTTGTTTGTAATTATCTTTTTAGCTTCGGTGCGGAGCGAACGTATTGTTTAATATATTTTTTTTTGCTCCTGGACCGACGATATTTTCATAACTATTGACCGGTTTCTTCGTGTGCCGGCAAACCGGAAGATCAGCAGTCTTCCTCAAAAAACCTTCGCGAGGGTATAAGTTGGAAAAAAATTCATCTCCCTTTCAAAATCGAGAAAACACCAAAAAACGTGCACACAATGTCTCGATTAATTTTTTTAAAAATATATATATGAATTGTTTCCAAGTTCCATACTCGCGTGGGAAACCTACTTTTTAGATATAGATGTTTTGCAGATACGCTGGGAAAACCCAAGGAATATATCATTAAACCATTCCCTGGATGGGTATGAAGCTTTTCCTTTATTTCACTTCCCATCGGGACTTACGGTCTGAATTAGATCGAAGGTGATCCAGTGTGACACAATAACATGATTTTGATTGTACGCATAGGTATACGGGCATTGGGCCGACGATAATTTTTAAACGAGCTAACCCATTTTTTTTCTTTTAGAAATGTAAACGTTTAATTATTGTGATACATTTAATGCATGCACTATGCAGCCACACTCAGGTTATTCAAGATTATGACCCCCCTTAAAAAAAAAATCAAGTGATTACATACACATTTGTTGTCTATAATGTTACTTATAATGTTATAACGTATATAATGTTATAGTAGTTTGTACCATCTATAGTTCTGCATCGAAGAGTCATTTTTTTGAGTGATATTGTCACTTCAGTTGATAACTTTTTCTAAAGATATGTGACCTCTGACCTCTCCGACCCTAATAATAATAATACATTTGTTTCTAGATGGCTATAGCACCTATGATATATTAGACAAGATGTCCTAGTTGTGCAAAGAAATAATAATCAAGGAGTACGAGTAACAGTGGAGACACCTCAAGTCGTAGTGTAAACGATTAGCTTATTTCCAAAACTTAAATTCAATTTTAATGATATTTTTAAGGTTTATTAGTAGGTACGTTCAAATGTTAGTTTATTACTCAGACCTGGGCTTTATATTTAAATAATTAATTATAATCAAAATCTAAAATAGTTATTAAAAATAAAAAATAAAATAATAATTTCAAACACAATTTTAATTTTAACTCTAAATCATTTTCTATTTAAATATAAAAACAACAATTTTTTAATTAGCCGGGTTTTTGAAATAGCCAAGTTAAAACTCGTTTGAACAAAACATTAGGTACTTGAAACAGTCAATGAAAACCGATTTTAATTTATCTATAATTAATTTTAAATAATTATTATTTTTTCATTAAATGAAAATGCCCAGTTTTGATTATACTATATAATATAATTTGACTTATGTATTACTTATTAACACTATTTTATACTTAGATAATGTTCCTTTTGTATAGCTGGTTAATGGCTTCTATCTATAAGCACCATAAAAGATTTTGAACTAGTAATTTAGTGTCTTAAACTAAGATTATCATTTATTAGAATAATAGTGTAATAGTTAGTACCTACTAAACAATTATCAAATTTGAATTTTACACAAAATCTTATGGTAAAAATTATGTTCTCATTATAAAAGATGTTAAAATTGATATAATATAATAATTATTATTATTTTCTTTTTTAAAAAAAATATTGTGGTTAAATAGAACTATTATTGTATAATATAAGTTATAACCGTGTTGGAAATAAAAAAATGTTTTAGTTCTATTTTATTACTATTGTTCTGACTGTAGTATATAAAAATTATGTTGTGTAAAATCTTAACTGTATTATTTTCTTCCTTTAACTTTTAGATTTGGATTTACAGCACATTCAGTACATCTCCACGGCAACTGATTTTAATCAATACAGATACGATTACACTATGTTCAGTCTTATAGTATTTCAATAAATGATGTTGTTAGATTAGTAAAATATATTGGCATAATACAGGTTTTTTTTTATATATTTTACAAAATTATTGATCAGATTATTAATTTTAATCGATCTCTTAGTTTATTTAATTTTTTTTTTATCCAAAAACTAGAGTGGCTGAATTTTTTAGAGTAGGTATAAATCTAAACAATTTATTAAGTTGTAATAATTAAGATTTTTTTAACATTTACAGAAGTTTAATAGTCGCTCAACAGATAAAGGCAAATATTTTTTCTAATGCTTTATAATTAACAACTATTACACTTGATGATAATTTCGTCCAAGTCGCTTCCCTATTGTGTTTACAATAATATGATGGTAATATTTTTTCACATTACCTACTATCGAAGCGTTACTATTAAAATATAATTTTTTTTTTTCACCGCGACATACATTGATGGCTGATTAGTTTTAATAAAACGTTGTACTTACAAAATGACTATATATATTTTATAGAAAAGAATTTTTTTCTGAATTTTTCCTTTGCACAATATTTTGTTTACAGTACTTAGTGCTTTAATGATAATATGTTATATGGACTATTTTTATTTAATAAAAAAAAACTTAATTCTATTCTTTATCAGATTATTCAATAGACACATTTTGGCCATGCGACATTTTCTGCAATTAAACGTTGGATATTTGAAATAATTTTGGAAAATTAGCCCGCCGTCCCTTCAAACGATTTTGCCGCTATTTGCGTCGGACAGCATTTTAGGCTGCAGCTGTGGTTTTCGTTTTGATAACATGCCATGAAAAACAAAACAAATATCGTAATATTATCATTGCCAATGTAATACAATTATATTGGCAGTCTCACCAGTGTTGTGTGATCCGTCGGCGGCCTGTAATATATATATTATAATCAACGAAAACGGTTGTTTAAAAAATAATACAATAGGTGTATTATTACAACAATAATAAAAATTACAACAATAACGTCATTTCTATTTATTACGTAAGAACATAAAAAACGGACAGCGGCTGTTTATAAATGATAAGAACGGTTGTCGGACGAGCGAAAACACCACAGTAGTTGCAGCAGCAGCTGTATATTATTGTATTATGCCGGTATACGCGTCGTTTGGGAACCACTATCGTTTTCGAATATTCGACGCATGATTGTATTTTGGTGTGTGTTTTCCTTTGTTCACCTGTGCCGCCGCCGCCGCCGCTGTGTGTTTTGAGTTTTGCTCGTTGTCGGCGAAAAACGGAAAGTTTCCGAGTCGATCGATTCGTATTGTGTCGTCCGTCTGTCCGAGTCGGCCGGCCCAAATTTTGCTTAGGTTGCCAAACGCAAAATAATTCTCGATTGGCGCGTGCACGTCGGCCGTCCACAGCGAACGGATCAAATGACTACTGCCAGTATCTAATCGTCGCTGATAGCAAACCGAAATCGTCTGAACCCAATGTCTTAACAGGGTAGTGCGACTACAGCCACAAGTTCGTCTCGAGTCGTTCGCACTCCAGCCCAGACAGGTACGTGATGTCGCCGTCCGGTTTGCTCTTGTAAACGGTTTGTGTGCATTGCCGTGCGTAACGCGACGTCTGTGCTCTTGTGTGTGTTAGGTTGCTTGCTGCCCGTTTAGAACCTCAGTGGTCGTATCACCATGTCCACCACTCCCACGCCGAGGAGTCCCAGCAGTTCCGGTCGTCGAGCGGTCACGGCGGCTTTGCCCGTGGTCGCCACTGTGCAGGGTACGCCTCCGTCATCGCCGTCCATCGGGGAATCCAACAAGGAAGTCAAACCCAATCCGAAAATGTCAAAAGCGCTTAGTACATCGACCAAGAGGTAAGCTGTCGCCGACTGGGCCCAAGCCTTTTTCGTATTGGGGGATTGAAAGGTCAAAGTCGAATTCTACTTCTTATTATTGGTTATTTTGTTAACAAGCGTATTGATAAAAAAAAAATGATCATTATTATAACATTATGTTAGCTTCACTTGTTTTAAATTTTTAAATGAAGAAAAAAGTTAATTTTAATTGCATGTAAGTCAATTCTAGAACAATATGAAATATTGTTACTGTAACAAAACGTCTTTATCTTCTTTCCAAAGCTGATAACTGTATGAACACAATTTATCAGCTCACACCAACGTATAAAAATGTGTAAATGCTTTTGTATGTATTTATAAAACACCTATAATATTATGTAATGAACAACATTTTTGAGACGATACCTTTTTTCAACAATACAATTTAAGTGAAATAATTACTACTGATATACTGAATAACAGATTTGTCATTTGTCCTAAAATGGCATTATCTTTCGATCATCATTCTTCGATTTGGGTGTTTTAAAACATGGTTTAATAAATTATCGAAATCTGATATGGCGATAGTTTTCCTGTAAAAATGTATGAACATTTAAATGCTCTATTTAGTTGTTCATAAAATTTTAACGAACCATTACATTTGTGTAACCAGGCATGAAAGTCTCATTGACATTCTGCAAATAAATTTAAAAAAAATATATAATAAGACAATTTTTTGCTAGTACTGTAATAATTGGCTAAAATTTGAAATTAAAAAATAAAATTTTGCTGATTCTTCTTTTTTTTTCTTTTCTAAAATAAGTTGTGTACGAACAATTTTTTTTCAAGCGTAGTCTTGTTCAGGTTTTTTTTTGTTAATTTCAAGATAATATACTATTTTTAACAGGTTTTATTTTTCGTTAAAATCACAGTATTCATGAGTAGTTAGAATTTTTAGAAATATATATAAATTTGTTTACTATAATTTGTATTCCCAACATATCATTATTCACTACTTGTTTTCTATTTATTTGTGTTTATTATTATTATATAATAATGTAATATATTTTATTTAAGTAAACATAAGCACACTATTTATCTCTTATTGTAGGTATATAGTTTTTCAAAAAAAATATTTTAAGACTAAAAATAAACAATTACATTTTTATGGAGTTCATAGTTCTATCTAGATAAACAAATGACAATTATTGTTTTTTCAATACTATTTTGTCTGTAAACATATTATATAATTTTTTTTATTTTTAGGATACAAAAAGAATTGGCTGAAATTACATTGGATCCTCCTCCAAATTGCAGGTAATACATTATTATAATTATTATTGTAGATAAAGTGTTTTTTTTTTTAATTGGTCACGAGATTTTAAGTCTACTACTTTTTTTATTTATTTTATTTTAATGTGCTATTATTGAACAACATTACAGCACAAGAATTATACAACTATGTATAATAAATAATAATTCTACAATTTATATGAATTTAAAAAAAAAACACAATTAAATAGAAAAATCAGCTTTAGAAAGGGAGGATATTAAGAGGACAATAACGGAAGGACAACAGGAGTTTAAAAGAAGAGAGGGATCAAGGGAGGAATAGCCGAGAGCATTGTGATGGGAAAGTAAAATTTTTCTGTTAGAGTATAGAGTAGGATAGCCAAAGAGAATATGGTTAAAATTACAAGGTGTAATTAAGGAAGAGGTATACAAAAGTGAGATGAGTTTAGGGAGACACTGAAGGCATTTGCGGGACGGAGGTTATGACCAAGATGAAGTCTGGTGAAGGAAACAATAAGGGATCTAGGTAAGAAAGAGTTCAAAAACCAAGTACAACGATAAATCGCTCTATGCCAAGCAGCCTAATTACAAGGAAGAGAATGCCATTTAGACTGCCAGGAATTAAGTAATAACTTTAAAAACATTTGGGAGAAATTCGGAAAGAAGTGGGAGAGATTAGCTGAGAACGCTAACTTATCTGCCACTTCATTACCAAAGATAACTGAATGTCCGGGAACCCACAGGAATAGGACTTTTTTATTATCAAGGAAGAGGCTATCGATTAGGGATTCAATGAAAATAATAGCGGGGAAAGTGAGGAATTAAAAGGGTTGGAGGACAAAGCCTGGAGGCGTGACTGGGAGTCTGAAATAATGAGAAAATTGTCTACTACTTAATTCATTTTATAAAGCAACTCGTAATTGTATTTGTTTTAGCGCCGGGCCAAAAGCCGATAATTTATACGAATGGGTTAGTACGATTTTAGGGCCTCCGGGTTCAGTTTATGAAGGCGGAGTGTTTTTTTTAGACATACACTTCACTGCAGAATATCCATTTAAACCCCCCAAAGTAAGTGTTTCCGTTTGAATTTTATTCAACTATCTTGTTTGCTTTTCTTAATATTTATTTTTTACCCGTTAAAATTTTAGGTAACATTCAGGACTCGTATATACCATTGCAATATCAACTCACAAGGTGTCATTTGCTTGGATATATTAAAAGATAATTGGTCGCCTGCTCTGACCATATCGAAGGTGCTGTTATCTATATGTTCCCTATTGACTGATTGTAATCCAGGTGAGATCTCTATTATGAATCAATTTACCTTTAAGTTTTTTTTGTATAATTTGTCACAGTCTTTTTTTTTTTATCTTCTATGCGTAGCAATTGGTTTTACATTTGTAGTGTTATATTAATTTTTTTTTCTTTCAATTTTGTGTGTAGACCCATGATCTTTTTTTTAATATTCTCAAACGGGCTTCCATATGTAGGCAGTCTATAAATTATAAATAGAACTAATGGTTATACTTTTTTAAGGCCAAATGTAGAAAAAGTTTTACCCATTCTCTGCTATAACCAAGAAAACCCCCCCCCCCCAATCACTATTTTTTTTTAAATTCAAATTTTTTTAGTCACTTCTGAACTAAGGCAATTTTTAAAAAATCTTTTTTTTTCAAGGAAACTCCAAAAATCAAATCAAATTTATTGTCTATCAAATGATTTATATTTAATAATTATTGGAAGTTAATGAGTTGTTTAAAATAAATTTGTATTAAATACATTAAGCTGGCCATACACGCTCCGGTCTACCAGAGAGAGGTCTACCTGCACAGTTTTCTGGAGCGTGTGTGTGTACGCACAGGTACACGGTACGGTGCATTCGAAAAAATTGATTTTCAATCTTGCACCGTTCCCTGTGCAGGTTAAAAGAACTGCACAGGTCTATTCCCACACACGCTCCGGCCTACTTGCGCAGGTATACCTGTACAGCTAGACCTATTCGGTAGATTGTAGCGTGTATGGCCATCATAAGTATTTATTTTTGGAAATGATTTATATTTAGTAATGCTTATACGAAGTAATGAAATGTGACTACTGATTTCCCCTCCCTCCCATATGCTAGATTTTTTTTGATGATTCGATTTTGTTTGTTTTATTATTTATAGCGGATCCACTAGTTGGCAGTATCGCGACACAATATCTACAAAATCGCGACGAACACGACAGAATTGCTAGGTTATGGACTAAACGGTATGCTACATAATTCGACTTCTGATAGGATAAGAATTTGAAAAACAAAATATAATTATAAAAAGAAAAAAATTGAAAAATTAAAAAAAATTAAATTAAAAAAAAAAATCCTATTTCACTATAAATATTAAATGGGTGTTAGAATGCTACAGTTACGATTTTTTTTTTTTTTTTTTATATTTAATATAGTTGGCAGTAATTAAGACCTGAATGAGTCAGTTCCTACATTTTTCATAAATGTGTATTTTTATTTTTCATGGAACCGTGATATTTTAATTTTTAGAAGTACGATAAGAACTTAGAAGAACGTGTATTTTTGTATACTCTTCTTTTTACTCGACACGGCTGCGTAACATTATATTAATGCTGTAATTTTTTATCGACTGTAACTAAATAATAATATGTAATTAAATTACTCGTTCAGTATCGTACTAATTACTATTAAGTAGTATAAAGCTTGTTGTTTATTAATCGACATTGGAAACAAATTTGTGTTCGAGCTAATATAGAAATATTTTTTTTACTTAGCATAGAATTTAAGAATTCTTATTTACAACCAATAAGTAATTGCCTGAACAATATATTATATTAATTTCACTTAAATTTTTGAATTTACTCAAAAAATGTATTTTTCGTATACATATTAAATTGTATAATATATTTTTAGTTTAAATTAAAAATGAATTAGGTACAAATAACATAATATATTGTTTGTGTAAAATATAATTTACATTTCTCGTCTTAATTTTTCTTTAGTCTGGCGACATTTTTTTTACTACTTTGATGAAAATTCATAGTTTGTACATTTTACTTATTGGTCGATTATTATTATTTTTTTAATATGAGTTTTTAATTCAATCCGATGTGTGCAATAATTATAAATATCGGATAAAATCAGAACTATATATAAATACACATTTTGTGTTTTTACACACCCATCCACACATTGTTTGTTATTAAAATTACATTTTTTGATTTACTTGTAATGTTTTTTTTTAACAATAGACGAGAATAGTGAACCTTTCTAGTCTAGGAAATATGATATTTTTTAATTTATGTATAAGAATTGTGTTGATTTAGACTGAAATAAACAATTACTAGTAAATATTATCAATCGAAAAAAAAACCACAATAAAATCTAGTAATGTTGCGCAGTCTGTCGAGTGTATGATTAACTTATACTAATTATTTGATTTTAATAATTAAAAAAACAAAAAGGGGTGAGATTAATCTTTTTTTTCTATAATTTTTTACTTTTTCTTTGGAAACTCTTTAAATAAAAGGTTGAATGTATATTTTTTTAACCGATTTAATTAAGTTTGAAAAAAAAAAATGTTTTTACATTAATGAATTGTAAATTATCTCGTTTTGTTGGTCTGAAAATTAAAATGTTTTGAATTTACCATGTAATTGTGTATTGCATGATTAAACATTTTTAAAAAAATTACAAAATTTAGCATATCTGTACATTTATAAGTTATAAATTTATATATTATATTAATATACAATTACATTAATATTATTATTATATAGATTGAATAATAATGATAATAACAATAAACGAAATTGTTATGAAATGTTGTATTCGGTTGTTGTTTGGTTTTTGGAATTTCTATATTACCCATATAAACAGGCACTCGATTATTTGGACAAATTTTTAGCGGATACATTGCGGCGTAACAGCACATGGCCCCAAACCATCTGATAAGTGTGACATTTTATAAAATAAAATAATTGGTTTTTTGATTAAAAAATTTACTGAAGTAGAAAATATACTAAAAATACTGAGATGTGAATTCTCAAGGCCAATTTGGAATTAAGACTTAAAATTTAAATAATCATAGTAAATTACCTTATAAAATATAAGATAAACCGTTTTTCTTAATTTTCGTAGTAGCAGCTTATTTAATTTTGTTAAAAAATATATTGTATTTTAGCTGGAATGTATTTGGTTTTTGGCATATAAACGCAAATATTTTTCAAAAAATGGTCTATCCTAAAAGTCTATAACACGAATTTTCTTAATTAAAATGTTCACCAAAAATTGTGCAAATGTGTTCTTTTATTGTTTTGAATAAAGTTACTGTATACGTTTTCTATATTTTACTATAAATATTTTCTAAATGAATGAGAAAAATGTGTTTTTTTAAAAACTTTTTTCTAAAATTATAATTATTTTGTTCACAAACTTAATATACGTATAATCTAAGTTACTTAGCAAATGAAATATGAATGTAACTTTTGTTAATTTGTTAGTATTCCAAATAATTCTAACTATAACTAGTTTTAAATAAATTACCCAACTCGCTAGATCTTGCTTTTACTCATACAATGGCTTATACTATTTTAATTGATAGTAGCCTGTTCAAATAGGAAACCCCTGAAACTTCAGATCCCTAGGTCACATCTTGAGCACTTCCTCATGATTTTTTTTTGCATAACTTAAAAACATTCTTAAGCTGAAGCTACTTAAAAATCCTTCTTTTAATATTTCGCGTTAACATTTCTTTTAACAAGTTATAAAACAAATTTTATTGTAAAATAACATAATGGTGATTTTGAAATGTCATACTTATGATTTGGTATTCTTTTTAAATTTAAAATAATAGTTTTCGAGTAAGATATTTTTCAGGGAAGCCATATGACATTTTTTTTAATGAAATATTAAAATTTTCCATGTTAATCAAATGCAAAAAAAAAACATAAGGAAGTACTCGGCGCTAGGTTATTGGAAATAAATATATACATATATTGGAAATGGGTCGTCGTGACAAATTTCATGATCGTAAAAACAAAGTAATCCCGATCAAGGTCCATTTCTTTTGGTCGTCCTGCGACATGGCCATGGGCAGTAACGATATCAAATTGTCTTTTGATTGTGTTTCGTACAGCGGCACGTGTAAGTCTGACGTTTTCGAGTTCTTTGCGATTTCCTGTAAGCAATCGATAACGTTCCATCATATCTATTTGTACGTATAACTTATAAAAAAAAAATACAACATTTCATTCTTGAGTCTCATCTCGAGAAAATCGAGATTTCTGAACGAAAAATATCTTTTAATAGCACTTTAAATTTGACCCAAACATTTTATTAACTTTATGCGTTATAGTATTTTTTTCGTTCATCTAGAAATCGAGATTGAATGTATACATTTAAATTTGTAACCAAATGTTTTTACGATTTTTTTTATTTTAGAAAATTTCGGTTTACAAGTTAATTTATCCCCTACAGTGCGTGGAATGTTACAAGCGAACTTCAACACTTGATCATTCTAGATCTAGTAGTAGGAAATATTCATCGTTAGGTAAAAAATGTAATCCAAAATAAATTAGCTTACTCCGGGGCGTGCAAAAATGGTAATTGCGACACTGCTGTTTTACTCCTTAAACGCTTAAATAATAATGAATCAGGACCATGTGGGGTTCGGTGGATTCCAAGCCAAGAAAATCCTACTTCAACCCTGGCCGGGGTTTCAAATCGACTCCACTGGTACCCACGTGTCCGGCGGCTAACGGGACTTAGGTTAGGTACTGCAGTGTAACGGAAAAGACTCTGGTATACAGGACTCCATTTCTGTACATCAGCGAGGAGTCCCACTGGAATAGCCGTGCATTTGGGAATAATAATAAATAACTATTGGACTGGACAGCCAAAACTCCTCACCTCCGGGATCCACGCCAGTGTTATGTCGTCGACGGTCGACACTGACGGCGAGTCCACCGTGTTGTCAGCTAACGAACGGTGGTTCAGTGTGGCGCCTTCTATGAGTATGTTTTGTACTGTGGCCGTCGTTTTGGCTCCTTTCAGTCTGTTCGCCGACAACGAGCAGTCCAACGTCAAACTGTCCATCGACTTGCCGTATTGTCTGCAAACGCAAATTATCGCGTTAATATTTTTTTTTGGCTTCGCTCACAATATTACTTTTTTCTCGTAAGCCCGCATAAAGTTTAGCACAAAATTTACATTTCAACTCTAATAAAAGTTTATTGTTTTCCGGCATAAATTGTATATCTTCAGCCGAGGGTCTGTCGAAAATGTACGTGGCACAAAGGAGAGGGGGGAAGGAAATGTAGGAGAAGTAAAGATGGTGATAAGTGTGTATAAGGCGGGGATGGGATGGCGATGAGGGGAAAACGATAATTGAATAAAAACAGTAAACAAATAGGACTTTTTGTATGCTGAAATCGAGTGTTTTTTTTTTTTACAATGTTTTCTCACATAAAACAAATTTGAAGTGAACTTTTTTTTTTTTAATGCACAATATAGTTGGCCGTCTGAAAAACATTTGATTTTAGACCATTTTTAGTTAAAGTAAAATTTATATTTTGTCCATAATTACATTGAATCTCTCGATCCGTGTTCTTAAATGTTTTATGATGAGCTGATTTTCTGTCTCCACCAGTGATCTCTTATCATCTGATTCCCTTATCATTTAACTCTCATTAGTTGATTCCCTTATTAATTATCCAGGAATTGTTGATTTACTTTTATCTTCATCCCATTACCACCTCATTAACACTTAGTAATTGCGTCACGCAAATTATCGACTTAAGATAAAACAATTTTTAATTGCATTCTAGCCCCCATAAAAGAAATACATTTGCACATCATGTATTTAATACACCACCCAGCAAATGGGTGATAAAAAAGTACAATTGTACTTTTATCGTGATCCTCTTACTTGGCTGTCTGTTGCTTTAGCGCGATGAGATATGTTCTAGGGTGGAACAAATCGTTGAAGTCGATTTTCTGAGAAGATTTGTCAGTAGACGTGTTTAACTTATGCATGGCCAAGGTTCGCGCCACCACATGCCTCATAAAGGAGGCCGGATCGCCCGGGCCTTTCCACACGTCTGTCCAAGTCTTAGGGGTCTATGTAAAAAATAAATTTCCAACACAAATTACACGATGCTAGAATTTAATAAAGATAGAACCGTTCGTTAAGAGTATTAAGCGAGGTAGATTTAATACTATTACATAGAGGCTGGCATGAGAGTCCTGTATGCTAGACTAGAAAGAAGAGAAACCTACGTCTTTGGGAGGATCTAATTTTTAGTTGTTTTTGTTGGGTGGTTTACCTGAAGCCTAAGTAGGTGAAGGATGGTCGATGACACTGATCCCGAGGGTCGCGTGTTAGCTCTTATTGTCTGGTTTACAGCAGCCAATGTCTTGTGTATGGTTTTCACTAAATCCACGGCGAAGTGCAGTTCTTGCCCAAAGAAAACGTCTACGGCAGGCCGTTGTCGTCCACCGTCTACCGTAGAACTCGTGACAGTAGAAAGATCTGTCAAGTTGGTACCTTTGTTAAGCGTTTTCCACAAGTTCAACAAGGACGTCACCTCAGAGCGCCAGTCGCCTTCGAGGCGCCTTACCTCGGTGCCTGTGTTCATACCTAGTGATGGATATTCGATATTCATTAAAATCTGGCCTTAAACTATTGGCCTTTGCGACCCCACATATCCGAGTCTACTTGTAGAGGTTTGGGTTATGGCCTACTGACTAAGTGCAATAACCCTCCGCCCACCGGCTGAACTCATGTCAGGATTACTTACGTCTGAGCTGAGCTATTATTTCAGCACTTTGTTTCTTTTGCCAAGACCTGTCTACGTTTTCCGGCAAGTTCAGTAATCTTGGCGTGTCCTCAGGTACGTTTTTCAACGCCATCTCTACGTCCTGTGCACAATAATTATTTGATAGTAAAATATGGTTTTCTAATTTTTACACGCAGCAGTAAACCGTCCAAACCTTGGCATCCGCCGAGTTTAGTTCGTTTATACCGGGCACGTGGCTCTTCCAATTCGACCCGTCAGCCGCAAATATCACTTGCAAGTACGTCTTCAAAATAGGCACATCCTGCGCAACGGTAATCCTTCCGCCGTAAATGGTTTTTTCGCACAGCCCATGAACGTATGACCATCTTGCCGAGTTTCGGTCTTTAATTTAAAGCATAAAAAAATGCTGAATGGATTTACATAATAACTATAAATATAACCAGTTCAGTTTTAAAATACTGCTAAACTTGCAGTATCTGGAACAGACGAACAGCCAGTTTTCTATCACCATCCCATATCTATCTCTTCAAAATTTATCCCCATCCTATTTCTACCACATCTCCTCGCACTACGAAGCCACCGTAACATTTTTTCAATCGTATACATTTTACCATTTTACCTCTTTCTGAATAACACCTGTTCCAGATTAAAATTAAAATAACACTCTACCTCGGACTGAGGATTTACGAAGAACGGCCAGTGCGGCCGACAAGTCGGAGTCGTTAAACTCGTAGTACCGGGACCAGCCTTGGGGTATGAAAGTCCTTCGTTCCAACACGATGGAATGGAACCAGGCCAGAGCATATGCCGATCTTGACTCGTCCGCCGTGTTCCACTTGACACCGTCGTTTCGCCATACGTCGTAAGCTCGTCGCATGTTCTTCTTTATGCCATGGGGTGCTTCATAGGCCACTTTAACGCAGCTCATTATTAACGAATGTTGAATTTTGTCTGAAGCCTCCGTGGTCATCCATACTGCGAAGTCGTTATGCATGACCTCCAAGGATTTGAGACGTTTCTCCAGCGTGCCTAATAGTGACAACGAACACAAGTGTACATTCTTCAACACTAACCATTTGGGCTGCCGACATAGTTCCTCGAGCTGTTCGAGTTCGACTTGATCCTCTCCGACTGCTATTTCTATGCAGTTGCTTTGAGTCTGTTGCTTGGCCAACGTTCTAAGCTCGTCCGAAGGATCAGATCCGACTGAGGTGATGATCATCACAGGACCAGCTTTCTCCTCGACCAATTCGGACAGTTTCAACGATGACGGCGATAGATCGGACAGTTCTATGTAGGAAAAAATAATTCTATAATAATCTGTAAACTTAATTAAGCTGCTCGAGGTAAACGGGGCGGGACTCACTCAATTGTTTTAACGTAAAGTCTGTCAGAGCTTTGTGAAGTCTATCGGGTTTTAGCGCTTGGGTAATTAACACTTGTTGAAAATTTGTTATCTTTACGATACTCGGAATCCCAGCGTCGGTCGTCCCCACGAAATCTGCCCAAACGCTTTGGTCGTCCAACCGGAGTTTATTGTAAAGTTGCGGAACGGATTCCTTATGAAACATTACAAAAGCAATCATTTATAGTAGTCAATGTCATTAACAATATTTACCTTTAACATGTACATATCGAAAGCTCGGTCTTCATTAATCCACTTAGGTATGCTGTGTTTGAAGTTCAATCCTTCGTCGGCATTGCTTATTTTCTTTCCGATGAACAATTCCCATTCCTGTAACCGATATATGAGGTATTATTCAAGACCCATTGAAATATTAATAATTAAAATTATGAATTTTGCAAATAATCCATCGAATAAAATATATCAGCTTAAGTATTATAATATAATACTAGTTGCTGTTGGTTTACTTAGTTATTGTTTTAGTCATAGTTATGTTGTTAATCATGTTTAAAATTTACAGTACTGTACACATTGACAATTTTGGGCTTGTCCCATAAAAAATAAAATAAAATAATATTATATACCTCCATGCTTTATTACCCTACAGTATTTTTCAGTTTAATCGATGGTGCAGTACTCACGTTTGGACCGAAATCCTTTGGATTCAGTTTGTGAGAAAGATGCAATGCAAACATTAGTTTCTGATCTTTAAACAATGACCTTGAGATATAATAGTAAACGGCGTGCAAAAGTTTCCTTTCCTGGTTTGCACCTCCGACTGTTCCCTGAAAATGTAAGCGTAGACACAATGTCAATGCAAAGTCGATACATTTTGCTACTAAAATAACTGTATCACCTTCAACGTCAACTGAAACAGTTTGACGAACGTCATCAGGGAAATTTGAGAAAACCGGTTAATCACGAACAAATCTTTTAAGGCAAAGTATATGTTTGATGCGTAATCGGCCAAAGGTTTGTACACTTCGCACTCGGATTCCAGTTTACTTTGCATCTTCAACGATTCGTTAAGTGATTGCGATATTTCCATACTGTTGGTTTTTACACTGTCCAAAGAGTTCAAGAGTTCCTGAAATGCTCTTGCTATTTATCGGGATCGAGCGATGTGTATAATATTATGTTTAATTTGTATTACTCGGTTTTTAAGAATGTTCCCTTGGGCGTCGGCCAAGTCTCTGAGCACGTTTTCTTGTAATACGTGTAGTTTAGTTTTTAGTTCTTCTTCTGCGTGCAGCAATTCCAAATGTTTCGAATCCAATTTAGGATTTTCAACTTGAAGCGCGTATCGCAACAGCTAGGCCGCAATCAATTCGAAATAGAATAATTTAAATTTAATACTTATGGCAAAACGATGGGGCGTTTACCTGCTCTGTGAGACCAATATGATTGAGCGTGAAATTAATAATTGTCATTAAAACGGACTGGTGAGAAGATAGAGCCAAATCTGCGTTGCTACTGAACAGGTATAGCTGAAAGTTATCATTGTAGTCCACCAGTCGGTCGGCTATTTGAATTATTTTTCTGCTTCCTAAAACCAAACAAATTACTATAAATTATTCTTTATGTATAGAGTATAACCATACGGTAGTTACCTTCGATGACAAAGTCGTTTCTCAATACTGGGACCAAAATAGGATCAATGTTGTCATTGATATTGTGTATTACCACAGTCTTGCCGAATCTACGAGCATAATATTAAGTAGTGTAACTCATTATTGCATTTCAATGAATGTTTCTGATTACCGTATAGCTAATTCTAAACTAGAATGGAATTTAGGATTCTCGAATGATATGAATTCGGTAGCGTTAGTAGGCAGTTTCTTCTTTAACCACTCCATTATATTATTATTTGGATCTATGATTAAAGGATAGAATTTTTCCTGCAAAAGTGAAAATATCAGGAAGTGTTGTAATTAAATAATATACTACATATTATAATAAAAAGTGATTACTAACCGGAACTTTAAGACTTTGAATCTGAAACATTAAGAAAGTAGTAAGCATTGATTGCGAAATTAAATTATTTTTGGCTAACATAATTATAACTTACTTGTTTGAGAATGATGGCATTTTGATGTGAAGTTTCGTCAGACGGCAAACCTTCAGTGATCCATTGCAGAATTTGACGTTCAGACTCCATAAATTTGGAAAATGAAAATTCATCGGCCTTCAATTCAAATTTCCATTTTTCCATCTTCTCATTTCGCACACTATCGGTACATTCAGGCAGGTACGTTACGAACGCAGACGCCAACAAGCTGTTCAACAATAGATTTTCTAGACTTTCCGACAACTCGTTCACCTGCAAAAGTCACCGTAAGTCAATTATTTTAACTCAAGTGCAAGCTCCAGAAACAACTAGATATTTTTTAGGAAGATCATTGCGTGAAGAGTTTGAATACTTACTTGTTGGCCCCATCTCGAGAACTCGTCGTCCAATTTCTCTACGAGCTTTTGGGCAGAGTCAATCGTTTGTTTCTCCTTGTTGATGTTCAATTCGATTTCAGCTGCTTCTTTGGTGTTGACGTTCAACTGTTCTCTCAAATCAGCAACCTTTTTCTCGACGCTGTCCAGCCCGTCACTTAGCAGTCCTATTTGTTCCTCGGCATTTTGCAGCTTCCTATTTAATATGGTCGCAAGTGTGGAATTACTAAAAAAAGACTAATGAACCATAATAATCGGTATAAATACGTTTTCAATGACGTGTGCTCGATCTCCAGGGGTTTTATTTTGTGTAATATATGTGAATAGGCTACATTGGCCACCACCCACGAAGCCAAAGGTGCCGCAGCCGCCGAAGCTCTTTTGGCGTTTCTTGCGTCGAACGAATCGCTTTTGGTTTCCAAAAGTCTCTCCACTGAATTGCGGTTGTCTTCAGATATTCGTCGTGCGTCGAAGAACCGAATATCCTCTTTGACACCTCGCTTGGCCAAGAAAGTTTTCATGCTGTTCCATGACGTGTCTTGTATGCCCATCAGACGCAATACGCCCTCCAGAATGTCTCTGATTACTTCCGGAGGTGCACGGAGTGACCGGATTTCAGTCAGTGCTTCCGGTTTGATGTTACTTACTGCCGCTTGTGCTTCTTCTATTAACGGTTCCACCTGCGCCAGTTCTTGATCTATCTCTTTTTTCCTGCGAAAAAAATATATTATTTGCACGACGTTTGGGTATGGTATATTTAAATTGTCCTGAGCTATGCCCCAGCACTATCACAATGTTGAATATCAAAGTATTTTTTTTTTATGTAGTGAGGTCAAACAGTTTTCATCTTTCGTGATTATAAAGACAAGCCATTGTAGAAAATAAATTTAAAAAATGTGAGAATTAAGACTACTTACCTTAGATTTAACGCGTCGTTTTTGACTTGGAACTCCTTCTTGAGGCTTTCCATTTGTTCTTTTTTGGTATTAGCTCCCTGCATTGTTTTCGAAATCATATTCAACGCTTGGTTGGCTTTCTCTTGTTTTTCCGCCAGTTTAGCTTCTTGAGCACCGGCGTCGGATTTTAATTTTGCCACCACGCTTCTAGCATCCACGAGTTTCGATAGTCCGGCCTGCAGTCATTTTACATCAAATAAGTATTCGTTAAGGCTGAACGCGTAAAAATGCCATTACTTTTAAATGACTCAGCCTTTTATTGATAAACTCGTGCTTGTCTCGCAGTAACGCGCTAAAAGTCTGGATAAACGATATGTAACGTTTGGGACAAGTATTCATCCAGTCTTCGGCATCTCGATGGATATCCGGAAACTTTAACACATACTCGTTGAGTTTAGGGAACTCTTCAAGTAATTTGTTTCTGAAAATCAAATAAAATATTTTTTTAAATTTCTATCACACGGGAGTGCCAGTCGCAACTTACTTTTCGAGAATTATTTCCGGTATGATTTTCATGATTTCAGCGTTCCATCGGTCCAGCCAAATGACATCACTGTGGTCCAACGTCGCTGGACTGTTTTCCACGAAAGCATTAAAGAAGTCACTGTGAGAATCTAATATCATTATGACGTGTAGGTTTTTTTTTACTCCTATTATGAGAATTAGTTTAAATTAATGATATGTGGAGTTATCATGTTACTAATTAAAATTATCATCAAACTTTCTTTGAGCAAAAAATCCGGCGGGGGTTCCTTCGAAATTCTCTTGGGCCATTTGATCCTTTAGCGGCGCGCAAAGTGTTTCCAGCTCTTCGTTTTGATACAGTCCCATTACCTCTCCAGATACGATTAAACAGCTCATTATATCCGTCACTTGGTCATTTATCATGTGAAATTCTTCAACCACGTAATACACCTCTTCGTTGTCGACCCCGCATGTTTGCATCACCTACTCGAGCAAATAAATTACACAGATTTTTTTTAGCAAATCCTACTAACACCTAAAGAATCTTGTCGTGCTGCTTAACTGATTTTAGGTCGTTTTTAAACGTTTTTAAGTTGAAGACCTGTCGCATTTTCGGCAAAATGATCGTGGCGTTATGTCTGGACGCTACAATTTTCACTGCGAAATTTCTGCCCACACCCAGACGTCCCACAAGCAATAGGCAGCCACCAGGTCTAGTCAACACTCTTTCGCAATTGGCTACCACATTGTACACCAATTCCGTGTTGAGTTCTACGTCCTGTGCGGTGTTCTCTACAAACATGTTTTTATCATTAGCCCCTTTAAAACAAATGTAAAACAGTGCCGTTACCACTGTACCATTAATCATTAAGCGTTTTTTAATTATTTGTTTCCAGTCGTCTGTCTGTAGTTTCGATAGTTTCCCAGCATTTTTCCGGTCGATGTTGCCCTCGCACACGTAGACCACATCTGAAATATCAGTTCAATTATATATTCAAGTTTTCCAAGAATAACATCCATTTTTCGAATCGGGTTACCTTCGTGTTTGAATTCCAAACGATGTTCCGCGTATATTTCAGCGATCATGTTAGCAAACTTCTTTTTATCTTCTGTCATAACCAGTTTGTCGCTGAACTTATGAACAGCCTCAAAGTACAAAACCTGCGAAAGATTTTGAGGTTACAAGTTTATAATTTATATCAACCCCAACATTCTTGTGTTACTTGAGCTGCATTTTTCGAGTCTCTAATCTCATATCGGCTCAAGTCGAAACATAACGAGCTCAAAATATGATTGTTGAACGTGTAGTGAGGCATTTTTACGGACGACAACTTTACTCTAGCCTTATGCGCAAAATACATATTATTATTATTATTATTATTATTGTTTCTATGTTAATTACAGTCGAAGATGTCATCCAAGACAGTTTACCTGCAGCAATAGGTCTACAAGCACATTGGAAATTGTCGTCCTGTCTTGAACCATCGAACCCAAATATTCTGAACATATTTTTACTAGCTCCGATTTTTGCGGCATTCTGTAGTGCAAAAGATTTAAAAGTTCATCGTAAAATGTGTTGAAATTATTTGTATAGTCTACACTCACTCGAGATGCAGTATGTTACTGGCCGATAGGAGTCTTGGGTTAATTCCGTCTGTAGACGTCAAACTATTGACTATAACTAAATTGTTGTCTACGCCGATCCACTCCAAAGTAGTTGGTTCGTAGAATCCTCCGAAGAAAATCAACTAAAAAATCAACATAATATGAGAGTAGTTAAAACCGACTTATCGAAGACAAAGTGGCACTAGAGCCGCTTGTCATGCGTTGGTGTTTGCATAACACATTTTGAACTAAATGTACCTAAGGCTAAACATTTATAGTATGCCGGATGCCTTACCTGTTGTATAAAAGCTCCAAGGTGAATCGTACCCCATTTGTCTGGCTTAACGTGGTTGAGATTTTTGAAGTGTAAAACTAAACGCTCCGAATTTCTCGGTCGGTACACTCTACCCTTGTTGCTAGAAACTATCATGCACATCTGTAAAACAACCATCGCGCTTAGTACATAAATTATGTTGCTAAAATATACTAAAAAAATGATAATAATGGGACAATTTTGAGTTTTGACATACATTTAAGAGTACCTATATAAAGAAAAGGTTGAAGTTAATTTCGTTGGTGAACAGGTTATTATAATAATACATTTAATATTAAACTATGTTATTAATTAATAATAGGAGTTCGACGTAAAAAGTAAAGCAGTTTTATTTTCTAAAATAGTTTCGAATAACCATCTCATTATTAAACTCTAAGTTTTATTGAAAAGGGAAATAGGCATTAGCTATTTCCCTATGTAGGAACTTTATCGTTATCCGATTTAAATATCTTTTAAAATTATCCTTACATTTTCATTGTATTTTAAAAACACAAATTATGAAAATGCGTTCAATTTATTTTTAATAAAAATACAAAAAGCTGTCGAGTTAGCTCAAAAATCATTTAATATCCATTAATAGAAGAGTGACTAATGAAATATTAACTTTCACTAAATGGTAAATATTATTATAGAATAAAAAAATGTAATTATAACATTCTGCAATGATTAATGTCTGTTTGTTATATTTTATAATACATTAGGACACTAAACTGACAAGAGAAGTTGTATTAAACAAACCATTAATTTATTAGGTATTTTATTTTTACGGATTATTTATGAGTTTATTTCTTGTCGCCGTTCAACAATTTATTGTTATGTCCTCAAATTCGTTTTTTATCAATCCGAATATTAAATTAATTTTTTCGATTTACCTGTGTCATTTTCAACAAGACTTGATCGGGTGAAGTGTTTGCGCTGCAATGGATAGTAACGCATTCCGTTGCTCTTAGCATTTCCGAGCATTTCAAAATCATTTTGCTAAGCAATGTTACAATTAATACAATACCAATACACGGTTAGGATGTTTTCGCACGAGTACCTTTTACCGGAACCCGATGGACCGACAACAAAAATAGACGTCCCTCGCTGCATCCATTCGACCAAAACGTCAGTAGCGTTCGAAATTCTCGGAGTCTCCACCAAGTCACCGGTCTTGTATCCGAAAGGGTTTGGAGAGTCTGTCCCGGCACAACGATAGCTGTCGATATCGTCTCTGAGTCTATTGTAAAAGTAGTATCGCGATTCCGACTCCGGCACGTACTCTCCGATCATTTCGAAAATCTTATGAACGTGATGAATGGAGATATTATTCATTTATTATTATTATTATTTTTCATATTTTATTTTTTACAATTTTTGAAAACTTGTCTTTAAGGGGCGTGGTCAGGTTGGCTCCGAGTCCGTTAACGAGACAAACGGTGAACTGAGATTTCGACTTGACGTCGGTTAGTAGGTGTAAGAAATTGTTCACTGTAGATACGACGGAACAACCGCTAACGTACTGTCCGTTTTTCGTCAACCACTTTAGAGCTGTGGATATTTTAATTGGTTTGCGTTATCTAGCGGCTACATTAATTTAGAGTTGATATCCGTTAGTCCTCCACCTTTACCCCACACGATCTAACCACTTTTTTTTGTCGTTTCTCTACCTTTTGTTTGCTTCTTAATTTCTATAACCCTTTTCTTCATTTTTTTTTTCTTCGCCTTATCCAATACAAACGGAGTCGGCCAGCCAAATTTGCTCTCTCTACGAATCTTTACATTTATTTATTCATTTCACACACCTCCGTGGCTTTGTATATTACATCCACTCACTTCGTATTACTTTACCTCTAACTATAAATCTATCTACTGCGATCTCTATAACATGTTTTACTATTTCGAATTTTCCCTTCGTGTAAAACATCTAACCCATCTCAATCTATCTTTCTGTTTTTTTCCTGCTTATGACGTAACTCCAAAATGTCCTCTTATAATAATCATTAATACTTTTATCTATCATAGTCAATCCACGTATTTGTCTCAATACATTCTTCATAACATATCGTATATACTGATTCATAAAAATATTTGTACAAAATAAGATAAATTTTTAATTATAAATAAATTTTAATGTTATACCTTCATAGAAGTAATGTCCATAATCGTTTAGAACAGTATTGCTCGGAGAAGCTTTTACCCACGAATCGACCACGTTTTGAATATTAATGTCTTCATCACTGTTGGGTAATAATAATTACCATATTATATTACATACAAGGAGTCAAATATTATAGTAGACGACCTGTACTTAAACCAGGAACCCTTCAGAGAGTGCGCTTTACTCTTATTTTCTAATAATTTTACCATACACTGTTTATGTTATATATAAGAAGAGTTGGAGGATTTAGAATGATATTAAAAGTAGTAAATTATTGTTAATGCAAATGTGATAACCTAGAACAGTTTATACTCGACTCGCATATACTTGGCATATGACAGTAAATTAATAGGTATTAGATAGGTGTCTACTCTTTTTTAATATTATTATTAATTTTCGTTTCATACAATAAAAAAAAAACAGTTTACTTAATATTTGCTTACCTAAGAAGAATTATACCCATTCTGGAAACGGTAGCCGGAGAAGCGTACCCCAAAGAATGTGTTTCGAATAGGAAATGCACGTTGCTCCCAAATTGTATCCTCCATCCAGACGGCAACGTTAATAATCTGTTATCGTCTAAAACGGAATTCAACGATTCTATCCATTCCGGATCTACGTCTCCGTCGAATATTATCCAAGACATAATATCTAATAAAAATACGTAGATTATATTAATAGGTAGATGATAAGAGCAAAGTTCAATTTGTAGCGAGTCAATTATATTATAAATTGAAAATGTTATCATTTTATTTAGGGTTTCCGTTTTGTCTTTTAAAATTTCGACTCCCAAAGTCTTCTTCTAAAACGATTTGCGATTAATTGATGCGCCAGCGCTACTCGAGTAAATTCCACATTATATGTTAGCCGGTAAAATTCTAGATTAGCCAACCCTAGCAATTACAAAATTTGTTTCTTAAAAATATGTATTTTTAGGTGTTTTTTTTTTCAAATTTGGGGAAATCAAAATTACTTTCATTTCGATGAAGTTTTCAAAATACGAATACATATTCATATTTTTTTTTATGATAAAAATGACGATGCAAGCAAATTTTGTAAACCACAATTACATTATTCACATTGAATTAAATGCAATAAATGTGAAGGAGTTACTCAGATATTTGGGAGGGGAGGGAGGGTACAAGTTATTTCTAATTCATTGCCTTTAATTTTTTTAATGAGTGTAGTATAGGTAATTTTCTATAAAAATTTACATTAATCTAAATATTATAGTGTAGAGGAATTCATATGACATTAACTTTTACAACGCAGCTATTTAGCTTGTGTAAAAGCTGTTTCATGACATGCAGTTTTAATTTTAAGAGTACATATATGCCAAATAAAGAGATTTGAAGTTGACAAGAATGATTTTACTCTAAAGCTGTTAAATTCCTCAGAAATGTTCATCTCCTTATATATGTTTACACGCAAATAATTAAGTATTGGTGACACCCTCATAAGTATGCATCAGTTTTTTGTATACATTTATTTGTTAGTGTTTCGACTGTTCTCCTACCAGAACTTTCCGAATAAGCTTGTTGCGCTGTCTTACTAATGATGCCGTCTATCCATTGGCGTGTGTCTAAATCGACTTTTCCCAAAAGCTGAGACCGGGTTTGAGCTTTAGGATTGATTTTGTGTATTTTCACGTTGTTGTTTTTGCTTATCGCCTGTAGAAATTATAAATGTGAAGTTTCAAAATAATTTATTACTAAATTATTTTCTGAATTTCGTTTTACATGTGATAAAAGTTGTATTATAGAAGTCTTGCCAGTTGACGGTGGACCCATGACTACAACGCCCATGCGCTGTTGAAGTTGTTCGTAGAGTTCAATACATTTCTGCTCCTGGAATGTTCAGGTTTTGGGCAATTAGATTTAAATCAATTACCAATTATGTTTACAAGCATTAGTTCACGAGTAACGATAGTTCGTGAGAAACGTCATAATTTACTTGTCTTTGATTTCGTTGTAAGCCCAACTTGTCTGCCGCCTCCCGTATGCGTTGAATCAACGAGTCGTATATCTGAGGTTTGCTGGATGCTTTTACTTCTGGAAATATGTCTTTGATCAACGATTTGAACAACATGCCGTCGTCGTAAGTCAATTTCGACATGGTGTTCAATTCTAACGCTTGTACGGCCACCGAACATTCTTCAGGCAGAGACTTGAGTGCCGGCGACGCTTTTAAAATTGTACCGCAAAAACCGATAACAGTTTTCAATGCTCGAAGGCCCCAATCGTAGTGCTGTTGATTGCTCAGTAGTTGTCTGCAAAAACGATGAGCCGTTAGCCGCTTGTTTTCGAATACAATATATTTTAGTACATTACTTGGCCGAGTCGAATGTCTCTACGAGCTTTTTGGCCAGCGTATCAGGATACTTGAATCCTTCGGCATGCAGTGTCACGCTGGCTATTAAAGTCTGGTCCGGTTGGCTCATAACGATGGGCCGAAAAAGTTGCTTGAGATTATCTGGTAGTTTGTTCCTTCCACCATAACCTTGCCCGGCTGGGTTTAATGTCACGAATATACCAGCGTTCAAGTTCAAGTCGATCTGAAACGTACCGATTTATTAATTTTTTATAGTATTCTTCTTCTTTATCTTCGCCTATCTCATACAAACGCAGTCGTTCAACTAATCCAACACTTTCCATCACTATTTATATCTTCTTCTCTGCCATATTTCGACAATGATTTCTCCAACTTTTTATTATTTACTTTCCTCCCTTTTTTATGCCTAAGTAATCTCTTATTCAGTGCCTAACCCTCACTTCCACGCGTCATTTTCGGCCTTATTACAGATTACCAGTTTGGGCTTAATATTCTGATCCTCGACAAACACCTATTCTATCTGTAAATTTGTCTGTTTCATCACACACGCTCTTAATGCGCCCCCATTTCGCTGCCTCGTATATAATATATACATATTTTACAATATACCATTTATATTATTTTGATTTGTAAAAACACTCAAACCTCTTTGTCCCCCAAAACGAAAACCTTGTCTTTGTTTTTGATTGCTTCTTGTATCGGATGAATTTTGGTAGACACCATCGATAGAGTGGTGTCTTCGAGACGGTTGAATTCGTCAAAACATCCCCAAGCTCCACACCTGGCTAATCCGACCAGAATGCGAGTCAGCGACTTAATGTCGATTCCTTCGTCGCAGTTGAACACCAAAACTTGACGGCCGAATAGATAGCCCAGAGCTTTGACGGACTCGGTTTTTCCTGTGCCGGCTGGTCCGTAAGGGTTACCGCCGAATCCCATGCTCATAGCCTGCACGAGAAAACAAATAGGCAATTAATCGTTCCATAAAATCGTATTAATCGTCGCTCACTTGTGTCAGTGTTAGGTAACAGTTATCTGTCAGTGGGGTATGAACTAATTTTGGAGCTATTCCCTGGTATTCGTAGGAATAACGAAATTCCGAATCGACCATTCGTATGCTTATCTCACCTCCGGAAAGAGCATAAAACCTATAGTAAAAAAATAAAAAAAACTCAGTAAAACTCGACGCTTTTTGTGATAAATGATAAATTTCATTTTGCTAAATAAAACAAAATTTCAGTTCCAATAAACAAAGGGCTGAAGTGTTGTCCTTTATCGGCGTTAGAATTGCTGATTCTAATGTCGAACGAGAGGCCCAAGTAGACTTGCCTTATTCTTCTCTGCCATTCCCAATCGTCGACTGACGACACGCGACTCTCGATAAGCTCATCGATTACCCTTAGATGGTATATCGTGTCCAAAATCAATCCTTTTGTCTTCAAATTTAACACGTCCTCTCCGTTTGTAGCGCTTTCTGCGTTTAATGTTGTGTACGTGTCGAGTTGGTTCTGGAAGGGATTCAGTTCTATTTTTATTAACTTTACAAGCGTGGCCGACGGTAAGATATAGTTATATTAGGCAAAAAGAGATAATTCATATTCAATTGTATTGTTATACGCATTTATAAATCGACTATTGTATAACCTTTAACGATTTTCGCAATTGTTCCAAATTACGTTTTTTGATTGCTTCTTCGCATCTGGAACAGAACAGCACCTCGTTTACCATGCACAATATTTGTGAAGGGTATTTTAGCGGATCGGGTTCTTTTAGACAGTCCACGAAACACGTTTTCAGCGTACTCGTGATTTGTTGTACGAGGGTTTGTAGCCATTCCTGTTCGGTAATACAATTACGATTATTGTTTGTCGCATAATTTACATTTTTCTGATAAATTAAAAAAATTAAATAATGAATCATTAAAAAAATTTGACATTAAGTAACCTCTAAAACTAACACAATTTATTAGAACATAAAATTTAAAGTAACGATCACATACATATTTTTATTACTAAACGTTTAAAAAATATCTTTCGTCTTGCGTAGTCGTGTAAAAAACTACTAATGTAGCGAATCTTACATTTCGAGTTTTAACGATTACTATAGTTATTGTTTTGATGAAAATTGGTAAAGGTATTTTTCATAACTGACGAGTTGATTGAACTCACTTCAATGTGATCGGATACTGACACAGGTTTGTCGAGAGTGACTATTTCTTTCTGTGGCGATTCGACCGATACAATGTTTCCTGAAGAATTGAACTGGACGTTTTGGACGCCACTGAACAGTTTCTTCAGATGTGCTTGGACGACCGAAATTTTTTTTGTTTGTCCAATCATTTCCAACAGGTCTTCGTCGCTTAGGAAATAAAATCTCGGAAATGTCTTTCTCTTGTCCTAATAAACCCACAGCCAGTTAGTAAGTAGTATCTAAAATTATTTATTTCGATAGCCTAACCTAAGCCCAATGTTGGTAGCTCGTAAGAGTTAATGTATGCATCTAGTTTACCTCGAGAAAATCGCTCAGACATTTTTTCGTCGTCGCCAACAAGTTCAACATAGATTCCAACAAATGCTTTATGTTGTTTATTTTCAAGAAATTCAAAACTTTGGAACTAAATGATTGTTCAAGAACGTATTTGAAGTCTCTGTCCACGCGGTCGAATCGGGATTTAGTGTCTTGGTTCATCTTCAACGTGCCACTACCGAATATGGGATCCAAGTATAGCCATCTATTTAAAAAAATAAGTTTACAACATATACAGTGTCGCTAATTGTTTATTTAAAATTACTACTCACTTTCTCTGGACGTGAGAAAAGTGCCTCAAACATGTGTCAAGGTCCATAAATTTATTTTCCCATGTTAAGCATTTTTCCAGAAATTGTTCATCACTCGATGTGTTCTTGATCGATTGTAACAAACACTGTTTTTCCCCTATCTGTGGAAATTACCATTAATCAATTTTACTTGCATGTAGTTATTTTTTGTTTAATAATAATAAATAATATTAGGTACCGAATTAAAGAGTGTTTTAAAATCGCTAATAATACGAATGGTTTGTCCTTTTGAATCTACATGATCCATAGGGTTAAAGTACGTTTCGAACTCCCACATTTCTAATTCGGATAGTGCTTGCCTTATGGTGATTTCACTGGCCGCTTTAGAATTCAATTCCTATATGTATACATATAATAATATTATACATCGTTATAACACGATTATTAATATTTGCCAATTTGTTTACTTGTAGACTAGTCAGTTTTTCTTTAATGCTGTCTTTTGCCATAATAAAGTCTTCGAATTTCAACTGTTCTATGGTTTTGTACGGTGCACCGATTAGGCTAAACATTTCCATCCAATGTTTTTCGGTAAAAGTTTCGCCTTGAAAGTATTTCACGCAGGCTGAAAATGCCTAACATCTCTTCATTAGGTTTAACGAATAATTTGTATAAGGCTAGCAACCTAAACAGAACATTTGGATAATTCAAATAATTTACTTTTAATGATTCCAACTCTTTGTGTATTTTTATCGTTAACGGCGATGTCTGTACTCGCTGAAGTTTGTCTTGCCAATTTAAAATTAAGTCCATTAGTTTTTTAAACGCTTTGCTACGAAATCCGATCCAGCTTTCATGTCCCAACTCCCGTAGGTCTAAACGTGTAAAATAAAATATTTTAATATAATAAAAAGCATAATATTTTCTATTAGTGTTGGACCTGAATTAAATTGATCCAAAAGTCCCCACACGGATTCTAAGTTTTTAAGCTCAGCTTCTATGAGATCGTATGTACTAAAGTCAGGCGTATCGACATAAGCTTCTTTACAATCGTTTCTAAAGTGAAAACATAAAATTTCATTTTCAATGAAAGCATTTTAATGACTAGCACATATAAATAATATCCGCGTTTGTCGTACACCACTTTTTCTTTGTAATCCATAATTGTGTTCCACTCGACACGGCTCTCTTTTAAAAACTCAACCACTCTCTTTAAGGTCGAGTTGTTTTCATCTTCAAAGCCTTTGGGTTTGTACTGTTGCCACCTCGACCGGAACGTATCGAACATGTTTAGTACGCTTTGCACTTCGCCTGACAAATTTCTTTTCATCGTTTCTATTTGTTGTTTCATAATCGCCTGATGGTTTTCTAAAGTATTCTTGAAATTCTCCCAATCCGACAGCGCTTTGTTCATTTTTTCGACCCTCTCGTTTGTCCAATTTGATAGCACCTTATGTTTCTTTATGGTTTCGGTCACCGATCGTTCCATCTAAAAAAAAAAAAAAACATAAGACCATCCCAGAGTTTAATTATTTTGTTTTTAGGAGTTTTTAGTCGATTTTGATCCACGCAAACCTCTATGGATGCTTCGACGATACTCTGATGGGTGGCATTGACTTGCTGTGTCGACGTTACTTGTTTTCGCAGATCGGCCGTGGACTGTTCGACAAATTTGTCTAGAGCAGCTATGTCGAATAGAATCGAAGAGTACAACATCGTGGCCAACGTATCCCAGTAACGGCGGTTGTGCGTTTCCAGCTCTAAGCGAACTGCCGCAGTACTGACTATGAAACATTCGATTTGTATTTCAGCGCTAGGTATAAAAACCACAGTGAACATTAAGTTATAGCACCAATACGCCTTAAGATGGTACCGACCAGTTGACTTTAGCTATTTGCTGACCCCACGACTTGGACGATCTGAAATTCAGTTCCCAGTCGTGCGCCGTTTTGATGTTTTCCTGGATCATCTTTTCGATGTCAACCAAACCGAGAGCTACTCGGCTCTCCCATTCTTTTAAAACGTTTTCCAAACGTTCAAACAGTTCTTCGGCCCTCGTAAACAACATAGTGAACATCGAAGCGTTACTTTTAAGTTTGAAAAAAAGAGCAATTAATACCCGTTCGTAGATCCATTAAAGCATAATACATAGTTACAACAGCGTGGGATATTGTGTGACAGAATGTAAGTGTACATTCACAGGGAGAGATATTTTTTTATAATAAGGCAATAAGGCAATAATATATGTAAGTTAGTTTTGGGCTCGAAATAGAAGAGCTAAAAGGAAAATAGAAGTGACTGCAATATGAATTTCGAGATGGATGTGTGAAGTGATTAGATTAGTTTGATAGTTACACCAATTACAGGAAAAATGGGAGAGAGAAAAATGGTGAGATGGTTTGGGCATATTGAAAGAAGAGGAGAAAGTTAGTCACATTACCGATCGACGATGGACACAAATATCGACTCTGCAGAATCCACTACACCGCGAAACCCGATCGGAACGGATATAAATTTTTTCAGTTGAGCAAAATATTTCATGCGTATTTCTTCCATAGGTGGATTGAATTTCAGTCGCCGTTGCCTGTTGGATTTATACCAATAACGTATTAAAAAAAAATATAAGATATAACTGTTTTCACGGCTTGTACAATACCTGAAAACGATTTCAATTCTGAAATCTGGAAGATGTTGGTTGAGCGCTCCAAGTCCTATTTGATAGCGATGATTTAGCGATTTGTAAATCTGATGATCCAAATGATCCTTCCACGTGCCACAATTGGTAAACTTAAAAACAAACCTCATTAGATAAATTGGATGGGTTTTGAACCAACTGCATAATTTGAAAAAAATACCTTTTCTTCTACTTGCCTCACGACATCCCTAATACTTTTAAGCGTAGATTTCCATCGGTGTTGTTCTTGCAGTATATCCGTATCCATTAGGCCTATGATCTATACAACCAAAATATCAATATCTAAAATTGCCTACATAATGTGAAATCGAGTTCAATGCACTTGAATTGATTTTGTACCTTGTTTGAAGCCACTTGATGATAATTTGCCAACGTTTGGTTTTCCAAGGAAATTTTCTCCATTTGTTTTCGCATTTCTAATATGTAGTTGTCGACTGAACTTGCGTTGGTCCAAGTGATTGACTGCTGTCTTTTCACCAAGTTCATGAGTTCAACGGCAGAAGCCAACATCATCGGCCTTTGCGAAGGTATCATTCGATCTCCGATTGTATTGTGGAACGAAGCAATCTAAACATGGATGAATATAGCGCATTTTATTGTTTCATAACTACTTGAACGCTTACTTGTTCGAGCGCTTTGGCTTGCTTTAAAAAAACACTACCCGTTTCGGATACGTTTTCTATTTCAGCAGGAATAGAGTAACCCAAAATTTTCAGCATTCTCACTTCGCGGATTAACAACTCAATGTCGGGATTGAAATTGACCTTCATGAGCTTATCAGTTTGAAAGTATACCACCGGCTCGTTCGAGTTAAGCCTTAATAATTTATTTAATATACTCAAATAATTGCACTGATGATACATTACTGTGTAATGAAATAAAAAAGGTCTGATTTTACCTGAAACTCTTGTTACTGATTGAAGTTGTTCTGTATTTTACCCAATTTTCATAGGTGTCCGCTGTCGTGTCTCTAATATTTTTCGTTTGTACGATTATCGAGTCTTTCAGTTTTTGATACCCGTCCAAATGTACAAGTATTTTACCACTGACGATTTCAATGTCGTTGAGCTAAAAGTTTTAAGGTTGTAAATGTAAAAAAGCCACCACAGCAGTCACAGTAATTAAGACATTTTTAGTACAGTTATTATTTAGATTTTAATTTTAGAATGCTTTTTTTGATTTTCAAGGGGAAGGGGGTGAATATTTTTGAAATAAATTTACTTTAGCTTTTTGTTGTTTTAACGAATATAAATTTCTGATGATCGGTTCTAAGTTCGCCAAGTGTAGTGTGTTCATTTTTTGTACGTTTTCTCCTTCGACGTCTCCCATCCCGTCGACAATGTGTTGTAAGCAGTTTAAAAAATTTTCCAATTCTCCTTTAAGCTGCACGTGAACGTTGGGCCTTCCTATGATCTCTTGGTACCGAACGAATTCGTATATTAGCTGTAGATTATAGAAATATAGTTTATTTCCTAAATGTAAACCGTCTACATTTACGAATTTTCATGTCTATTGTTTATAATGTGTACCTCGGCTGTGTTCGAACTTTTACTGTTGATCAAACTTCTAAGTTTACCCACTATCAAGTCTTCGGCCGGTTGTAACTTGTTTTCGAATTTTTCGACAGCAGCCGTCCACGCTTGAACGGTGTAGGAATTAAGTATATTAACTTGCTTGAATTCTAAACGAAATTTGTTCAAAAATATGAAATTATATAAATAAAAATATAGTTTTATTTCATATTTACCGAGAAACGGGCTTAAGTTGTCTGAGGTTCTTAGTTTTTCTTGTTCGTAGACTGTGAGGAGTCGAGTCATTTGGTTGTTGGTGCTTATTATAGAAGTTATCTGAAAAAAAAAATTAAGAGTCATTCCTGTTGTTTATTTGGTGAGTTCACTATACTTTTTGTGCGTACTTCTCTGATGTGATCGGAAAACGAAATTAAATCCGTCGACAAATATTTCGGGCCGGTCCATTTGTTGTAAGAGTAATTGGGCCAGTACAAAGTGGTCAACTGCTCGCAAGTATTTATCCATTTATCACAGGCTCTTTTACATGTATTCAACACGTCCACTGACTCGTTGTTGTCAGCTGTCCAAATATTACCTTCACCGGACATTCGTTGGGTTAGTTTAACGATAACCTTTCCGACAACGTAAAACAAATGTTCCATTCTCGTTTGAGGATATTTTATTTGTTCGATTTTCCAAATGTCGTCCAGACAATTATGCATGTTCTCTAAACATTCGTCTAAGTCCTGTACAGACGTCTCTCTGTGCACAACAAATAATGAGTTAAAAAAAATTATGCTTGTTTAGTATTGTTCAGCAACGGTATGGGTATAATTACCTCAGTTGTTTTGCGACTGGCGTCAAATAGCAACAAATTTTATCAGCAGCAACCGATTCCGCTTTATTTTTTGTGTTTTTTTTTACAACTGACCAATAATCTGCTTCGTCTTGTAAGTCTAGAATGACTATCACAAAAAAACCCACCAAAATATCACTACTAAAAAAAGGTCCAAACAGCTTTTTATACCTTCTTTTTTTATTCATAACTGTTTTTTTATGGCGATTAATTATGACTAGAGTTCGTTAAAAATGTTGACAGGGTAAAAAAATACCAAAATTACTTTGTTAGGTCATAAAATTTTTTTTAAACCAATAGCAATTAAAAAAAAACAGAGTCATTACCAAAAAGTTTTTTGTTTTTTGCACAATTCTAGTGCTCTAGTGTCTGGTAATCATAATTTTTGTATAATTAATACTATTATTAAATACAATTATTTACCCCCTAAATGAGATTCCAGCGCGTTGTCCGATTGGTTAATCGTGTTTTTGTAAATAACCGTTTTTAATCCCATTTCCAGATCAGATATGAGACCCTGTAGCTTTGGGTCCAGATTAATAGCGCTGTTGACGTCCTGGGAAAAAATAAAAATATTAAACAGAATAGATTCGCGTACACTGTTTGCAGTGGTCCGAATTACTTTCAAAAGCGTTGGCGAGTATATGTAGTGCAGGCTATTGTAAAGGGCTGAGGTTGGCGAATCCAACATGGTGTAGATGGATACGACTGAACGAATGTTTTCTTTGGTTATGCTTTCCGGACGGATTTTGTAAAACACCATTGTTTTGGCGTTTGCTCCATTTTGGGTCATCTGTAAGTAAAGTCGTCTCGAATAATATATCATTAAACTAAAATAAATTTAAAAAATCGAGAACTATGATGGTGACGGATCATATTAGGGAGATCACAATATGATATTCAGAAATTATTTAACTGTTGTTTAAAAATTTCATTCAATTTACTTTCGTGAATTTTTCATGATAATATTTCAAAGTACTTAAATTCTGGTACCTACCTAATTTTTTAACAAGGCAAGCGGTTTAATAATGATAAAATAATTAATTTAAATTAATAATTTTGACTGGTCGTTTCGGAAATCTCATAATGTACTCATATATACATATATATATATATATCTAATAAAATAAGCAACAAGAGTATAAAAAAAAAAAGGAAAACGGCACATTTACAATTATTTCTCACAATTTACTTGATTTACGTTTTACGATTTACGTATTACTGACAAAATGATTAATTATCATCAAAAAACACAACAAGTTATTATGTTTAAAGAACATCCGACACAAGTTCGGAATTAATTAGTCTATTTTTAAAAAAAAATTGATATCGTAGCGTGGTAATTTTAAGTCGAGTAACGTGTATATTTCTTGATTTTTATAGGGGTGAGGTTTTTTTGACTTTGAACCTTTTGTTTAATTTCGTTTACTTTCATACAATTGTTGTACGAAAGAAACATTGCAAAACCAATAGACGTGCTCGGCATCTAAGCTAAAACTACCTACTTTGTTTTGTATGCTTACAATTTCGTCGCGTGCTTCCAAATTGTTGGTAGATTCACATTTTCTTATGTATAATGCACTGCAGTTGGCCGAGTTCAAAAACGAATTCACGTGTTCATCTCCCGAGTTCAAACTGCAAGCGGGCTGTTCAAACCCCGCGTCGATACCGAAATAATTTCCTGGCAAAAACAGACAATCGAATTCCGGTCAAACAACAGCCGTAATAATAATAACAAAACAATCGAGTTTAGCGAGCATGGAATATTTACCGGCGGTTTTTACAATGAAATCTTTTCTGGAATCGTCGTACGCCATGTTTTCACGTCACTTGAAATCGTCTCTTTCAAAATCGTGTTTCGCAATGAAACTCATTCGTCAAATTACTTGTGCTATCAAATGTATTAAAACCACACCGAAAATGTAAGCGTTGTGGCACGTGCAGAGCCGTCCTTGTGCCGGCCATACTGTTGCTATGGTGACCGAGTGTGTCAACACAATACGTCACACGTGCTTTTTGGATTCATTCGTTAACGATTTTTCCAACAGTAATGTTTTTCAAACAGAGACGTCGACATACGACAGTGTTAGGTGAAATTGCAATCTGATTGCCGATTAATGATCACGATTAATAATTGTAATCGGTAATTATAGTGTTAATGTAATCATTGATCAGAAAAGCAATTACATAATTGTAATCGTGATTACGTTAATCGTTTAACTGTAACCATGAAATTATTAATAATAACATTTTGTAACCACCCTGGGCTTTCTTTATTACACATATTATATATAAATATATGGGATGTCTACGACGGTTGACCTTTATAATACCTTCTAGGATGTTATACAAGTAGTTTATTTTTTGACTAGCAATAGGTCATACTAAAATTAATCAAAACATTTAACTAATTTTCAATAATTTCATGATTTCAATTGAATGTTCAGTGTAATCATATATTCGATAATTATTATATTTTTAATCATGAATAACGATTACTTTTACTGTTTATAAAATTATTAAATGGTTATTGATTAATTTATTCATAAAATAATCAATCATGCCCACCACTGACAGATGGTAGACAAAAGAGAGCGACAGGAGTAAGAGTAAAGCATAGGCCAAATTTGTGTGGCGAAATAATTATTTTTTATAAATATGTCCGTCAAAAATTTGGGCTTCGCTTTTGTGACACAAAGATGAGTGGAATGAGTAGGATAGGAAGGGTGGAGGGGGGATGAGAGGTTAAGGGGAAATCGGTACCCCCTCCCCCTTCCCGATAACTGATAAGAGATTATTAATAAGAGAATCGGCTAATAAGAGATATGTGATAAGAGGCATAAAATCAGATAATCATAAATGACATGTTTATAATACAAAATGCATGACCAATGTCTTTCCTTTATGGGAAAAAAATAAAGTTTAAGTATTTAATTAGTTTGCAGTTTCAATAATCCGGAATAGTTTACCGTTTCCTGAGACTTGTACATTATCATACTGTTTTTATTTATATTCATAGATTTTAGTAGACGATTTTTGACAAAATATTTCACCGGATTTGGCACTTGCATGGAAACGGCATGACCACAGGTAATAGTATCCACAGTAAATAATGTACACATCGATGATTTGTTCAAATCAAAAATTGTCAATGAATATTGCATACATTATATGCATTTATATATATTTGAATTACAACACATCATCAAAAAAGTTAATTAAATAATATTATCATAAATAAATAAATCCTGGGCCGATTTCTTGTAGTTAGGAGTGTAAGGGGAAGACAAAGAAGTAGACTAGATAAATAAATAAATACTTGTAAGGGAATAATAGTATCCTTTACAAATGCTGACTATTAGAAAAAATATTCGGCTATCAATTAAAAAACGATAAATATATTTTTTAATTTAAAAAACAGTTTTTGGTTTTATCTAGTGAGTATTATTTTGAAATTTATATATTCTGCAAAAGTTTCTTGTTTCTTTAGATTTGTGCATTATAGTACTGTTTTTACCTATGTTCTTAGATATTATTAGACAATTTTTGATACAACAACTTTGAGCTGACGAGTCATCAGCATTAAAAATACAAATAGAAAATATATAAGACTATGAAATATTGATGGTATTTTAAGTGTAAATTTTACAATGACTCATTTTAGTGGTTTAATATGAGTTGTCTTTTATTACAACTTGGTTCAGTTTTTTAATTATAACAAACCGATAATATTTATGACAAACGTTGTTTTTTATTGTTGCCAATTCCGTTTTGTGTCTGTAGAAAATCTGTTGGATTAAGCTGATTTTTTTGGCAAAACACTTGCATAATGTTCTTAAAAAGATTTAAATCTATATTATCTAAATAAAATAAACAAAAAAATTGTATTTAATTTAAAAATCAATACATTTACTTAGTTTTATGAATAAAGACAATTTAGGTAAACAGTCGTCCAAAAATGTAATATAGGTATGGAGGAAACTATAGAAATATTTTATTAAAATAAAAAACTTAACATATTTTCAAAAAAATTGTTTAAAATATCCAATTTTTTTTGGTATGAAGTATTAAAATATTTTGTTTTTCCTATTTTAATAAAAAATTTTTCTTTTACCCATTTTTAAATATTTTATTACTTTTTTATTCAGAGTAGGAAACACAAGTTAGTAAGAGTGATCTATAACTCTAACGTTAAATATTATTATTGAAAATAAAACAATACACATTTAGTGGTTTGGATATTATAGTAATGTAGTTAAAACACTGAATTAAAATGAAACGAAAATGGAATGTGTTAATACTTATTAAATAACAAAGAGACTATAAACACTGAATTATTTACAATGAAATTATTACACTAAGTAAGTATGACACATCACGTGTACGAGCTGTTATACTATATTTTGTATTCGACAACTGAACTGATGAACGGCGGTAGCGTCGGCTAATATACTATCTAGTAATTTTTTTTGAAAAATTAATATAAGATCATATTTTGATCACCTTGCCCCATCAATTCCGAATAAAGTTCCCGTTGAGTTTTCTCGACTATCTGGGAAGGTCTAAGTCAAAGCTACTATGCTAAAACATTATTATTAATTCACAAATAAGGTAAATGATGGTTACCTAGGTTTTCTACTCGAACTGACTTCGGTAACTCCATTACACTCGGTACAATAGTGGAACCCAAAAAATCTCTCATATTTGACGCAGTAAGACCTTGTCCTAGAGGAACTTCAAAATGTTCTAGAGCTGTGTAGTATGCTTCTTTTAAGGCCTAAAAAGTTTTTTTTTCATTTTTTGTTTATTTTATTTCATGTAAAATCTGATTATAAATTACATTTTGTGTAGGTTAGAAAACAACATAAAACAAAAAATTAATAACGCGTCATCTGATACTATCAGTAATAAAAAATATAACAAGTTTTAAGCAAAATTTTAATTTTATCTCAAACACAAAATAAAACTGGATAATTATTTGACACATTTGGAAAACCATTTTTTTTTAAACGTGTAAAATAATTTTCCGATTCTGGAAAAATAATACTTGTTTTCTAAACTTCTAAAATTTTTCTAAACTAACTTAGAAAAATGTTAAATTTTAAATTGTTGTTATTTTTTTAGACATTTATATGCATGCAGTACCCAAAATAAAAATTATTATAAACATAATTTCATTTTTGCTATACTACACGAATATATGTTGCATGAATATAATATATAATTTATGTTCAATGTTAAAAACATAAAAGCTTATTGAAAATTATACCGGATTAACTCATTTTGTTTATAAATATAATAGAAAATATTATATTATATATTACAGATTCGCAGGTTTCCTAAATTAAATAAAAAAGTGTTTAAAATTTTTAAAGTTTCAAGTCAATTTTAATTAGTTTCAAATACTTAGGTAACGATAAGAATTTTGAAATTTTCCATATAATAAAACACTACAACATATTTTCTTCGTATAAAATGTATTGTGAATATTAATAATAATGATAATGATTTTAATTGAAAATCTTTACGCTTCAATAATCATGACCGTATAGTAAGGCTTTAACCTGCATATTATAACACATGATCTAGCAAAAAAAAAGAAACGAATAGCTTCAGAACAGTAGGTCAAAAAATTTACTTCATCTTCAGTCAGTCCCAGTACGGAATTATCAATTATGATAAAAGTTAGAAACAAAATAGAAAGCTTAAAGAACATTGTACCATCTACTATTAACTGAAGGGTTTAATTGAGCAAAAAAAACAGATATATTTTAAACCTATTTTACAAAGAAATGAAAAGAAAAATATAAAAATATAAATAAATATATTAAATATAATAGTTTTACAATTTTTAAGCTGTGGCATTAAAATTTCAAATGCGTATTTGAACCATTATATATAGATTTATTGCATATAAATCATATAAACATATTGATTTCAAAGTGCACAGGTGTGTGTAAATACGACTGTATAAATTTAAAATATAAACTTGGAAAAGTTGTTTTTTTTGTCTTTGATACGTCTTAGCTACCTACACATTATCTACAATTTATTTATGCAAATTGTAATATATTTTTGTTTTTGAATGTTAAAACAATATAGCAGTCAGGAAAAAATATTAAAACATAAGTGTGCACAAATCTTTAAATGTACGTATGATTCTAGATTATTGTCAACTATATTCCGGAAAGAATTACCCATTTGCTCAAGTTTGAAGTTCCAACTAAATTATAGACATTTTTCTTTTTTTCTTATAAATAAAATGAACATTAAACACATTGTGAAAAATCGGTGTTTAATAAAAAAAAAAATGATTTGATGTAATAAAATTTGTTTTTATATATTGCGTTTTTAAACATTTTTTTAGTAACATTTTTTTAATTTTTAAAAAATTTATTATGAATTTGAAAATGATTAAATGCAGCTATTATTTTTGAATACTTATTCATCTGATATCACCGCCCATGAACTTGAAACCTCATCTAGTGTCCTTTTATCCGCTTCATTTTTCCTCAACACTGCGCAAGGTTTTACAGTAAGATTATGTGTGCTGCAAAGCATTTTAAAAAGTTCACCATATAGACATAAATCAATAACATCTAAAATAATAAACAAATTATTAAACACTCATAAGTAGCAAGGACTGTTTGAAAACGACAAAGTATTAATAATTTTGGTATTTAAGGAAAATTAGCAAAAAATGCATGTGTTAATTTTCTAACGCGCAAATGAGAATACTTTCTTAACACAAGCAGCAAAATGCTTTATACATCGAAGACAAAAATTATACTATTAAATGATAAATAAAGTAAAGTTAATTGTTACCTCGTTTTTTGTCTGCAGCTGGATTCTTATCCAAATAAGCATATATAGTCTCAATATCGTTTTTACTTTTACCCATATAGTACCAAAACTGAGGCACGGAAATAGTACTATCAAGAGATTTGCTCAACCATTTTCTACAATTATTGAACGAATATCTTAATATCTGAAATTGTGTTATAAATATTAATTTACTGTATTACATAAAAACTCCTTTTGAAAAATTAAATACAAATAGCTTTAAAACAATTTAAGGTTTTTTCTAATCATAAATAATTCAAGTATTATCTGTAATTAATTTTTAAATCATTATTAAACTAACTATTAACCAATAATTTTTTTTTTGTTAAAATCAAGTTTTTAATTTTATCAGTTCGTTTTTTACTTAATTGTTTGAATAATAGCTATACCTAATAATATTATATTATCAATACATATAAATCAACAATAAAATAATTGCTCAATTCTGAAAAATGGTTGTTACTTTTTTTAAACAAAATTAGAAAATGTTTAATTTCTATGCTAAGAAAACATAATTATTTTAAGCTATAAATAATGCTTCAGTACCTAAATTAAAAAATAAGTTTAACATTATTCTATTGTTTACTAAAAAACACAAATATACTCCAATAAGTCCAATGTTAATTAATAAAAACATAGCTTATAAAAATGTCTAATTAAATTAGAAAATTTTTAAATTATATTAAAAATACATTATTTATTACGTTTTGATTGGATTTGCAAATACCTTTAATTAATTATTAACTTTTACTATTTTACAAAATGATCAAAATTTTAAATTGTACTAAAAAAAATGTTATGTATAACTTTTTTTTATATTAAATTGATTGAACTTAAATAAATATGTTACCATTAGAATTTTATATAATAGTATCAAAAAAAAAATATTTTTGACAAGCAGTACTAAAAACTTATTTTAATCATACATATTTATGATAAGGGTTTTAATTGAGTCTTAAATCGAATATGATAATAGTTTCTTAGACAAAAATGGCTATACAAGTAAACATTAACCTGTATAATAATTTAATGTAACCCAATGGCCTTTGCCGCCGAGGGAAATAATAAAAAAAAAAAAAAATTAACCTGTATATTATAAATCATTCAGCAAAACATTGACAAAAATCTAATAGTTAAATATAATATCAAAAATTACTTTATTTTCATCTTCAGTCTCTCCCAGTACAGAAATAGCAGCTAAGATAAAATATAATAGCAAAATAGAGAACTTGAAGAACATTGTACTGTACTTGTGTGACAAAATGAATAATTTTTACCGTCTTTGTTTGCCTGTTTTATTTAGAAATGAAAAGAAATGTTCTATTATACAAATACATAAATACATCAAATGTTATTGCTATTCAATTTTATAGACATGGCATTTTTATTTAAATTGCATGTTTGAACAATTATGTACTAAATATGTGTTCAATACATAGTACTATATATAGATGAACTTTAATTTAATAATTAGATTAGGTTATAAGGGATTAAAGTCATAAGACAAATTTACTGAGCTTTTAGAACTTTTTTTAACCTATTATTAGCTGTTTGTACTTTGTGACATTTTGAACAATAGTTGACGAAATTCTCTTATCAGAGATACTACATACAATTTAAATAAAATTCCATGAAAAAATTCCAATCACTGACTATATGTACCGTGTCTGTAATTTGTACACTAAGAGTTATTAAAAATTAAATATCGGGCTATTATGACTATGTGTATTTATTACGATATTAACACATTTGCGATTGACAAAGTGTATTTTGGTTAAACACACTTTACGATTGTCTAACGTTAAAAGTTAAAAGTTATATGAATTAAAATTTTGTAATTTACTCCTCGGCTGTTTGTTTATCATTTAATAATAGTATTATATATTCGGTGCGATACTGTGAAGCAGTTGGTTTTAGGGAATTATTCCGCATTTATAAAAACTAAAATATTATGTATCTTTTATTTTACAACACAAATTATTAATATTTTTGTGTTTTTAATCAGTTTTTGGGTCTTAAGAGTATTTGACAATATTAATGCTCAGAAGATTTAAAAAGTACCAAAAAAAAAAAAAAAATGGCATAATATTATAAAATATATATTATAATACTTAATGTAATAAATGTATGTCGGGATATTGGATTCGGGGAAACGACCAGGTACAATTTTAGAATGAAGTGCTGGCGTTTGCTGGAGTGGAAGGGATGGTCAGTCGAAAAGAATATCTGAAAGGTTTTAGAATATAGACTCAAGCGGGTCCCGGTCTTCTAAAATTATAAAATTCATAAAATATGCGAAAACGATTTGTTAAGACATCAAAGACTATAATAAATCATTAATTGACAGTATCCGCGAACCAGACTTACTATTTTAGTATTGTACACACAGATGTCTTAATAATATGTTTTTTCCAACTGCAGACAACAACTTTGTGTACCTTTCATGTAATTTTTACACGTTGTTTTTTTTGAAATTTTAATCTGTCTATGTGTACATTTGTGATTACACATAATATTATTTTACTCAAGTCACAAGTGTCAACAAAATGCGTATCGAAAAAAAATGTTAAAACAAAAGCAATAAAATGAAATTCACGAAAATAGAAATCGTAATTCAATAGTATTGAATATTCACCATATATTTTTTATAATAAATTATATTATTTATTATCATGGTAATTTAACGTATATTTTGACTACAGTATGTAAACGTCTCTACTATATTCCCTAACATGTTTTAATATTTCAATGTGGGCTTAGTGAAATTCATAGTAACACAACTCTCAAACTATAGTTTATAATAATATTGCACCATCAGAATATTAGTGTAGCATCTCAACAATTATGATGTTAATTTTCTATTTTAGGTTACACATAAGTTCTTATGGAAAAAATCATGTTTTTTGCGATGAAATAGTATAGAAATTAGGAATAATGTTATTAATATTAATAGTTTTAATGTAATGGTATGCAAAAGTATCGCATTTATATTCCTCGTTCTCTATCGTTAACACATTAAAACACTAATAAATTAACAAGTATTTTGTCAAAGTTGATTATCGAGATGTACCGCAAATAGATAAGGACTAATTATTGGTAAAAATTATTGATCTACGATAGTTAATAGTGAGTAATAATTATTTGTGTCCATATGTATTTATAATTACACGAACTTCTACACGTGTATTTATTTCAAAACAAGCTCATTTAAATAATATCTGGGAAAATAGCTATAGCTACATTTTTTAAACAATATGGTGATTTAATTTTACAAATTGCTAATAAAACTATACATATTTTAATGGTTTGAAAAATCTGAAACTTTTTGAACAACTAGTTTATTTTTTGATTGCCTTTCACCATGGATATATTGATGCATTAGACTCAATTAAATGGTGTTTTTTTATATTTTTGCTTATTTAATAGGAAATTCCGGATGATACTAATCTGCTACGGTTGCTAAAAGTTTTAATGTTTGCAATTTGATGATGTCCGTTATTTTTGAAATAAAGACGTAATAATGATATTGATAGTCCATAATTCTACTTGGACTGTACTAATTACCCTTGTTGGGCGTCGTACTTCAATAAACACAAAATAAAAATGACTTTATAATTTAAATGTATTGTATTATATTCTGTTAAAAATTAAAACTTATCATTTCACAATTTTTAAAATATAATTTACATTTCTTAAAACTTAAAAAAATGAATAAAACAACAGATATGTTTTTTATGAATATTACCCTAAGCTCAAATGAACTGCTTTAAATTTATCATGATTTGAATATGAGTGTAAGTTATACTCCTGATAATATTAAAAAATTGCTCAAGTTGCATGTGGGAGGAATCAAACTTTTATAGCTGGCCAAAAATAAAAAATATATTTTCATTAGTGATATCTGGTTCACTTATCTGACGATGATAAATATATCGCAATATTAAATAATTGTTGAGTACTGAGGAAGTATAGTTTATTTAGATAATTAAATTTTTTACAAGTACCTAAATGTTGTACTTCATAATAATATATTCAAACATTTTCTCAAATTTGTCTCTTTTTAAATTACCAGTTAAAATATAGTCTTTTTTTTTTTTTTGAAATAAAATTACATTGTACAAAAAGTAAGAAAGTGGCGTTTATTTGAAAAAAACGATTTTGGTGTCATACAATTCGTTTTGATATTATATTTTTAAACATTTAATTATTAAATTATGAAACATTTTCTGTTTTTTTTTCTTGTAATATATTTTATTTTCGATAAGCTCCGGCCATAGGTTTGTAAGACCATAGGACTATAGGTCCGGTGGAACCAGACAATCGTCTGGTTCCACCGAACCTATAGTTAAAACGTCTGCTACTGTCCTTTGTGCCGCTATTTTTTCCATGTGTGAAGCGCATTTTTTTACAGTAAGGTCAAGTTTGCTGCATAACATTTTAAAAAGTTCCTTATATAGATATAAATCAATAAAATCTAAAACAAAAAAGATATTGTTAAGCACTCTTAACATCGAAATAATTATAATTAATGTTGCTTAGTAAAACTTAAAATATGCATATTTTAATTTTTATAAATGCAAATAAGAATACTTATCCTTCTCACCTACTGATTCATAGTTTCGCATCAAAGATTCAGAACAAAATATTAAATTATAAATAATTTTAAGATAACAATTACTTTTATATTCATTTGCTGCTGGATTATTATCAAGGTAATCACTTAAGATAGCAAAACGGATCCTATTTTTACCCATATACAACCAAAACTCAGCCAATGTAATAGTACCATCTAGAGGTATGTGCAACCATTTTCTACAATCGTCGTACGATTTACTTAGAGTCTGAAATTTTTTTTTAATATTAATATACTTTATTACGTGTAAAACCCTGATTATAAAATTGAAATACGTATAACTTTTAAACTTTTTATCCATTAAAGAATTTTTAATCATAAATATTTCAACTTCATTAAATTATTATTAAATTAATTGTTATCGAATAAATTATTGGTTTTTTTTTTTTTTTGGAAGGCGGAAATGTAATTTTAATCTATATTTATTTTTTTACTTGACTCATGATTATTGTTAGTCTATTTGCAATATAATGTAACATTAAAATAAAACTATTGCTCGATACTGAAAAAGCAAACCGAAAATAATGATTATTATTTTTAACAAATTAAAAAAACTAATTTAAAATGCAACATGATGCCTAATTGATTTTTTAAATTATAATAAAATTAAATATTTTGTCCAGATTTATAGATATTATTAATTATTTATTAAATAAAGGAGTATTAAAACTTTTAGTTCTATTATTTAATAATTTAATTTAAAAAATAATCAAAATATTAATATAGGGTAAAAAAAAATTTCAAATAAAAATTTTATTAAATTAAATTAATTGAACATAAATAAATGGGTTTAAATAGGTTTTTAACAAAATATAATATTAAAAACTGTTTTCGATTATACTGTGTTTGTGACAACGATTTTAATTAAGTCTTTAATCTAAAATAATAATATATGTTTCTAGGGGAAAATGGTTGTACAGAAAAACTTTAACCTGGATATTATAAATGATTCAGCAAAACATTGACAAAAATCTAATAGTTTTAAAGGAATAGTTTCAAAAATAATTTCAAAAATTACTTGATTTTCATCTTCAGATTCTCCCAGTACAGAATGACCAGCTATGATAAAAGATAGTAACAAAATAGACAATTTGAAGAGCATTGTATGGTTATATTAACTATAAACGGATTTTTAACTGTAAGTCAAAATTAATGATTTTTACCGTCTTTGATTGGCCGTTTTATATTGAAGTGATAAGAAATCTCATACTATACGACTACTTAAAAATATCAAATTTGAAAGTTATTGAAATTATTATAAAAATTGCATATTTTAAGAATTAAATTTATTTGTTATACATAAATCATACGAACATAAGTCGTTAACATATGTCGAATCATGTAATTAACGCGCACATGTGCAAGTATGTTTTTTTAAAATTGTACACAAAAGACATTAGAAAAAGTCCATCGTAATACCGTAACAAGGTGAATGAAATATGGCTTTATAGTTTATTGCATGTTTGGCTCGACTCTACTGAACTTTTTATGTTTTTTTTACTCATTACAAGGAATTTGGATACATTATCTCAATCCAATTTCAAATAATTAATGTACGAATTTCTGTTACTTTTTTGAAATTTTCAATTTATAAAATCTCTGCGCTGAAATTGTTTTGTATTTGTGTGATCACTTATGTTACAGCTTAGAAAATCGCAGGTTAACAATTTTCTCGAATCAGATAAATATACTATTTTAGGATTAGGAGACACAGATGTTTTTTATCAACTGAAATATCATTTGATTGCCAAGTAGCATCTGAAGTTAAGCTGTATCCGTTGCTGCTTGACACCTCTTGATTTTTAGCAGTGACCTACACAAACCCAACATAACCTATAAATCCAACCGAAAACAATCCCGTGTATAAATATAGACAATGACTCGTCTTAAATTTGTAAACATTGTCTTATTAAAAACCTAATCAAATTGTATAGCATTTATGATTACACGTAATTATGTTATGTTATCAGCTTAAGAATAAAATGCGTATTGTGCAAAAGTAAAAAAATTAAAAAAAAGTAACAAAATATAAAGTTATTACTAGTTAAGTATATGGTAAAATTGTCTAAGCGTTCTGGATTAACAAAATACATTTTCGGTGTACACACTTTACGAAAATTTAAAGTTAAATTTAGAAGAAAAAAATTATTCTAGAATTAATTGCCAGTTTTATATTAAATTAAAAATAAAGTGTAAGAAATATGTATATATAAATCAATTGTACACTTTAATAGATAATAAAACTGCATTTTCTTTATTTCATTCGATGTAAAGTTAGTAGAGAATTAGTTGGTTTCAAAAACAAGGGTTCGTTAACATGATAATGTTTATAGGCTGAGGTACAACCTTTAACATTCTTGAGATTTGTCACACAATAACTGATTCTACCCATTCTAACATTGTAATGTCTTCTATTGACCTTTCTGCCGCTGCACTTTTCCGAAGTGCAGCGCACCTTTTCACAATATAGCCAAGTGTAATGCAAAGGTTTCTAAAGAGTTCACTATATAGATGTAAATCTATAACATCTAAAACAAAAACAAAAATTAAATTGATAAAAAAAACCTTCACAACAAAAAAAAGGTACATCTGTTAAACAAATTGTGGTAAAAGGAAAACATTTTCCGATTTTTTTTTTGACCAGTTGCAAAAGTATTCTTCATATTCCACACATAATATTCTATGTTTTTTTAATTTCGCATAACATTGTAAGTTTTGAAGACACATGGTTCTAATTACCGGTTTTAAAAAGCTTATGAAAATACCTTTAAGATTGATTATAACTCTGATTGAGTTTCGACAAGTAGTTAAGCAAATAAAATCACTTGAATATTGAAAAAACAAATTAATATAAGATATAATAAAGGGTGGTAATTTTTTTTTTATTTGATTTTTTCGAGTGTAATTTGGAAAATTTGGTCTGAAAGTTAGACTGAAAATAGATCTAGAGTGAGACTAATGGTTACCTTGTTTTTCACTTGCAGCTGGATTCTTACTCAAGTATTCCTCTATGATTATTAAATCATTTTTGTTTTTACCCATATACATCCAAAAATCAGCCAGTGTTATAGTACTATCTAGTGATACGAGCAACCATTTTCTACAATCATTGTCCGAATCTTTTAGAATCTGAAATATACTGAAGTTTAAAGTGAAATACTAAATCAAAGCAAAACAAAATTATGTCTAATTAATTTACAAAACAATGTATTGAAAATACATTATTTATTACGTTTGGATTGACTTGTACTATTTGTTGATTGTTAAATGAAAGAGTGACAGAAATTTTATTGTTTTAAAATTGAATTTATAAAATAACTGATTAAATTAAATTTATTGCTAAATAAGTTTCAAGTACATTTATTATATTAAATTAACAAAACTCAAAAAATAAGCATACGATTTAATTTAAATATCTATTATAGCAATAACAAAAAATAATTTTATCAAATACTTATTAAAAACTTATTTTTATCATAAATATTTGATTTGAAATTCTTTAAGCTAAAATAATAATAGTTTCATAAAAAAATTACTATGTAGAAAAATTGTGAAAACCTAAATATTATAAATGATCTATTAAAACATTGACAAAACACTAATAGTTTTAATATAGGAATAGTCTAATAAAAATATCAAAAATTACTTGATTTTCATCTTCACTTTCTCCCAGTACATAATTAGCAGCAATAATAAAAGATAATAACAAAATAGATAGCTTGAAGAACATCGTGTTATTCTATTTTATTATATGTTTATTCTATTTCTGTTAAATTAAGTTTAACTGCGTGACTGTGAAACGAATGATTTCTAGTGTCTTTAATTTCGTGCTTTATAATAGAATTAAAAAAAAAACTAATATCATAAGAGTACATAAATATATCAAATATGATTTCCATTAAATTTCCTATACCTGGCATTATTATTTAAATTGCATATTTGTACAATTAGATATATTTATACATAAAATTTTTAATGTTAATGTCATTAACACATATAAATATCAAGACGATGAATCTCTGGGTTTCAATATTGGTTTACAATGTGTAGGAGAATATCAGTAGATATTTTCATACATACATTAGTATCTAGGGATATACTTATTTATCCTTAATATTATGTAAAAAAAGGCTTCTTGAAAGCTTTTTTTTATACAATACCAAATTCACTTATTCAGTCTAACCTTGTCCATCCATTTTATTAAACATCTATGTTATGTGTTAATATATTTATTACGTTGCTTAAGATTTTTAAAGGGATTTGTTAGTATTATTATCAGAATTATCACAGGTCACATCTATAATCACAAATTGACTTCCTAAACGTTGGCGTTATTATATTATTCCGAAACTTATTATCGATTATAAAACGACTACTAGATCAATTTATATTATTTTATAAAAAGTTTAAATATATTACCAAATGTGATAAGAAATTATAAAAAAAAAAAAAATAATAATGTTTTTTAAGAAACAATACATAATGGATCACAATAGTTTATAATTTTTGTTAACATTTATACGTTTTTTTTTGTTTTTTCTTAATATATAGACATTATTATTTTCCTCATAAGTACATTCAACAAAATGAACAATTTTTTTCTTAATGTAATTGCCAGTTTTATTGTTAAATTAAAAAAAAAAAAATGTTGTAATTAATAAATAGGTACATTAAAAATTTATACTGCGGTATAAATTAATGAGATAATTGTAGTATACATTTTATAAAATAACGTTTTGTTTCTTTTTTTTTATAAAAGTGAGCAGAGAATTAGTTGGTGTTAGAAACAAGAGTTTATTTTAACATAATAATGTTCTTGGTTTTCTGGGGTACAATCAAGAAAATTTGTCATGCTAAAACACCTCTTTCCCCCCCTAAAAAAACGTACAAACATTATCATGCTTTTAAATTTCTAGCTTTAGTTCAAAATCTTAACAAAAAAAAATTGTAGTGTTGGCAACTATAGTTGACCTACCAGGAAGTCATGTTTAAGCATAGAAAATATTCAACTTCTATCATTAAACACTTGAACAATATTCTCAAGTCAGACGTACTGTGTAGAATTTTATCAAAATCCTGTGTACAAAATACAGAGATTGTCTATGTGTACCTTAGCTGTTTTACTAAACGTTTAATACGCATGTTATGACTACAGTGCAGAACACTTGTTTTAATAGCTTAAAAAATCGAAGGCTATATTCCTAGTAAATCATTATTATGACATTAGGCATGTTGTACGTGCCTACTCCATGTATTGGCATACGTTGATCACAAGATTGTAAAACCGAAATAATTAAATGATTATAATCCCTTACCGATTGGTGTGACTTAATACTTCAATAAATGTTTGGCTAATGAGTAATGACCATGCCACATAATTCGATAAAATAATTTACACAATTCCACAAAAAAAAAAAAACAAATTGTGTTGTATAAACCAACACTAGATTGGGATTCGAAACACTACAAAAAAAAAAGTTAATTTTCTGTTGTGCGATACCACCCAAAAAAGATATTTAGAAGTTAGAACTTATTTATCACACAGCAGAAATTAACTTTATATGAATTTTGACATTCAACCTAGTTGAATGTTTTAGTTCAGAGACATTATTAAAATTTGAAAGTTATTTTATCACTTTTAGTTGTAATAATTTCCGTAAACCTGTGACTTCCTCGTCCCCACTATGCTCCGTCACCACTATAACCCAACCCAACTGTACTGGCTTTTTTAATACTATCCCAATTATATAAAAATTAACTACTTATAATTTGCACTATTATTATTCAAACAAAATATATTTAGAAAAAATATGTATCCGTTCAAAAATTTGCACTTTTTGTGAAAAAAAGAAAAGTTAAATACTTGTTTAATAAAATATTGTTTGTACTGCATCCATATGTTTTTTATAATTATAATGTACATTATGATAATGAATTAGGATATTAAATTGTTAAATTATCATTTCTCCGACTACTTAAGTATTTATAAAAAAAACTAACATAGCACACAATTTAATAAATCGATGTTTATTAAAAAAAAATAGCGATTTTGGTCAACAAATTCGTTTTAATGCATTTTTAAACAAGTTAATGTTAGACTATGACAATTTTTCTATTTTTTTTTTCTGATAACTTTTAATTTTAATCTGCTAATCCTAATCATCTCCCATCAATATTGCCACTTCTTCTGGTGTCCTCATTGATGCTATTGCTTCCCTAACTTCAGCGCAGACTTGTACAGTATTATTCATTTCACTACAAAGCATTTTAAAAAGTACACTGTATAGATCGAAATCTATAAAATCTAAAACAAAATCAAATCAAAAATGTTCAATATCATAGTTATAACATACAGGGTGATTATTTGAACGCATTAGTTTACTCAAAAACTACTTGGATTTTTACAAATAAAAATTTGAAGAACTTTTTATGCATGAAATACTAACTTTTTATACAATACTTTTTTTGTACATCCCCCTTCCACAAAAACTCGACACTAAATTTTGATATTACACAAAAAGCAACCCCAATAAATAATTACGTTTTTAGATGGATAATATTAATTTTAAAAAATCGGCACATTGCAAGCTTAATTCTAACAAATAGTGTTAGAGTTATTAGAATTAGACGTGATAGTCGTGCGGTGATCGGGGTAAAATATTTTCGCGTTTCCAGCACTGTTTAGGATACGGTAAAGCTGTTACCCGAACAGGTCTCTACATCCAACATGGACAAAATATGAATGGATATGACATGCCTATAATAGCAAAATAAGGGGCCGCGTTCCGAAATGGGCGGAATGCAACGGGAAACCACCGCACTATAACTACTATCCCAGGATGGCAACTATTGTCTCTAGTAGAGCAAGTCAACTGATAACAAGATTATATCCGACGATTGTTATGAGAATTTAGCTGTATGTAGTCTATAAATAAAACCAGCTATAATATTGTTCTTAGAGAGATTCGAAAGAGGTATTTATTAAGAGGCAAAGGATAGGCATTACTTACCAAAAATAAATCTAGTAGTAGCTATTTTAAAATGCCGGCTAGTTTAAAGGTGAACAAATATTATTTTTTTCTAGAGTTGTAAAACTTTTAAAGTTTTGTGAAAAATGTCAATTTTCATTCCATCATATCGATCTGATGATGCGATTTTGATAGTGAAAACTTTTTTAATATGTTTACTTTGGTTTCAATGAACAACTTTTTCCATTTTTTGATACGAAGAAGCGTAATAATCCATGTTGAATATTTTGTTCAATTTTACATTTTTAAGTCAAATTTTGATAAGTATAAGTACACATTTATTAAAAGTTGTTCGTAGGATCTAAAAAAGAAAAATAAGGAAATTGAACTGGTTTTAAAAATCCCTAACGCATAATTACATCAATCCGTACGTTTGAATGAAAATAGGTCTTTTTAGAATGAAAAAACAGTCAATTTCGAATTTATTATCCACCACTACAAACAAGTTTTTACGTTTTGTCTATCAAAGACAATACCAAGTCTGACCAAGTGACCTCGAATCGTTAACAAACACCTTTAACAGTAGCGCAGATTAGCTATAGCGGTTATTAATTTATTATCTAATCTCTGTACGTTTTGTTACGGTTATTAAACATTTTTTTTTTTCAAAAATTAAACTTTAAAACATTTCAATAATTATAATTATGAATATATTTATTAAAAAAAGTAGGAAATGACATTTGAAAATCACAATTTGGAGAGTTTTACTCACCAAGAATATTCCATAAAAGTTTGGAACAAATTCAAATAATTTAAAAAAAGTTATCATGATTCCAAGTTGAAAAATGTGTATATTTTTTGGATGTTAGTAGTACTACTGGTGTTTCTCGATTTTGAAGGGGATGATGTGAGTTTTTACTTTTTTGGCCCAATAAAGTACCTTTTAGATACGATTTCTGATCTACAGTTGCTACATAAAGATATCGGTTTAGCGGTTTAAAACAAATCGTGGGCCCAGGCACAAAAATAAAAACACATCATTGTAAATATATATTATTAAATGATAAATAAAATATAGTTAACAGTTACCTTGTTTTGCATATGCATCTGGATTCTTATATAAGTAACCTTGGATGATAGCTAAGTCATATTTGTATCTTCCCATATACAACCAAAATTGAGTTAATGAAATAGTACTATTTAGAGATTTGCGCAACCATAATCTGCAATTATCGAAGGACTCTTGAAGAATCTGAAATTTTTGTTTTAAATATCAAACATAAAATCCCGGTTATAGAATTTAAATACATTTAACTTTTAAAATTTTTACACATTAAGGATTTAATTCAAGTATTATGCTTGATTTATTTTTACTCATCAAATTAAACAAGAGTTGATTAATGATCTATATCATTATGCACATTTCAATACATGAATTGTTTAAGTGGTAGATTCAGCCAATATTTAATTTTTTTTCATTACTGGCTAAAATGAACATTATTTCATTAAAATTGTACTTAATATTAATGTTTCTATAAAATAAAATATTTTATATCTATATGAACTGCATTATTAAATGGAAAATTATTTATGTATTTTATAATATATTATTATATAATTAATTATACATGATTAAAATTTGTTTTTAGTATGTGCTAGAAATATCTGCTAATTAATAGCAATAAAAAAATGATATATTTCTTTAAAAAATAATTTAAATATTACATTTTATGAGCTAAATAAGGTTTCAAATAAACCATTTAATATAATAATTAAATTGAACTCGCTTACTCGTAATTAGGCCACGATTCGAGCATTAATCCAAAATAACACATTAAATAAAATATAGTTTACCTAATAATATTAAACTTATTTTTACGATAAAAATTGTATTTTAAGGTCCTTAAGCTAAAAATATATTAGTTTCCTAGACAAAAGTGGCTATGTAGGAAAATTGTATTTTTATTATAAATTATTCAGCAAATGATTTGACAAAAATCTAATAGTTTTAATATTATAGTTAAAAATAATACGTATAATTACTTGATTTTCATTTTCAGATTCTCCCAGTACAAAATTAGCAGCTACGATAAAAGATAGTAACAAAATAGAGAATTTGAAGAACATCGTATTGTATTGTTGTATTAACTATAAACTGAATTTTAACTGTGAGACAAAATTAATGATTTTTCCCTTCTTTGATTGCCGGTTTTATATAGAATTACAAATAAAAAGTTATATGAGTACATAAATAATATATCCAATCTTATTCCATTTGCATTTCATAGATGTGACATTAATTAAATTGTGTATTTAAACAATTATGTATATTTGTTGTACATAAATCATATCAATATCTTTATGCCAATAACGCACAGATGTGTAAGTACGATTTTTCAAATTTTACAGAAAACAAGTTGGAAATTGTGTATAATTGAATACACTACCATTATTTTTCTGTCTAACCTTGTCAGTTTTATGTGTTAGTATATTTATCATGTTGGTTAAGATTCATAATAGTATTATTAAATTTATTTTTTGCTCTGGAACACAAAAATATGCCTCCTTTTCTACTTTTGATTACACTTTTAGACACATAAAGTAGTACTCCATTAGAACATTGTTGCTGTTTTTACGATAACAATACTCATTTTATTTAATATTTTAATATTTAACATTTTATTAACGTTGATAGCGCCCCGGAAAATACAATAAAATGTAAATATCTTGTAATTTTATAATATTGTACAATAACATAAATACAAATATTTTTATCAAGAAAAACTATAGAATTATAATTTTTGTTCGAGAAAATGAGTGTGCTACATTAAATTTACATAATTCATTACTATGGGAACAGTTTTAGCAATGAAGGAAAAACACCGGCGTTAAGGGATTCCTTAAATAGTAGATATTGTGATCACGAGGTCGTGTCTCTCAGTTTCAAATAAGAAATCACCTTGAATTCCGTCAAGACAGATAAACTGGTTATTTTTGAGAGACTTGAGAGCATGATAGATAATGGAGAACAAAACCTTGTGTTATTATTATTTAATTTATTAAATAATACATTAAGTGCAGTGAATGGTTACCTCGTCTTATACTTGCAGCTGGATTCTTATACATCTTTGTTATAAATATTTATATACTTGATCAATACATTGAAAACCCCATTATAAAATGTAAACACTTAAAACATTTAAGCATTTATCCATTAAGGGTTTTGTGTCATAAATAATTGCAGTACTATCCACGATTAATTTTTTTAAAATTATTATTTCATTAACTGTTAACTATTGTCGACAATTAAGGGTTTGATTAATGATCTATTTTATTATGTACATTTAAATAGTTATATTGTATATATAGCCGATGATATCAAAATACTTTAATTTCTAACAAAAATTTATTAAAAATGAATATTCTTTATAATATTAATACTACAATTGACAATTCAAAATTTACCAAAAATTTAACATTTTAATATTATAGTTTCAAAAATGTTCAATTCATGTTATTATTAGACTAAGAAAAATGGTCTGTTTTTTTTCTTGTAATCTATATTTTTGACAACCTATTCTTCTGGTTCTACCGGACCTAAAAAAAAAACGTCTACTAGTGTCCTTTGTGCCGCTATACTCTTCCTGTGAGCAGCGCATTTTTTTACAGTGAGGTCAATTGTGCTGCATAGCATTTTAAAAAGTTCACCATATAGATATAAATCTATAGAATCTAAAGCAAAAATTGTTTAACATTCTTAAGTTGCAACTTGAAAGTACTGTTGTTCTGTTTTATTAGGAAAAAAATATCAAATGATACATATTTTTATTTTTATTATTGAAATCAAGAATTCTTCCTTAAATACAATTGCTTCACAATCTTACATCGAAGATGAAACAAATGTATTAAATTAAGTAATTATTCATGTTAATGGTTACCTTGATTTTCATTTGCCGTAGGATTCTTATCAACATAATCACTCATGATAGAAAAATAACTTCTCTTTTTACCCATGTACTGCAAAAACTGACCCATCGAAATAGTACTATCTAGGGGCACGTGCAACCATTTTCTACAATCGTCGTAAGATTCTTTAAAAATCTGAAATTTTTTTTATAAATTTTAATAGGTATACTATATTACATAAAAACCCCCAATATAAAATTAATTTTAATACTAATAAAAATACTTTTTATACATTAAAGGTTTTTTTAATCATAGATAAATTAAATATTTTCCGTGATTAAGTTGTTAATCATTACTAAACGTAACTATTAACCTACAACTTCTTGTTTGGTGGGGGCCTACTTTTTTATCGTATGTATATTTTTAGTTAATCGCCTGACTACTAATAGTATAATATTAGCAATACCAGTAGTATAAGAATACAAACAAATTATCGCTTGATTCTGAAAAAAATCAAACATAAACAAAATGATTTTTTTTAAAAAAATTACTTCATTTTCATCTTCAGATTCTCCCAGTACAGAATTACCAGCTATGATAAAATATAGTAACAAAATAGAGAGCTTGAAGAACATTTCATTGTACTATTAACTATAAAATGAAGTTATACTGTGAGACAGAACGAATGATTTTTTCCGTCTTTGATTGCTTGTTTTATATTGAATTAAAAAAAAAAAAAAGTACGAGTACATATATATATATATATATATATATATTCAATCTCATTCCTGTTGCATTTTATAGATGTATTGCATTGTATAGATTTATTACAAAAATTATATATTTGAACAAATGTATATAATATTTGTTATACATAAACTACATTTTTTTGGACTAGGATATTGGGTATAAGATATAGGACGGGGTTATAGCATATATAGTTACCTAAAAATGCTGTACAAAAAAATTGTAGGAAAATTACACTTTGACTGTAGTATATTAAAGAGGCGGGGAATAAAGGTTTGTTGTTATTTAATTGAAATTCTAATATATGTTCCGTTTAGATTTGATTCGTTCCAAATGTTTTTATTACTGTTACATAAAGTCAAAGTTTAATAATGTTGAATAATTATCATACTTTTAACTATCTTATTAACTATTTTATAGGAATGTAACAGTTGTCTATGTCAATAGGGTCTTCTACTACTTTTAAGGGGATGATAGTACATCAGAGAATTTTCAATTTTTTAAATAATTTCACTCAAATTTGTTTTTATGTATTATGGTGCAATATTAACATAATGTATAAGAAAATATATGAGTGAAATTGTAATACTAGCATAGAAAATTGAAGGTTATACTATTGAGTAATAATTTTAAAGTCTTGAATCAGACACACTATTTTAGGATATTTACACATATGTATGTTTGACTTTTTTTTTAACTGCTACATAATTTAAACATCTATGCAAAAAATTATCTTAGATTTTTAATAAGACCACGTGTACAAGTTACAGACAGTGATTACTCATGGTATTGTTTAAAATTGAATATTTGTATTTTGACTGTATGTAACTGTTAAACTTTAAAATATATGTTATTATAATAAATATGAATTTATAGGTTTGTTTTAGCTTTTGGTGTTTTTTTTTTTATTTGAGTAAGCACTTGTTATAATAACCTAGGAAATCAAATGTTATACTCGTGTAAAATCATAAGTTGTCAGTAGCCTTGAATCAGACCTACCATTGAAGGATTTTTACACACAATCGTCTTAATATTATATTTAATGGACATATTTGGTAGTATTTTTTTTTTAAACGACATCAGTTTGTTTAGATTATTTAGTTTTAGACATAATGTTTTTAGCTGTAAACATATCATGAATGATGTGATAATTTAATTGGTCATCTAACAGATTTCAGAATTTCTCAAATTACCACTTTATGTTAATATAAACTGTTTATTTCTTCTGTATTTTAACATGTAATATGTAAGCGGTGTTAAAACCAACGTATAATGGTTTAAAGTTATACTTATCAGTTTATGAAAACTTTGAAAAAAACTAGTTTTTGTTTTAACATATTAATTGCTGAGATTCAATACAACGGCGAATGTTTTTAAGATTTTTCTTATGATATGATAATTTAGGATGGTACTATGTTATCTACAGTCGCCTATAGTTACAGTGAAAATAAGTCTTGTTTTTTTTTAAATAAGCTACTTAATAATAAAATTGATAGTCTTGAGCTTCTATGCTAGATACCCTTTACAATCCTTCATATACTTTCAGACAAACACAGGTTTGAGTATCCTAGTACGCCCAGAACTGTACGCCAGTGGCGTATCCACGGGGGGGGGGGGGGGGTCAGAACCCCCCATGGACCACATGGACCTAAGAAAAGTAGATGAACTTTTTATGAAACACAGGTTTTTTTAAACATTTTTATATTATTAAATTTGATACATTTGAAAATGATATAACTTATTTAGTTAAAAAATATTCTCAATTGTTACAATCTTTTTCTCCTCTAGTAGTAATCGCAGAACTTAAAATATGGTGGACTACTCTAAAAAGTATGGCTAAAATTTTATCAAATGTATTAAAATTGCTAAATAATTGTAATGAAACTACTTTCCAAATGTAAATAAACTTTTAAAAATCGTGACAACTTTACCTATTACAACACTTACTGCAGCAAGGTCATTTTTGACATTACGACGTTTAAAAACCTATCTGAGAAATACCCTGTCAGAAAACCGTTTAAATGGATTAGCTCAGATGAATATTCATAGAAAAATTGAAATTAACCCTGAAAAAGTGTTGGATCAACTGGCTAAGAAAAAAAGATAAATTGATTTAGTATTATAAAATCATTTTACAATACATATACATATGTAATACATTTTACTAAAATGTAATAACTATTTTACCTCAGACTGTCTTGTATTTTTATAATAATGTTTAAATTTCGAATTAATAATACTTTAAGTTTATTTGTTTTTTAATTTTATGATATAACAAAACAATAAAATGTACTTTAATAATATTTATGTTATCAATCGTTATAAATTATAATACAACGATTGCCTCTTTCTTTTTTTGCTTATTACACAGTTTAAAACTAGGTCGTTTAAATTTGTTGACCCCCCCCCCCCACCAAAAAAAAAAGGTCCTGGATACGCGCCTGACTATACTGATCGGATAGGGACATATTAGGTTCGCTTAGATAAAATTAACATTGTATAAAATGTAGAAAATCAGTGTTTATTTGTAAAACAATTTTATGTCATAAAATTCGTTTTCAATATAAATATTTTTAGACACCGTTAAACATATTTTAACTTTTTTAAACATTTTATTATTAAACTACAAAAAAATTGTGTGGTTTTTTTCTTGTAAGTTTTGTTTTTGACTAGCTAAAGACTAATTTCTGTCTAAGTGCAACACAGTCTTTTACAGTAAAGCCATAAGAGCTGCAAAGGTTTTTAAAAAGTTCCCCATATAGATATAAATCTATAGCTTCTGGAACAAAAAACAACAATAATTTTTAATATAAAAATAAGTAACTTAAATAAATAAATTTGTATTTATTATATAATTATATAATTAGTTAGTATTAATTGGTGCATGTTGTAGCGCAGTGGTCACCTTAGTTGTCGATAAAAAAAATTAGTTTTAGCTTCGATGTAGGGTGATTGTTTTTAAAATTGTGTTTTAATTTTGTATCTGGATCTACGATATCTTGTTAACCGCTAAAATCCATCCTAGAAGGGTTGTGAACTTTTGTTCATCCTTTCATGTTTTTGAACAAATTTTTCGATCTCGGACCAGAATATTAGACTACGTAGATCTATAGTAGGGTTATATAATATGGACAATGTATTTTTATTAATCTCTATTAAACTTTTTATTTATTATGAAAACCCCCGAAAAGGGTAAAATTACACTTTGTATTAAAGTTTGTTGCCTGAAACAAATTATTATTACAGAGAGACTATCAACCTTAATCGTACCCATCTATTGGGTTAAAGCATTACAATGTTCTTTTATCTATATAGGTATAACATGTGTTCTACAGATTTTTTTTTGGTCACTATTTCCTTGTTCCGTTCATAAACATCAAAGTTATATTAATTTATGCTGTTAAGGAAGAACAGCTAAAGATAAATATTTATTTTTTTATAAATGCGAATAAATACTTTCTGAAAACCGACTGATTCAGAGGTTCGCATCGAATATAAATAACAATTTTATTTAAATGATAAATAAAGTGTAGTTAACGGTTACTTTGCTTTTCATATGCAGCTGGATTCTTATTCAAGTAATCTTCTATGAATTCAAAATTTCTTATTGTTCTACCCATATACATCCAAAACTCACCCACTGTGATAGTGCTATCTAATGGTACGAGCAACCACTTTCTACAATCATCATACGATTCTTTGAGAATCTGAAATGTGTTATATAAATTTTAATATACTTTATTACATAAAAACCCATTTACAATTAAATAGTTTAATTTATGAAATAATTAAAATATTACATTTTTTGGATTTAGTAAAGTTTCAAGTAAACCATTTATTGTATAAAATTAATTGAACTCTAATAATCAGGTAACTTAAAACAAATATTTTACCTATCAATATCAAAAATAATTCAGTAAATAAGTGATAAAAAACTAATAGTTTTAAATAATAGTCCAAAACTAATAAACAAATTTACTTCATTTTCATCTTCAGATTCTCCCAGTACAGAAATCCCAGCTATGATAAAAGATAGTAACAAAATAGACAATTTGAAGAACATTGTATTGTTTTAACAATAAACTGAATTTTAACCGTGAGACAAAATTAATGATTTTTTTTCTTCTCTGATTGCCGGTTTTATATAGAATTAAAAAAAAAAGGTATACGAGTTCATAAATAAATATCAAATTTGATTACTATTCAATTATAGATGTGGAACTATTAATAAAATTGCATATTTGAACAATTATATGTATATTTGTAATACATAAATCATACTAACGTTTCTATGTCGTAAAAAAAACTGTTTTAATACCAAATAAAAAAGAAATTAAAAAATAATCGATTTTGTAAATTTAAAATTTTAATTTTGTTAACATTATTATTTTATGAGTTTATGATATTAATATATAGGTAAATAATAATATTTTGATATCTTATAACGGTAACATTATGTGTGATCTTTAAGGACTTCAAGATCTTAACTTCAAAACTAAGTGATCTAGCCCATTATTTTGCAGATTTATAATCATCATTAAAAATACTATCGATTAAAAAAAAGGGGGGTCCCGGTAAAGTAAATTTGTTCCTTGCTGTGCTAAAAAAAGTTTCAAGTGAAAATGTGTCATAATTAGCAATTTAATGGATGCATGCAGTCTGTTTTTAAGGAGTTTTGTAAAGACAATATTTAAAATAAAAGAGGTTTTAATAAATTCCAACCATGTTTGGGTATTTTACTGTTATGTAGGTAGCCAATTTTCATTTGAAAATTTCAGTGTGTTGTAATTAAATAAACTAAATTTGCAATTTTTTCAATATTAAAACCCAAATTATTTACATAAAAATAGCAAAACATAAAAAATCTGATTCCTACATAACCTAGTAAAGCTGTTAAAGAAGTCGTATATCTAAATAGAATGGAAGTCGGACCACCTTATGTAGTAAAATGTTGTCTGGCTTTTTTATCTAAAACGTCAAAAAAACAGACCTCATGCAATCCCCTTAATTGAACTTAAATACCTAATTAGATCACCATTGGAATTTTACATAACATAATCAAAAAATATTTTTAACAAACAATATTAAAAATTTATTTTGATCATAAATAATTATGATAAACATTTTAATTAAATTTTCAAGCTAAAAAGATAACAGTTTTCTAGACAAAAACTGCTATTTAGGAAAACTTATAATACAACCCTGTTAATTTTAAAATAATAATCTAAGTTATAAAAAAATTGCTTCATTTTCATCTTAATTAAATAAACTTGCGGTTCGGTACAATATCTGATAATTATCATAATTTATATTTTATAATAAATATTTTTCTCTGAATGGTTTGCACCTTTGCCTAAGTCCTAAACATTTTAGGCTTTTTTACTCATTATTAGGTAATTGTAAATTCGACATTCTGACGTCAATTTTTGGGAAATACCGTCTTGATGAATTGTTCAGTTTATAGTATTTTGCATCACTCGAATTTTATTTTATTTTATGATTGTGTGATCATTTATTATAATAGCTAAAAAAATCTAAGGTTATAATTAAATCGGAATAAATCATAAGTTGACAATACTCTCAAATCAGACGTCTTATATAAAATTCTAATAAAATCCCGTGTACAAATACAGACAATGACTATGGCGTGTACCATGTCTGTAATTTGTCACGTTGTCTTATGAAAAAATTGAATAAGGGTCTCATGACTTTGTGTACATATTATAATGTTTGAACATTTGTTATTACACAGACTTATATTATACTAACCGTGTGACAACAAAATGTGTATTAAAAAAAAAGCAAGACCAACGTCTGACAATCCTCAAAGTTCCTTAGTTTTTTTTTACTTATCGTTAAATATTTAAATAAGTCTTCTATTACTAAGTAAAATTCAAACTTTTTACAATTATACATCGTTATTGCTAAGAGTTTATATCCTTCAACCTTCAGTTAAATTCTTAAAATTTTACGAGAATAGAAATCGTATACACTATACAATAGTATTGATCATGAAGATAATCTGTAAAAATCGGTACATATAATATTATTTAATGTAAAAAAATGTGCATAATAACATTAAGATGCCATATTGCCATCTAAATAATAACGAGTCGTCGTTGTCGTGCATAACGTTTGACCAGGACATTTAATTAAGACTAAACTATCATCATAAATCGCAAGAAGATTATAGATCAGAAATAGTCGCTTAGTATAGGAGCCAGCAGGCTAAAACATGTTCCATGTTCTATAATTTTAACCGTTAGGCTTTAAGTAGACTGTAACTGTCATTACTTTTTTTTTTTTTCCTAAAGAAAAAAATTAACATTACACAAAATAAAAGAAATCGGTGTTAATTTGAATTAAAATATATATGTATATAAGTTTGATATTTTTCGAATAGAAGTCTAATGTATGTTCCGTTTAATTTTTGACTCGTTCCAACAATTTTCATCAATGTTACAGAGAGCCAAATTTTTATGTTGAATAATTATCATATTTTTTTGGTTTTCTTGATTGTAAGGGTGAAGTGATCTTATTAACTATTTTATGGGAATGCAAAAATTATTACTTAATAAATATTTATTTTTGAAATTACTGTTATCATAGAAACGTCAGTAATCACATAAAATATTTGCATTCAAATTTGATTATTATGCATTTACTATTTGTGTGTGTACTTGTAATACTGGCTTAGAAAAATCAAAGGTTATACTAGTAATACATGTAAAGTCTTAAATCAGACATACTATTTTAGGATTTGTACGCACGTAAGTTGGATTTTTTTTACTGCTTTATTATTTAAATAACCATAAAAAAATTATATTCAATTTTATAAATAAGTCCATGTGTACACATTACAGGCAGTGATACTCATCGTATTATTTTAAATTTAATATTTGTATTTTGACTATAATATGTAACTTTTAATCTTTAAAAAGTATGTTATCGTACATAAATATATAAATGTATAGGTTTGATTTTTATTTAAGTGAACACTTATTATAATAGCTCAGAAAATCGAAGGTAATACTTGTAAAAATCTAGTTTATGATTTTATTATTTATAAATCATACATTTTTGTTTAGATATAAAAATCAGAGATTTATATTGAAAATTATATTTTTTCTTAAAACGTTTGCCCTTTTGACCATAATTCATAAGTATTTTTTTAATACTAACAACTTTCCTAACAAATATTTTCCTAACTAATATATTATACGTTAAAAACTTATTTTCAATCGATTTATTTGTTTTTGAATGAGTTAACTCAAAAAAATTCTGGGAAAATTACTATAACTACAAAATTTTAAATATTTTTCAATTAAATGTGTAGATTTAGAAAATGAGGTTTTTAGTCTAACTTGTCTTTATGTTTGCTCTCCGCGTGTATGCTATAACATGAAAAAAGAAATGTAAGAAATTTGTAAAGATTAAAACATTTGTATGTTCTTACATTGATCCTTTAACGATATGTGAAGATTAGTGACATTTAAATATTTGAAAATAAAACAATTATTAAATCATAAAGTGATTTAGAACGGTACAGTTTATGTCATTAATTTTTTTTATTTATGTCAATAGATAGTTTAAATAAATACATTTTTTTATTTGAATAGTACTTAATGTGTTTTTTTTTGTTCTTATGTAAGAGGGAGATGAATTCACGAACTTTGTTTTTGCTATACTCTAAAATTGTTATACATGGACTACTGCCCTTCTTCCCCTGTGCCCTTTATATTAATAGGTAATATATTAACTAGGTAGTAAAATCATAGGTTAAACTATTACTTAAATGAAAAACTAGTGAAAACGACCATTTATAGTCTTTACAGCGATTAAGGACTTTTTAAGTAATCTACAACGATTAGGGCTTATTGAGAAAATACCAATTTCCAATTAGGCCTTCCCGACCCTAAACATGCCGTAAATTATATTATTTTCAAGCATAGTTTTTAATTTTGTAAGTATGTATTATTGTTTTATAAGTGCTGTTGGTGAAATGTCCCCCCGTTGACCTCGATTTCTTATGCTTTGAAAATGTATACTAACAACGGCTGCCTGACCTGTACAAACGTTAACACCTGTCCAGTTTATAAATATAGAAAATAAATTCGGCAATATTATCATTGTAATAATATTAAATGTGTTCGCTCAAATGAAATTAAAATCGATAAACTTCACAACGAAACGACGTGCTAGAGACGGACAAACATTAGGCCGACATTTATTTATTTCACGAGTGAAAAATCAAATACATACTAAAACGTATTGAACGGAGGAGTAAAAAAATAACGTCTCGAGGAAAACTTTGGCGCATAAAAAAGATAATAGAATTGGATATATATATATATATATATAGTCGTCCTTTGTCGAAACACTTAACAGAAATCTGAAATAACAGACAGCAGATCTCGAATAAGGTCCTTGCACTGAAAAAAAAAGCCGTTGATACCCAACTACGCCCATGGCTAGAGTTGGGAAATACAGTTGGGCTGAGGTTAAAAAAAGTAAGAGATAAAATGGCTGAACACATTATAGACTATCGCTGAATTTGCTCAGAGTACATTTTTTTACTGAGATCAAAGCCTTATCTCATGATCAGCAGTACTCCGAGTTTACTTGTCATCTCAAATAAGGGTTTTTTTTTAAATGTTTATTTCATACAAAATTTGAATTTAGTGAAAAAAAATGTATAATTTGACATCTCAGTTTGCTGTTATGATTAGCGAATTTATTTCACTGTTTTACAGTTTCACAATTCAATCATCAAAACTTATAGAACGAATTGTCCATACTTAACAAATTACTTAGTAATATTATATCCTTTAAAAAGAGAGTTTCTATAAATACATTTTTTTACCTTTTGATATTTTGTGCGGAGCTGAGGCGGTATTTGTTTTCAACGATGTGATTTTTTTTTTAAATATTTTATTTTTTGTAACACATAATCCACGGCCTAAACTTAAGAAAGTTCACCCCTTTCGAGAAAAATGTATTTCCAAATTTGGGTGGGCCATTATTTTTACATACAGCGAGAAATCAATATAGTATTATAAACCTTTTCGGGGGAAAAGTGAATTTTCCTAACCTTAATTCGATTTTTATGTAGTTTTTGCACTTAAGATCTGAAAATTAGACACCAAGTAAAAACTTAATAACCTTGTTTTTTTATTTAGAAAAAATTACAAAAAAACAAAACTCAATTTATGTATCGTCACTTTCTGTTAGTATTTAAATTTTTGTCATGGCTAAAAGTATCCCATAGAATAATTTTTTCAAAATCTAACATTGAATTTCAAAATTGTATAAAATTATCAGTATTTTAAAATATTATACTAAAAAGAGTAATTCAATCCGTATACACTTTACTTATACAGTTACTAAAAACAAAAAAAATATGTACAGTAGTATATACACAATTAAATAGTCACTCCTGGTAAAATAGTTTTAGAAAATTGATTTTATAATATATAAATTATAATAATTATTTTATATTATTATAACCTATGAATAGAACTGATGGAAATAGAGCGTACAGAGGATAAAGAAAACCTCGAATTGTTTGATTTGGATTGCAAGACACCTAAACCCTGTCAGACAAAAATACCTAAGATTCGGGCTCCAAGGTAAAACACATAGTCAATCGGTTCATATGTTGAACACTTTTACACATCAAAATAGGCATTAAAACAATGTTTTTTTAGGTAACACTCTGTAAGTGTTAGCCTTTTTCCTGTAATCATAATTTTTTATAATAGGATCATTCTACATTCAGTTTAGATCTCCCCATTAAAAGATAATCGGTTCTCATCTTCTTTCATTATTGACTATGATTCACATTAACCACATCCTAGGACTATGCGTAGGACACTTGAGCTTGTAAGTGTTCTTTGGAGTCCTAGTGGCTTCACTTTTAGGTTTACTTAATTTCACGACGTTCCTATTCGAACGATGGCGTCTACATTTAGCCAGTACAGTTATTTCCATGTCAAAATATAACGACACGTGGACTAAATAAATAATGTGGTTAAGGGTTTATTTAAATATTTAATTATTTCATAAATAAATTCAACTGTTATCGTGTTTCGCCGTACTACACCATTATACCAGTATACCTTTACTGTAGGCGTGTATTTTTTAGATTTAAGAAAACAGATTTGGAAGAACAACTGGATTACATAGAAAAGTGTGTCCTACAGCCACACATCCCGAAGTCGTACACGTGGTTGTCGACTATAACGATGCCGGCCGTTTTAAAGCATACTTTAACTGACAGCTATCAACAGTGTAAGTTTTGCGCCACAACATTGAAAAACGCATTAAAATGAACAAAAAAAAAATAACAATTGAGGTGTGTGGGGAGAAGCAATTGCTCTCCTGTAACGGTCTTGTTCTATATTTTATAAAATAAGGTTTTTTTCTAGGTTTTATAAAATTGTTTAAAAACTGATTTTTTTTTTCATTTAATTTGATACTACTGTCTTAAACTAAAGTGAATAAAAAGACAAGATCCACATGGCGTCATTTTACATAATATATTATGTAAGGCGAATTTTAGATTTTACTTTAAAGGAAAAATAGGCTAAAACTTGTACGATAAAATACTGTCCTGGTAAGATTACATAGAACTAATTACTTAGCTATAACGTATTTAAACATTCACGATTTAGATAAATTTCCATTACAGACCAGCGTGCGACCGTGGAGTTAACAACGATCAAATCACATTCACAATTGGGCAAATTGGGTAAGAAAAGTTTGAATCAATCGAGTCAGAACGTGGACCGCGGAAAAGTACAATGTCTTCTGCGATAAACCAAACTGCTTTGGAAAAATTGAAAAAAAAAACAGTTCTAATGATTTTTTTGGGGGGTTTTATGAATAAAATTTGTACTATTAAGTAGATTTTTGTGCTAAAAAAAATATAGTTTAAAAAAACTAAAAAACACGCTTAAATAGTAAAATAAACTAAAAAGTAGAAAATAATTTTCAATATAGAAATCAATTAATAAAAAATAAATACTATTATTGTGAGAAAAGCGTGGGGTGCTACATATATCAGTTCTTGAAAAGCGCCCCACGCTTTTTTCACAATAATACTATTTATTTTTTATTAATTGATTTCTATATTGAAAATTATTTTCTACTTTTTAGTTTATTTTACTATTTAAGCGTGTTTTTTAGTTTTTTTAAACTATATTTTTTTATTTTCCACTTTTTAGTTCGATGCGCTTTAAAATCGTGTTTTTTAATTCTAGTACATACGTTTCTCTATTACTTGAAAACTTCAGGTAAACAACAATGAATACACGCATGTACGTTCGGTTGCCTATCTCTTTTAGTTACATACAAACATACAAACATACAAACATACAAACATACAAACATACATACATACATACATACATACATACAAGTGAAGCTAATATAAGCGTGCTAAAAAGTGAAACATAACTTCGATGCATATAAGTTGCGTGTCAATAAAAGCATTGTAATGAAGATGGTGTGCTTTAAAATGTATTTTTAGTATTGAGATAGATACCATTAGAGTTGATCCATCCATATTTCCTAATAATTATTTGTCATAGATACCAAAAAGCTTATCAACAACATACCTAATGAAAATATTTTTCGGATACCTGTTAATTCACTCACAAATAGCAACGTGGAAATTTACAACGATCAAGGGGTGATTTTCTACCCCTCTAATTTTTCTTTAATACAATTATTTTTTTAACTACAAATTTTTGAGAATAATTGTGTATGTTAAAGGCCCACACTAGACTAACTTAAGTCTAATTTTCAGATCTGAAGTCCCAAAACTATGCACGAGAAAGTGAAATACAGAGAAATTGTCTACTTATTCTATGGGAAAGTGTTTTTACATAATTATTTATTTAATTAGTTATAATCAAATGAATATCTATCGTTGGAACTGACATAACCCTTATATTATGTAACATCTCTGCTTCACTGTATATTTGGTTACATCTGCAATTTGTAAGGCGTTTTCACATAGTCCTTATTCCAATCTTCGATTCCGCTAAAGCCATGTTGGTAAGCATTCGCCTACGGCCACTCGCTCCACCTGTTCTTTTTCCAGGAAATCTACATCACCCAAACCATCTACTATTGAGGAATACCCTCTTTCCGATCATATTAACTCTCTTGGATGTTATGAAGAAAATGGAATGATTAAACCAGAAATTGTGAACAACTTATTACATCCAAAAACACAATTTGTTGCAAATTACGCATGTATTTAATATTGTACACGAGTAACATGCCTTTGTCGTACTAGTGTTGATCAATGTATAAATATCTTAGTGTAGTTGTTTTGGATTGAACAGTAGTAAAAAATACATTTGAAAAATAATTAAAAAAATATAACAAAAAACAATTATAATATATAATTATATGAGCAATATATAGTGACTTTTCATTTTTAAATTATTCTATTTATTATAACTACCGTTGAAAATAGAATATGAAATTTGAAAAATTATGCGAAAACGCTGCCTGAAATACCGTGAGTACCGGCGCACAATTTGTTCATAAACAAAAATTTATATCTTATTGTATTTAGACAAACCCTATTTTCAACAGTTTAATATAATTATGTTTTTGTTAGCAATTTGTTTGCCATAACAATTATTTCGTTAATAAAATATCTGTTACAATATTTGGATATCTTTAACGCGTGTCTAAATTCTAATGTGTATTTAGTTATCGAAACGTGATTCAATTCAGATAACCCAACCCAATCGTTTTATTATTATTATCATATTATGATAAAAATGTACAATGTTGTATATTATTATACGAATAACGCAGGTAAGCGCCTAAAGCATTAATCAATTAACATTCGGCTGGCAATTTATCCTTTTTATATTATAAATTTTTAATATTGTTATAAACACACTGGTGACTTAGGTGGAAAATATGTAGTTATGCCCCTTAACGGTCTCGTCACGGTACACTGACAGAAACAATAAGCAAATCGTTCTTATATTAGTGTCATTAAAATAATAGAACACATGCGCTATCTTATCATTAATATTAAAACGTTTGTATTTCTGTGTAATCAACGTATAATGTAGGGGTCATGCAGGCTAGAATTCCAACAAGAATAAAACGATTAAATGTGTTATTATGCGTTTGATAGCGTTCCGTAGAACAATTGCGAGCAGCCGAACAAACTCTAGTACGACCGTGTGTGTATGTGTTTTTGTAACCGTTACTATTAATATATTAATTTATTCTCGTTGTGTAAATCTTCAAAAAAAAAATTAAAGTCATGAACGCCACAAGCAGTTCGGATAGACTACGACACAAGATAAAAGTCAGTGGTTTACCTAGATTTTATTCGTTACTGGTAAGTGAAAATAAAAGATTAACACGGTTTTAAAATTTGAATACACACAAGAACGTTCATGAAAGCTGCAAACACTTGAAACATACTATTTTTTCATTATGAAAATATGTTTTTAACGTTTTCCCTTTTTTTGAAACAAACAAGAGCTTGTGCTAAAACCGACGAGGACAATAACTGGACGGGTTTTCCACCAGCCGGTCTTACCAGAAGAGACTGAAGTCGTACACGAGACTTAAGATTTTTAAAAATTGTTAAATTTTATTAAAATGTTGAATTCTACCTATTATGCTCTTTTAGGGCGACACTGTTGAGCCACCGCACGGTGTCATTTTTATTTTCAATTGTGTAGCTGTTATACAAATTACTTATTGTTTAGTATAGATTGTAATTAAATGCCGTTATTTTTATAATTAAAAAACAATTATTATGCCCTAAATAATTTTCTAAAAAATAAATACACCAATTAAAATCTAAAAAAAAATTTTTTTTTAAAGATATATTTCAATAGTTTAATACATCTATTAATCGTAATACAGTAACGAGTATAATTAATTTTATTGGGTTATCATCATAATAAAAAAAAAACCAGAACAATGTACAATACGTTTTTGTGATAACAATTACTAAGCCAACGATTTAGAAAAGTAAATGATGTTGTTATGCCATTTATTATACGAGGGAATTAAATGAATAGATTTGGTTGTATCCAAGACTAACATATTTGTCTCGCTTGAGCGTTACAAAAGATCATTTCTCAAAATGTAATATTATCATTTTTTGCACCATAAATATTGCATGAATGGCTATTAATTATTACTGTTAATTGTAGTTCATTTCACAAAAATTATCTGCGAATATTGTTATCGACGAATAATTTCATTAGCTAGGTAATTTATAATACAAATTTAAATAAGTAAAATAAATATAAGTAATTATGTGTTTTACCATTTATAGAATAATCGAAATGAATACAAATAAATAATTGTGTTTATTATCTTCAAATGCATTAGTTCTTTTCTATTGAGTAATTCTCGTCGGGATACAAATACATCAGAAATCGCACACTAACGGTATTTTTGTTTAACGTTAACCATTTGCCTGCATCTGCCACAAGTTGAAAAAAAAAACCCTGTTAATTTACACATTTTTCAACTTAATAATACGGAACTCTGTAGCGTTTCAAAAAATAGTTGTAAAACCATTTTGAAGTTTTTGGCCTAATTTAAACTACCTATTAGGTACGATTTATGATCTGTAAAGTTGCGCTATATAAAGAAATCGACTCGGCGGTTAAAAAGATATCGTGGGTTCAAAAAAAAAAAAACACACCATTGTTAAAAAACAATACCTTTCTTAGCTCCGCGTCAAACCTAAACATTTCCGTTTTGTACCAATCAAGCAATAATAGTTGACATGGACGTTTTGTTTTCAGGATCCTCTACTGCAAGAGTTTCTGAAAATGGTTAACGATGACTTAAAACTGAACTGCATCCATGCTAGGTATAGTAAAAAGGGGAACGCGTGGCTTTACCTAACTTTCCCCACCGAATGCGAACAAGCGGCCGCTCTGAAAGTTTTGAGAAAGTACAATTGGAAAGGACGATCGCTTATCAGTACGGTAAGTATCAACAAACATTTCGACTGCGGGAAAAAAATGTGTTGTTGCTCGACCAAAACAGGTACAACAGATAAAAGTTTCACGTTTTACAGTTGGTCACTGCTGACCGGCCGAAGTCAAACAGTAGTTCAACGGCCGTCGATGGGAATGCTGCTGCTAAAAAATCAAAATTGGACATACCTCTCATCGAACAGGTGTTGATGTCAATCATTCCTTACCACAGTATTGAATACGAGGAGCAAGTAAGTGTCAACGATTTTTTTTTTTTTTTTTTGCACACCAATACAAGGAGTGATTGGTCGACTATGATCCAGTCAATATCCCAGAAGACATAGGACTTCTTAAAATGATTTTTATATTTTTTTAAAATTAATAATTCGACTAACTCTGGTGTATTTTTCAAAACTATTCCTTTGGGGCATATTGTTGAAAAATCTACTAAATTAGGGCAAACGCCAATCACCTTGTATTCGAAGTGTTATTGTGTGCACGCGAAAGGTCTAGGTGCTTATGTTTTTTTTTTTTTTTGATAAAACAGTTAAGGAAAAAAAGCGAAGAAGCCAGAATACTGTTCCAAAGGTTAGGAACGATCATTCAAAGAAAACAGCCGCCACTGGCCGAATGGTGTGCCAGCAGGAAACGGCTGTTGAACAGCGATTTGGCGTTTGAACTGTCGTCGATAATACCTTCAAAAAAAATCGACCGCTATCGAAACAAATGCGAATGGAGCGTGGGTGAGTGACGCGTGATTATTATTGTCAATAGAAAAAAAAAAAACTCCCCCCCCCCCATGTAATCTCCATAAGCACTTCACCCAATACAAGGGGAAACGGGGAAAACGGCCATAGTTGACACACCAAGAGTCCAGTTAGATGGCCCAAAGGAATGGGTTTGTATTGTATTGTAATACCCATCGGACTGGGTTTAAAATGTATACAGGAATAAATCCCGAGTGCGGCTCAGTGGCGGTTGGGCCGAGGGTGAAAGATTCGATGGACGGAATCCACTATGTCGGTCCGCCGGACTGCCTGAGAAATTTGCCGATACCAATGATCACTTTAGCAAAGGTAGAGTAACCCTAACAGATATAATTACCGTAAATAATAAGTAGTCATCGTTACATGGTGATTTTTGTTTAATTACAGTAGAAATATTTCTCTATAAGTTCTAATACAGCTACTGCGTTTTTATGGTATGATAATATGACTACACTTCTCAGACACTTTTTAATACTTTACACGTACAGTGATAATATAAAAAGACGAACTTGCGTATACCAGCTTGTACGCGATAGTCGAGTAAGAGCAGAAGGCATAACTATTGTTATGCGGTTGGTACTCTGTACGATAAAAACAGTCTATACCTCTTATCTTAAAATAATATTGGTTTTTGTTTTACAAAAAAATGTTAGCGTTTCTATCTGATTACCACGGTAAATTTACCGATATTTGCTTTTCTTCTTCTAACCGGACAGACTGACCGTTTAGCCTTTCCGTTTGCGTCACATTAAAACTACTGTAGCCACCTCCTGACTTTACAATACTGTTCGAACGGCTTAAAACCCTAAGGCAAAGATTTTTCGGTATCTATTGTGAAAAATAAGTTGAAATAAATAACCTCGAAAATGTATAGAACTTTAAGGCATAGATACTTCATAGGTGATTCAACGACAATTTTGTGTACAAAATCTGTTAAACGTTTTCCAGTGAGTAGTCATAATATGTCACTCGGAAACTGAAATTCGACGATAAGACCGACCTTGAACGAAATTACTCTATGATAATTAATACAAATACACGAACCATGAGTTATGTGTAACCTGTATTACTTATGATCATGCGTTTAGGTTAAGTTAGGTTGTGGTGATGATTCGTTAAATTACAGCAATTTACTGTTAAAAATCATAATATGTTATTGTTTTTCTTATACTTATTCACTTTATCCTATACAAATGGTATAGGCAAGCTAAATACTCTCACTTTCTCCACAGATCAAATTACATTTTTTTGTTTACTCCACGCTTATCTATGCCTTTATTTGCTCATATGTATTTACATACAAATTTTATGTTTGTTTTCTGGTTTTAGATCTTCGGCCCCCTTTTTATACACCAGTTGCGTTTCATTTTCTTTGTGCAGTCTATAGATAAATAACTGTACACCAAAGGTGCTTTCGAGTTAAAGCTATTATAATTTTACTCATCTGTATTCAGAAAACGAAAAAAATCATTAAGCAAATCTCCGTAGATAATTTTTGTTCATTGTTGCGACTACCAAAAAATCAATTATTTTAATCCTTTTTAAACATACTATTTCTTTTTTTATACGATTTCATTTTAATAAACTAAAATATATATATATATATATATATATTTTAAATATTATATTTGAGGAGATGTCTGTAACATATATTTTTAGAGGACAAGAATACGCCCACTCTTCGATTTTATAAATATTTTTAATGATTTAAAAAAAATGTGCGTCAATTAAAATAAAAATTTAACAATATCCATTGAAAACACTCGTCTTTGTTTTGTGAAAAATAATCAAAAACCGTTATTTTGATTAAATACGTAGGACTTTGTCGAGATACATAAAATCATTTTTATTGCAACCGAATAATGTGTTGCAAATTCATCAGCTCAAAATTGTTTAATTTTTAAAACATGTGTAATAATTGCATAAGGTATAGATATTTCTGCTTGTAATAATTGTTGTGGAACAACAAATCTTACTAGCTTTTGTATTGTGTAGAAATTCGAAGAGTTTGTGAAAAACTACCCAGAAGACTGGAAGATCTGGCGGAATATGATCATTCGTATGAATGAACTAGGAGAGGTAATGGTGTCGATTGTCATTTGTCAACACGTTGTCAGTAATGAAAAATTGGCCGAAATCAAATTGTCTATTTCCAAATGGCTTAAAGAAGATGTCACCGAAAACGTTATCTCATTGTATTTTCAAGTTTATGGAGAAAAGTAAAATTTTACTTTTAAACATTTAAAATTGTAGTCTAGGCTTCCCTTATTATCTTATCAGTTATCACATTCACGGATAGACTGGGTTACACAAATCCCTATCCATCTTTATGTATTTATTAACGCCACTTAATCTACTAACATATTTTTCGGTCTTCTAAAACCATCCACACTAAGGGCTCTTAACCGTTTTTACTAATTAATTTTTCTTTTATTTACTATTAAACCATCTAAATCAATTGGCTAATGTATTTTCTGTTATTGCCTCTCCCGACCTTTTTCTTATTCGTACTGCTTATTGGGTCCAACTCAGTACATTTTAGTTAGTACATTTTTTAGTTTATTCATTTATTATTTTTGAATATTTTGGATGTACTTATGATACCATAAAGTAATATAAAAACCATGTATTGATTTATTGTAGGGCATTGGTAGATTGTATCGGCACGCCGATTGAAGCTGAACTGTTATGGGGCCAAAAGTATTTGAAGGAAAATCTTTTGAACTTGTCTCTGGAAATATCACCGGCCACTTATTTCCGTTTAAACAGTTTGGGCGCTGAAGAGTTATGTAAAGTAGTTGCCGACCTCGCCAACGTCAACGAAACCACGACGGTTTTAGATTTATTTTGTGGATCTGGATGTTTAGCTCTCACGCTAGCTAAGGTAAGACAATTGAAACTTACAACAGTCCATTCCACCAGATTTCCCACTAAAAATAAATGATGTGTTTTTTATTCTTGACTCTAAAATAAAACAAATATTGAATATTTTATGATCGTCTTTTATTTGAGAATTAACAAATACTAAACAGTGCCGAGAAACAATTGTATCATAACTAGTATTTACAGGCAAATACTAATAACAACATATGCTACTGACAAAATCTGTTTCTAGAAATTTAGTAGAATCGTAAATTGAATCGATAACGAAAAAATCAATGCCTTCGAACAGTACGTTTCTGGTGTATTCATAGAAAATCAGCATTGTTCTCGCGTTGACATCCAGTTCTAACCCAGTGTCGCCCAGATCTAGATTTCTTGCCATACTTTCAACCCGGTTGAGTATGTCTTCACGATGCTTTTCTTTTATATGTACATCGAGAAAGGTCAGACGGTACTTGCGTTTGATCTTCTCTTCTGCTCTTTTTATAATTGCCGCTACGTGGTCGTAACACTCTTGGTTTTCAATCAACTCACTATGTATCCTATTTAAAAACCCACCGTGTCGGTGGTCCAGTAGGTCTACAAATTTCTTTAACTCATCCGCTATTGGTCGAACTTTGTCGTAATTCTTGGTAAGGTGTAATAAACCACAAAAACACGCATTTACATGCGATTTGTCATTTAGCAAACTCCGACGAGTCAACCTCAGAACGAATAAGTACACAAAGTCGAAAATGCTCGTGTGATATTTGTGTACAGGATCGTCGCCGCCGAGTGCCATCTTAGTGAAATCGTGAGCCTCGATGAGGTTATTTCTCAACTGGGAATTGAAATTAACCCAAACGACGCCCACGTCGAACGTGAATTGGACTTCGTCGATTCTATGGTCGCTATTACGTGCCAAGTCCCCGAAATATAACTGATTTAAAGAATATGTACCCGGGTTGTCCACAGTCACGCCGCATCTCTGGTTTACGTCAATCAACATCGAAATTTCGTTGAAGTTTTTCATAATCATTCTCCTATATTCTGTATTTAAGTATTCCGGGGGTATTTCGACAATGTCGTTTACGGATATTTCGAATTGGTTAGGCCGGTCACAACGTCCGGTGAATTTTATTAAATTACTTAGCAAGGATGAGTGTATTTCTTTTATTTGTATTAACACATCCTCGTACTGCACGCTTCCACTCGCTAATGATCTGTAGACTTGCATTTCGTCCAAATACTTTTTGAACATCCACAAACCGGGAACGGTCATTCCGCCATTCTCGGACACCGAACCGATCATCAGGCTCATTATCGTTTGGAATTCCAAGATGTAATTAAATTCATTATCACCCATTGGCTCTCGAAAAAAGTGTTGCGATAATTGCAGGTGTTGCACGACGCTAAAATAATAGGCACAAGTGATTCGTTCGAACTTTCTCGTCATCTGATATTGGAGGCCGTGTGCGTGATTTTTATCCAATGGCTCATATATTAGTGGTTCATTCCCGTAACCAGTCTGTGCTTGTTGGAAGCCTGGTAATATGTTCATCAGAGATTCTATGTCGATGGGCAATCCCCTGCAGTGGACTCCATTTTCCAACATTCCGGTCGATAATATACCGGCGAGCACGAACAATTTAATCGAAATACTAACTATAATCGTTCCTTTTTTACTAGCCATATTATCTTGCCTAGTACTCAACTACCGAGTAGTTATAGAGTATTATGATTGTTTTCAATATACTCACAAAACAACAGTCGTTGATTTAATACCGCACAATTCTTTTTAAGTATAACTTTTTTATGTGTAAGTACTCTGACGTAGGCGGCCTTTGTATTTTACTCAGTTTATTTGTTTAGCCAAAGTCGCATCAGTTTACAACAGTTTGTACAACTGTTTTACAATATCTTACCATTATTCAAACGGAATTTTGCGGCTATTAAATATTCCTTTCTTTTCAAATAATGTACTCCAAATATAATATCAAAGCAACTAGGTTAAACAATGTTTGAACCCAAATTTGCATTGACTTTTTGTTCATTTTCTCCGGCTTACTCATGTTTCAGAAATGTAAACAAGTAGTGGGAATAGAACTTATCAAAGCGAACATAGACGATGCCAAAAGAAACGCGGCCAGAAACGGTATAGACAATTGCGAGTTCATCGCTGGTCGTATTGAAGATATATTAGATTCCGTGTTGGACAAGTTAAGAGGATGTAACGTAACCGTTATAATGGATCCTCCTTTGTCTGGTGTCAGTAAGTACATACAAAAAAATATCCGCTGGCGCATTCAAAAATCGGAAAACTGTGAGTCAGGTTCATTGAAGAGACTAGGTATTATCGATGTTACCATTTGCAGTGTAAAGAGACACCTTTCGAGAAAGTGATGTCTTCTTTTCCTCCCAGGCATTTTCTATAAATTACATGTAGTCGGCCATTATTGTCAATAAGTTCACTCGACAAGAGCTGCCACATTTTCCACATCCACATTCGCTATCATCGTACTACGCTCAATTACGTTCAACCATTTTTTGTCCCACTCCCTTTATATTTTTCTTCCTTCGCCATTTCCTTTGTTTTTTCTCTTTCATCTCTTTCCATAAGGTGCCTCAACCACCTAAATCATCCTCATCTTCTATTTTCTGGTCTAGTTTCTTATTCATTGCCTAACATTTCGACCCATAAAATATGGCAAGCTTCACAACCGTTTTATAAAACTTTCATTTAGCTTAATTGGTATTCTTTTATCACGTTAAACTCTCATTACATTTATTCATTTCATCCACCCTCATTGAAATTAATTAATTGGTACATTAGTTTAATGTCATTTAGCCGATATGTACGCCAAGTAATGGCTGCTATCCTATACAAACTATACTCAATGGTACTATAAAAAAAACTATCACTATAGCTGTTATTTTTCAAAACTATCGTTTTTTTGCACTACAAATCCTAAATACTTAATATTGTCAACCACCATTACTGTACTTCCTATCCTTATATTATCAAAGTACTTCTGGCTTTATTAATCACTCCCTTCGTTCTTCAATGAAATGATTTAAGTACGCTGTCTTAACTCTACTAGTCTCTTTACTTCAAACGCGTTAAAAAATGGTCTAAGAATTAGCCTCGAGGAACTGAATACCAACGTAGCTCACAGCTGACACCCCACACTCCTCAATCTAGGCCCTACTCTTTGTACAATATTAACCATGAAAACGATGTCCAAATGTTAGACTTTAATGGGTTACTTATTTTTTCAAGACACTAGTTTGGTGAGGACACTTCGGAAGTTCAGCGAGGCCGTGAATCTCATTTACGTGTGTTCCAATCACAAGCTACCTCTCAAGAACTTACTGGACTTCTCGTCGGTCGTGAGGTACTGGCAGAAACCCATCGATTCCGACCCTTTCCTACCACTGCGGGTTGTCCCCATAGATATGTGCCCACATACACTTAGGTCGGAGCTGGTATTGCATTTCAAAAGGTTTAGCGCCGAGGAGATATTGTCGACCAAGCATTGCACCGATCGGCCGTCGAGGGTGTTTGGACAAAACCGACGTTTCAGGTCGAAGGTTTACAGGAGAATTTCTTTGTCGCCACCACTACCTGCTGTCCAACCGTCGTCTTCGGAAGTCGGAGGACTATTGAGTTACCTAAAGAAAATCGAGGAGAGGGCTTATCAAGAAGGGTTGGCCAAGGGCTTGGAGCGAAAAGCGTTTCAGTTGGGCTATACCAGAGGCTTGCAGAGCGCCGCAACCAGCAATGAAGAAAATTCGTTTGCCAAAAACTCATATGATAAAACTCACCCTCACAGTCAGTAAAACGTTTAATGTGACATTGGCAATAATATTATTCCTATTATTTAGCGGTTAAGTGTATATTTATTGTACTAACTTTATTGTATTAAAGACTACTGTACAAGTATATACATTGTTAATTATATAAATAGGTTAATTGTTTTTTTATAAGCTTTGGTGGTAAATGGTAATATATAAGTTATTCAATGTTTTTTTTTTTAACTCGTTAGTTTTAGATTTAGTGACTAGTATAATTTAATATTTTGTTAAAAGCCTAAATTAGAAATGATCCTAAATTCGAATGGTTATAACGAGTAGGAATACTGTTGGGGCAAGTACCCCATTTGAATTGGTTTTTGTTCCTACTTCCGAACACATGCACGAACGTATTCAGTAACACTTATAGGTACATATTTATTTTATTATATTTTTAACGTTTTTAACGTTTTCCCTCGTCGAAAAAAACACGAGTTTGTGCTTAGACCGATAAGAGGATGACTGGACAGTTTTTCTCGAGATAAAGGACCAAAGTCATACATATATTTTACATAAGTCTTTCATCCCTTCTCATAATAGAAGTCTTCCTACTAGTCAGACTGAATTTTATCATTGACTAAGTATTTTCGTTTAAACGGTTAGGGTGCCGAAGCGTTGTTTATTTTTGTTGTCACTTGTTGTAACATATTTATTTATTTATAGTTTAGCTTACAATTACCAGTTTTTTAAAAATATTATTCAAGGTACCTAATATTCAATCAGAAGGTAACTTGGAAGCGACTCAAATATTTGTTTGACATTTATTGAGACACAAAGCATAAAATTTAATAAAATCATTGCAAACAAGTGTATCTTCAGTCCTAACACAATAGAAGCTAACTTTGTTTCCCTCATGTGAAGGGTTTGGTAATGGGACGAAACAATATAAAAATAATTATAAATTAAAATACTTCTAATGAACAATGTTTAAGAATTATTATGGTCTACATTGACAATAATCAATATTTAACAAATAATCTGTTTTTGAAATATTTAATAACGCTTTCTTGTATAAAGCTCACTTAAAGAATAATAACAAATAAAAATCTTCATTCAAATTAGTAATTAAAAAATGAATGTCTTTGCATTTATGAACTGCAAGTAAATATTTGAATTTTATTTTTATTCGTAAACGACCGAAAGCTTAGAGTATCAGTAACAATACATATATATTAATAAATTGTTTATACAACATGTTAGATTATAAAAATTGATGATACAAGTTGGGTGTACATGCAAACAAGTAAAAATTTAAATAAATTAGGAGAAGGTAAGGGCGAGTTTTTTTAATCTTATTTATTTTAGTTAAATATGGACGACATGTATTTAATACTTTTCACTTAAAACGCAGTTTTAAAAATACATTTATATTAGTTATCATTTAATTGTGTTTAACTCTTGAGCTAGCTGAGGTAAGAGAACGGAATTAAAATTATAAATTTCAACTCATAAATATAGCGAGTCCTGAGAACCTTGAGGAAAAGTGAAATATTAAATTAGATAAACGACTGTCAATTGACAACATTTAAATTATAAGCATTGAAATAACAAAAATTAATAATATTTATTTCGTGGATCTGGAAGTTTAGCTCTCACGCAAATAGCAAATTACATTAGTCCGTCCCACCAGTTTTTTTTTACTAAAAAGGAATTATACATTTTTTTAATCTCGACTAAAATAAAATAAATATTAATTATTTTTATTTGAAAATTAACAAATACTAAACAGTGCTAAGAAACAATTGTATTTTTACTAATATTTGCCTGTAAATACTATTTAACAACCTAAATTACTATCAAAATCTGTTTCTAGAAATTTAGTAGAATCGTAAATCGAATCGGTAACGAAAAAATCAATGCCTTCGAACAGTACGTTTACTATGTATAGATAGAAAACCATCATTGTTCTAACGTCGACGTTTAATCCTGGCCTGTTTTCGTCCAGTTCTAGCTCTGAAACAAGTATTTCAACCCGTCTGGATATCTCTTTTCTTCCAGTACGTGCATCGATGAAGGTCAGATGGTATTTGAGTTTTAACTTCTCTTCCGCTCTTTTTATATTCGCCGCTACGTGGTCGTAACACTCCTGATCTGTATCCAACTCACTGTGTATCTTTTTTAAAAACCCACCGTGTCGTTGGTCCAGTAGGTCTACAAATTTCTTTAACTCGTTCGCTATTGGTCGAACTTTGTCGTAATTCTTGGTAAGGTGTAAACCGCAAAAACACGTGTGCGATTTGGTATTTGGCAAACTCCGACGAGTCAACCTCAGAACGATTAAGTACACAAAGTCGAAAACGCTCGTGTGGTATTTGTGTACAGGATGGTCGCCGCCGAGTGCCATCTTACAATTGGTGAAATCGTGAGCCTCGACGAGGTTATTTCTCAACTGGGAATTGAAATTATCCCAAACGACGCCCACGTCGAACGTGAATTGGACTTCGTCGATTCTATGGTGGTTGTATGCCAAGTCGCCGAAATATAACTGGTTTAAAGAATATGTATCCGGGTTGTCCACAGTCACGCCGCATCTCTGGTTTACGTCAATCAACGTCGAAATGTCGTTGAAGTTTTTCATAATCATTCTCCTGTATTCTGCATTTAAGTATTCCGGGGGTATTTCGACAATGTCGTTGACGGGTATTTCGAATTGGTTAGGCCGATCACAACGTCCGGTGAATTTGATTAAATTGCTTAGCAAGGCTGAGTGTATTTCTTTTATTTGTATTAACACATCCTTGTACGGCATGCTTCCACTCGCTAATGATCTGTAGTCTTGCAATTCTTCCAAATACTTTTTGAACATCCACAAACCGGGAACGGTCATTCCGCCATTCTCGGACACCGAACCGATCATCAGGCTCATTATCGGTTGGAATTTCGAGATGTAATCAAATTCATCGTCGCTCGTTGGCTGTCGAAAAAAGTGTTGCGATAATTTCAGGTGTTGCACGACGCTAAAATAAAAGGCACAAGTGATTCGTTCGAACTTTCTCGTCATCTGATATTGGAGGCCGTGTGCGTGATTTTTATCCAACGGTTCACGTATTGGCGGATCGTTCGTGTAACCAGTCTTTGCTTGTTGCACGCTTGGTAACTTTGCCATTAAAACTTCTATATCGTTGGGCAGTCCCCTGCTGCAGTGCACTTCGTTTTCCAACATTCCGAACGCGAATATAACGGCGAGGACGATCGTCGTGGGAGTCGTTTCCTTTTTATTAACCATAGTTGCTCGTTTAGCACTTAACTACCGAATGTAAAATACAATTTGTTTTTCAATATACTCACTGAACAGCGATCGGGGAGCACCAAGTACAATTTTTTAAATTGAAAATCGATGTAGTCTGACTTGATTATTGTAGTATACTTATTTTATTTTGCAGCCGCAAAGGTTGCTTCAACCTAAGCACTCTAATAACGCGGATATTTACAATAGTTTTTTTTTTTATTATTATTTAAACCGTACTTGGCTGTAATAAAAATTATTTCAAAACAACCTAAAGCAACTTAGGTGATTGTTTAGCCGAAACTTATAGTTAAAAAAAAAGATAAAATCACAATAAAAATTCGACGACCTGCGTGAGTGTTGATTTTCTTCGATTGTGTTTAAGATACTAACAGAAAAATACTATGCGATCATTGGGTACCTTACTACTTTGCACATAAGTTTGTTAAATAATGTGCATACAGAACAATAAATATATATATATATATATATAACGTTACACTGTATATTTACATATTTTAATAAAAAAACAAAACTAGCTATACGCATTTTTAAGACAAAATATTAAATAATCACAAAATTCTCAAACACATGTATTTTCCAAATGTTCCGGTACCTACTGTTGTAGGGCTTCAGAGCAAATAAAATTATTTTGTTACATTATAATACCTAACGTGCATATAAAAATCAACTTGCATTCAAACCGTACATGTTTTTAAATAGAAAATAACTTTTGTCTTACAGTTGCAAACGCCAGTTTATTAAAAACATGTTTTTGAAGTGGAGGCATTTAAAAAAAATTGTTATTATTTCATCAATATCCTTGGATTTGAAATAGTACTCTTAAAGGTTACATTGAATGATAGAAAACGAGGTACCCACACAATAGGTACACGTACATTGAAAAGTATTAAAAGTATTTTAGAAGTACAGTAGTTATTGTTATTTGTACAAAATGTAAAACATGGATTACAAGTATTGAACCTATAAATTCTTAACACTTAAAAAGATTGCGAATTTCGTATAATTTTCAGTCATAAATCTAGATATGCATCCTAGATAAGTACCTATGATATTGGTATTTGAAAAAATCTGATTTGTCTATTATTGAATATATACCTACTATTTGAGTTGGAAATTGTTCAGAACTAAAATAATACATTATTTCATTACAAACCACGAGTTTTGCTCAGGTTTTTTTTCCTAAACACCTTGTTATTTCTCCGTCATAACTTATAACAATAGGCAATTATTGTTTCTTAAATGTTGCCACGACAACTCAAATTAAGATTTGAGCTATCTAGCCAAGTGTAGATCAGAATTGTCGTTTAATTAAAATTATTCATAATTTGTGTTTAAAAATTAGAATTTCAAGATATTCAAACAATATTTTTTATCTTGTTTTTGAGAACCCCTGATTACCGTATGAGACGTGCACAATAATATTGTGGAATATTTATTTATCTTGTCTACATCGTGGAAACGTGGTTCTCTTATCATATTATGTTATCAAATTACAAACTTCAATATCGACTATCGACTCTGAAGCCTGTCGACTTTTTCGGTTCTTTTAAAACTCGGTTTAAAATTAAAATTTACTTTTGAACTGATAAATTTGATTACAAATGTATGTTCCTCGATTAAAAGTTAACGGCTTAAAAAACAAACTTATTTAATCGGTATCGTTTGCAGCCCTTCAACGTTCGTTCAGTTATTGATAACATTAAGGTAGGTACTTGCATAATAATATTTCAAACAATCTGTTTATTATTATTTTTCTTTTTTTGTATTGAATTTAAAATCTAAAAAATTAATACATCTGTTAGAAATAATTATCCTTTCTAACCAATTTGTAGTTAACATAGTAATAATTATTATATTTTGTTATTAATTTATACATTTATTGAGTGAGTCGATTAGATCATGATAAGATATTTATATTGAATACTACAACTCAAGTAATTAAAATATTTAGTAGTTTTTAAGTATATATTTTATGTGTGGATTTTTATAACTGAACATCAATGAAATACCATTGATTCAGCTTTTAATTAATTTTTTATTTGATAGAAAGTCTTAATTTTGATTGTTTACAATAAAGAAAATGTACACTAACTAGCAAAGAACACATATATTTTCACACTGATTTTCGACTTTTTTTTTGCCCAGTTAAAAGATATAAATCTCGTTGTGGCATATAATAACCGATCAGAATAAACTAAAGTATTGTATGTGTCAAAACATGTGTTATCGTTCACTCAGCAGAGTTATGGTTCACGGCGATGAATCACAATTGTTAATTGTCATACCAATAAAATAACATATGATAATGCTGTTCAAAATATTACAACAGAACCAGCCGTTAGCGGAATGTTGTTCTTAACGGATAAATTTATGTTTATGGTAGAAATTCCTTTTGATGAAACTAACAATTTCCTTATTATACAGTAAAAGCATAGATAACATAGGAATTGGCTTGGCAAAAAAAGTGTGATTTCATTCATGACTGTTTTTACTGTATTTACAATTTGTACCTACTATTGTATAAACGATATTTAAATGATCAATTTAAAATAAAAAATGTAAATATATATAAAAAAATAATCAGAGCTAGTGTTATAATATATTTTACGAAAAGCCGTATTAGAAATGTTACAACAAAAACATAATATAGCGATTTCATAGTTGTTAAAATAAAATATGTTGAAGCAAATTGATTGTGATATTATAATAACTATAATAAATAAAATTCATAAGCGTTTTAATTTTTTGTCAACTTACAAAGGAGCAGTTATTGTTGCTTAAAATTATTTTATAACTTTCATGCAGAATTTAATTATGCAGGTCCACCAAGAAGTTTTTTAACAGTATGCTTTTCGGGACGGATTATAATTTCGTCATCGTATAAGGGTGTAGCGACCCTTTTCGTTAAACATTTCTTCTTGGCCAGCACTTGTAGGAAGTCGAAAAATGTAATTTTCAAATTTATATTTTGTATCTTTTGGAGTTCTGGTTTAGTTTTAATACCATTCAATTAAACAGTTTTTAGATAATGATAAAATATTATAGCGAAAATTGATAAACTGAGATTAAAATATTATAATGTATTCTTACAAATTATAAATAAAAATCAAAACATTTATTTATCATAATCATATGCCATACGGCATTTGTACAACATATTTTCTTGAAAATTTACAATTAAATTTATCGTATTCGGTTAAAGTTAAACAAATACCCACAAAAACACTTCCTTAACGTGGTAAGTCTTTTGCTATCACCTTTAGTCAATGACCAGGTTTCACAGGCGTATGTCATCACAGGTCGAAGGTAACTATGGTATAGTAGTATCTGTGATTCTCTGGATAATAGCTTGGATCTCAGGAGCTTGATAATACTGAAATAGCATCTTTTTTTGCACTAGTGATCCGTTCGTTTATTTCTGTATGCATATAATTTTTGTTGTTGATGTTCACGCCCAAGTACTTGAAATTATCAACTTTTTCAAATTTATAATTATCAACTTCTATGGAGTCTATATATCTGGCGGTCTTCTCGAAACGACCACGTACTTAGTTTTCCCCTCGTTTACATGCAATCCCATTCCTTTACTTGCGTTTATGAGCTTGGATGTTGAGTTGACGACTTCCTCTTTGGTTTCACCCATTACCACAATGTCATCTGCACAAGCTAACATAACTTGATCATTGTTGATCTCCATCCTTCGGTCGTCGTTTGTGTCTCTTATTATTTTTTCGAGAGCCAAGTTAAATAATGCAGGTAATATAAGGCGTCTCCTTGTTTTAGGCCAGATTTAACTTCAAAACATTAGTTTTAAGCAGTAGGTTTTTTCGATTATTTTCGTTTTTATATAAAAATATTTGTTGTCTTTTTTTGTTGTTGTTGGATACTTGGATTATTTTTGCGGGCGTTTTTAGGTCAACGACTAACCATAATATACATTTTACACAGTTAAAATGATAAACAAAAAAAAAAAAAACACTTATACGCAACGAAGGGCTGCATATTATAAAAATATATATACCTAATTGAATTTTCCTAGTGAAGTAATGCAAACAGCAACGGAAAAATAGTAATTATTAGTTTTTGCTGTATGATTATTATTGGGTATAAAGTACACTTTCGAGTTTTCGTGAATTTTATTTTACATAAAATGTAATACAACGCAATGTTGTTATTTTTACTTTTTAGGTCAACGACGTATAATAATATGACACAGAACTGTTATTAAATGTGTTTACTGTATATCATTTTAAACGCATCGAATTTTATTTGGAACACTAATTGTATAACACGACATCCACAAATGTATTGTTTGTAGGTTTTTATTTCGACCAATCAAAATAGTTTATAATATTATTACTTATTGGTTCTTTTTTTTTTCACATAAACGAAAATCTAAATCAAAGACGGCAAGTTTATCTTCTCGATTTAATTATAAACATTTTTTTTGTTCACAAATCAAATTATTTATGAAAAAATGTTGAGTTTTTGTCAAGGGCATTTAAAGCGGCCCGTTTTTTTCTCGACGTTTTAGACTAACAAGCCTGACAAAATGTTTACTAGGTACTTAGGATGGGCAAATTTCAATTTTGTAAAGATATATGAGCTTAAAAGCCGTTCGTTTTGAATTCTCTTAACTATGTTATCGATCGACAATTTTTAACCCCATTTAATTAATGGAGCCAAACACCCCCAATTGCAACAAATTTAATAGGATTATGAATCGCTTCCAGATTTTTAAAAAACAACTTACAAACAAAATTTTCTTTTGTATAGGTATAGAAAAAAACTATGTACAATTCTACTCGATTCCGGAGGTTAGTCTGAATTCCACAAAGGAAAACCAATACAATAAAAACCATTTACTTGGAAACGATTTTAGACAATAATTTAAAAATGGATGTATTTTTGGTTCTTGTTCTAAAAAGAAAAGTCAAATATTTTCGTACAGTGTAAATTAATTGACTGTCATGTTTATCACGTTTACGCAGGGTGGTGATGTTGACTATTGTTTTTTTTTTAAATTGTATTTTGCCTATTATAGAGTTAAATTATCCCGAAAAATTAAAAAATATAACTGTTTTTGTCATTTTTCCGGCCACGGACATTTACTTTGTTGATGAATGTTTCGATAATGTACGTACATTGGTGTTTTTGGTTAGAAAATCAACTGTTTAAAATAGTTCTTAACTTAGAAAGGGCTAATTTTTAAATACTTACCAAAGATAATTAAAATAATAGTACTTTTTAGGTTGGCCATAGAACGTTATACATAAAATGTATGTAGATATCATTAAAGATATAATGCCAAGTTAAGGGATAGTTTGAAATTATCAATCGACCCCTTCGTCGATAGTTTGTCTTATAACAAAGTCGTGACCGGAAAAACCCTAATACACAATATGTTGTTGCAAACCGGGTCAGTTTTTGTTATGTCTTTTTCTGGTTAGAAATGTGATCGGTTCGAACGCCTTTAGTGTTGGTTTCCGGTAAATATTATTTTAGAAACTATGTGCACTTCTATTTCTTTTTGTTCGCATTCAATGGTATATTATTAATGTTGTATTGTTATCATCATTATCGTGACCCGTGTAAGCGGTTCGAACGACAGTAAAGGTTTTGTCACGACGGATAATCAATCGGCCTGTGATTGATTTAAAATTGAAATTGTGTTGAGAAAAAAATTTTAAGTAGGTTTTCAGAGTAGGTCTAGCCGTCTGACTGTCTGTCTCGGTCCGTCCGTTCGATACGTTATGCACGTATCATCATATCGCGTGGGTGCTGTAGTTGATAAAAGCGCGTTGGTGGAACGAAACATATCGCGATGGTCGCTACTCGGGGGATGCGCGGCGCGACGACTGATCGATAGCGTGACGCACCGCTCGACGGAGTAGGGGGGGACTGTGAATGCGAGTGTACGCTGAACGAGGGTTGTATGTAAAGAGCACATTCCGTCGGTTCGCAGTTCGCCCTCTCTCAGTCGCGTTCATCCCTCCGGCGAGCACTGCCGTGCTATGTTTCCGCCGTCGCGGTTTCTTTGTGTTTCGCCGTCGCAACACTTTCGTCGTTGATTCTATTACTGTACAGTGCGCGCAATGTGAACGGGGTTTTTTTTTTATTGATTCGAGAGTTATTTGAACTCATTTTTTGATCGTGCAATGCCAAAATGACGTTGTGCCGCGGCGAGACCAGACGGCGGCAACGACGCACCAATGGGCTGCAGCGGCCGTGGCATCCGCAGCAAGTGGCCGGCTGGCTAGTGTTGGCCGCGTTCGGGGCCTGTTCGTTTGGAGTGCTCTTGCCCGGACTGGGCCCGAACCTATACCCGGGTGTGCTGTTCGTGCTGGGCAGCCTGTTCTTCCTGCACGTCGTATCGCACTTCGCAGCGTTGCTCATAGACCCGGCGGACCCGCAACTCCGCGTCCGACGCGACGTACTCAAGCCCGTGCCTGAGCTGGACAAAGCCAAACACGCGCACGTTATCGAGAACGGCAAGTGCCACCTTTGCAACATTTACACGTCCAGCCGGACCAAGCACTGCGGGTCGTGCAACAAATGCGTGGAGAAGTTCGACCATCACTGCAAGTGGCTGAACCAGTGCGTCGGGGCCCGCAACTACGTAGCGTTCGTCGTGAGCGTAGTGTCGGCCGTGCTCGCGTGCCTCGTGATCGTGCTGCTATCGGCCACCGAACTGCTTCTGTACCACGTCGACCCGCTACGTGTGGAAAACTACCTGCGGCCGTGGTTCTCCAACGACACCGTGCAGGCCAACCAGCTGTTCAGCGTCAGCCGCCTGCCGGTGGACCGCGACAGCTTCCTAATGATCGCGATGCTGCAGTGCGCACTCGCCCTGATCGCCATGGTGCTCTTGCTGCACTTGTGCGTATTCCACGCGTACATATCGTTTCTGGGCATCACCACGTACGAGTACATCAGAAACTACCGGCGGTACCCGGAGTTCGATTCGAGGAACGGCGTGGCATCATCGGCCGGTGCGTCCGCCAACAACCTGTCGGTGGGCTCGCATAAGTCGCTCTTGTCCAAGGTGTACGCGACCGCGTGCTGTTACGGCGCGACCGCCCGTCGAAAACGGCCATCTTGCGGCATCCACAACGGGGTCTCGATGACGGCGGCAGCCAAAGCGCAAACCGCGTTAACCGTGGAAACTGTGGAAGCGTACGGGGCAGGAGGACGTGGCGGCCGGCTCAGAGAGCTGGAGGCGGCGGCGGCGGCAGCCAATCCGGACGACCGCGTGCAGAATGTGCCAAAATGCCGATACTGTCTGGAGAAGAACAGAATGCGGAGAAACACTTTTTTCGTGCTGGGCAAACGGAAAGGGTTCTGCTGCTGTTTCCAGAAACCTGAACCGGTGTTCGAACGAACCAGTATGCACGTCAAAGTGCCGCCGTCGCCGTTCGCCGTCCGCCGTAACCGGGTCATACCGGCCGACGACCTGACCATAGTCAACGACTGGAAGTCGTTCAACTCGAGTTCGCTGACCACGTTGCCGGCGCTGTCGCAGTCGGCCCGGCAGAAGATCACGCTCAAGGAACTTGGCCAAGTGTTGGCGCTGGTGGAACAGCAACCGCTCAAGAAGCAGAGGCGCAAGAGCAACCCGCAGATGAAGCACTCCAAGTCGTCCAACCTGTCGCCCATCCACGAGTCCGGCCTGTCCAACCCGTCGACGCCACAGCTGAAGAACCGTCAGCCCCAGACCAGACCTTGCAGTTGGTTGTCTTCCCCGCACAACACTTCCAAGAGCGCGTGAGCTGCTCTCCTCCATTCTCCAGTGATAATAATTTATTAACGCGCTACATTTTATGTCATGTGTACCTGGAACAAGTTTTTTCGGGAGGGGACAAGAAAAATTGTTCCAGGTACTCATTATGCTAGAACTTCGTGTCTGTTCTTATCGAAGTTGGCAAAAGCTCGTTTTTTTTTTTGTTAACCCAGTTAAGTTTATTTAGACATGCAAAAAACCATCCATGTAAAAAAATATCCAGTGACGTTTTTTTGCCAACTCTGATTTTTGTATTTTTTTTTTCTTTGTATGTTAGACCTAGCAAAAAGATACCAACAATATTGTAATGTGTTACAAAATATATAAAAAAAACCATCATATCAATCGAGCGAGTTGATGTGCAATCAAACGAGTGGGAACGAATATTCAAAACGATTTGTTCAAGAATCGTCAAACTCATAATTTGTACCTGAAAAAACTCCCTTGAACATAACAACCCTTATGCGTGTATTGTTGTGTCGGCGTTTTGTTTTGTTAGCAAAAATATATATTTTATATTATTATAGTAAAATATAACTCGGCCAGCTCGATCATGTTTTTAATTGAAACAACGTACAAAAAGTACTATGTAATTTTTGTTTTGTTGTATTATTTGTATTTAATATTTATCATATTCGTTCTCACGCGGTGTAAAATGTGAATATTTCAATAATTTTTCAATTATCGTTTTACATTCATCTTTAGTGTATCCGTGTCGACCCGTGAATTAGTTGACCATTTATTTATGTTTTATTCCTTTTTATATTTCCGACGGTTTTGTCAAAAGCAACATTAAATTATTGTTACGGCAACCGTTAATCGGTGTTTTCTATAAACTTTTTACTTTATAAACTATTTTGACGGTTGATCCATATGCATTTTGTTATATATATATATTTTTTTTTCAATGAATTTACCTATCATTAAATTCTAAGCGTAGTTGGTTTGTAACAATTTTAAATTAATTAAATGAGACTTGTGGTAAACTTTTTCATTTCATGTAATTCTACCTATAGATTTTGATAAAATGTTTTCTATTCCGTGTTTGGTACTTTTTGTAAAATTAACTATTTTATTACCTATCATTGTATTACTATTGTCTATTCATTTTTTTTTACCTTTTTAAATACAATTTCTTTTTTATATAGTTTTCTTCAACCTATTGTAATGCGTTTGTGGTAATAGTTGACATATATTTTATTATTATTATTATGAAAAAATTAGCGTTGAACGTCAAATATTTTTGTATTACTAATCAAATTTATTATTATTATATCACATAGGATGATAATTGTATTATAGTTAGAAAGAAATCCCTACCGACTTTATAGATATTTTTTAACGTTTGAACTGATTTAGCGTTGTTATCATAAATAATTATCGAATCAATGTGATTGTATGTACATTTGGTAATTTATAAATATATATTTAGAGTTGACATATGTTTGATTATAATTGCAGTGGAGTAAACTTAAATATGATAAAATATGTTTTACCCAATTTTTAAATAAACGAATGCCCATGAAAAATGAATACTATCAGTTTTTTTTTTTTTTTTTAATTTATTCAAGTGTCTACAGTTGAGAATATATTCTTCCTCTTGTCTTCAATTTATTTATCCATTAGATGTATTTAACCATATGCAATAAAAAAAAAAACAGCAAAATTTAACCATTTATTATTATTTATCCGTTAGTTAAACCAAGTCGGCTTTGTGTAAACCAGATGGATGCTTCAATGGAAAACGTATGGGAGAAACTCGGTAGACCAAAGTATGTGTTGGCTCCGATGGTCGAGCAGAGCGAGTTGGCTTGGCGAATGCTGGCTCGTAAGCACGGTGCCCAACTGTGCTACGCTCCGATGTTGCACAGTCAAAATTTTGTCCAAGACAGAAAATACCGCCGAGAATTTTTCACTACTTGTCCCGAAGACCGACCGCTGATCGTTCAGGTATGTTTCACATTTTATCGGCATTATTTGTAAGAAGCGACAATACATCACCATTATTCACTGCGTTCAGTTTTGTGGAAATGATCCGCAAACACTGTTGAAAGCTGGCAAACTCTTAGAGGACAGCTGTGATGCCGTCGACTTGAATTTGGGATGTCCACAGGCAATAGCGAAGCGAGGGTTCTACGGATCATTCCTTCAGGATGAATGGAAGCTTATACACGAAATAGGTGAGTCACTCTTATTATATTATAAGTAACACTAAATCGATGTTCTAAATAATAACATTATCTCAACAGTGAAAACGTTGCGACAAAACCTTAGCGTACCGGTGACTTGCAAAATACGTATATTTGATGATGTGTCCAAAACAGTGGCATACGCCAAAATGTTAGAAGAAGCCGGTTGCCAAATGTTATCCGTTCACGGTCGAATCCGGGAACAAAAAGGTCGGCTGACAGGATTGGCTGATTGGAGTCAAATAAAAGCCGTCAAGTACGTTCGATCGTTAAATGATTGTAATAGACGAATTTTTAACTGTCGTGTTATGTCGCAGAGAAAACGTTAATATTCCCGTGTTGGCCAACGGTAACATACTCACCGGCAACGACGTACACAGGTGTTTGTACGAAACTATGTGCGAAGGTGTAATGTCTGCCGAAGGACATCTGCACAATCCTTACATTTTCGAAAACCAAACGCCCCCCATTTGGGAACCGGCACTCGAGTACTTGGACTTGAGCCAGCAATATCCTTGTCCACTGTCCAACACTCGAGGCCATCTGTTCAAACTGTGTTACCACGTGTATGTGACTACGAATAACACAAACGTTATACTTTGATGGAACAATGAGCGCATCAAAATAATTAATGCATAGTTGGATTTTAGATTTTGTTTACCGGAAAACGAAAGCATAAGAGAAATTTTGGCCAAAGGGCAGACGCGTGACGAATTCAGACGGGCCATCAATCTGTTAAAAGACAAATATTTACCTTTTCATACAGGAGTTTTGCCGTGGGACAACGTCCAGAATGGTAAACTGTGTTGGTTTTTTAACATACCCCTTATTACTTTTAGTATACTAATTTTTTTTTTTGACGTTCTTAGATTACAACTTAGTTTTTCCTCCTTGGTTGTGTCAGCCGTATCTCAGGGCGATACCGCCGAGTCGTGTGGACACCACGGAAGTCGATGTAGAATCAAATAATTTACTAGCTAATGAAAAAGAAGTGAGTTTAGAGTACTCAAAACCATATACTTAAGCGTATTTATTTGATATTTAAAACGTGATTTGATTTTGTAGAATTTAAAACGGACTAACGAAGAAGACATCACTGAAGAATTGCAAATGTCAAAGAAAAAAATGAAGAAATTGAATAAAATCAAAAACAAATCCAGTAGTTCGCAACGCGGGTTCGAAGAGCTCTGTTCAAATTGCAAAAATCCAAAGGTATAATTATTTGTCATACGATTAAAATACCCACTAGCTTATCTACAGACATTTGGTTTTAACTATAAAAATATTTTTCTTACATCTTGTACTGAAATTTACTTTAAACATTTGTTAACATTTTTTTAAATTTTTTTAATGTGCTTTTATAATTTGTTAACATTATTTTCAGGGATTAAAATGTGAATACAATTTTTGCAAGAAGTGTTGTCGAGACAAATGTTATTTAGAAGTGGCTGATTGTTTGGGTCATCGTATATTAGTGAAAACGAACAAAAATGTTGTAAGACACAAAAAAGAAGGTGCTTATTATAATGGCGATTTAAAAATATTTGTTCGGACAGCGATAAAAAAATGTTTTTATTTGTTTTTCCTAGATAAAGAAAAATTAGAATGTAAACAGATTTGCACCGAAGTCAGTTGAAACGCTAAACAGATTTACATTTTATTATCGTCCAAAGGCAAGATACAGTATTACATATATTATCAAAAACTATGGACAGCATAACTTTTTATCTACTCGAACTCGTTACATTACATTTCAGTTGTTACTTATCTAATATTTTATATTAATAATTACATAACAAAGTATATTGACAAATAATAGTTTGCCGTAAATGTGTGAATTTACTTTTGAAACAATTGAAAATGTTGTATGGAATAAAAGTAACTTGGTGGGAATTATTAATTCTAGACAAGTCGTGTAATGTTGACTATTTTATGTTAAAAAAATATGTATAAACTATAAATATTGTTATAAATTGTAATGTTATTTGAATAATATAATAAAAACAGAATAATATGTAGTTGTTTTAATTTTCCTAAAATCCAATTCAAATTTAATTTGCCCGAAAAAATTCTTACCAAGCTTATAATCCAAACGGTTTTGTGAAAATTTAAAAAGTTGAAAATCTGAAAGTTGTTGTTACTACTTCTTTTTTTTAAATGAAAGCTCAATAAAAGTTTTTTTTATATATCATTTTTATATCAAAATCCATATCATACAATTTGACAAAAATTCGGATTTTAAATCAGAAAAGGCATTTATGTGAAAATTTTTTTGAAATGACCTTTTTCCCTTTATCTAAAATTTATTTAAATTAAAAAAAATGTATTCGAAGTCTTTGTTTATTTATAAAGCCATAGATATTTAATTTTTATACATAAAAATATTAATTGCGAAGTCCAAAACCAAAATTCCGATGAGTAATTATTTTGCCGTCACTGCTGTAAAATCTATATAATAAATCCAATATATTATCAGTAAATTCCGTTGATTGTCTAGCCTATTTCCAAAAGTTTAATTATTTACCAAAAAACTAATATTGATAATTGAATTTTAAAGTTTTGTGATAATTTTATATTGCCTTCATTCATATTGGTCTTGTGTAAAGTCTCCTAAATTCATATTTTTCTGCTATAAGTGCCTACACTAATCTAAATGTAGCTTTACTTACAAAACTTATTACCTCCAATTGGATTTGAAGGGAATTTTCTAAGGTAAGTATGCATTGTACACGCTTAATATCCATTTTGTCAAAAATATATTATCTACATTAAACATGCTGTTAACATATTACCTTTTTTCTATAATATAATTAAAGTCAATCATTTAATATCAAATTTTATCAAACGAAAATAGGTAATATTATTGTTTACCTTTCGATTTTGACTGCAGCTACTTATAATAATTGTTTTTTTTTTTGGAAATAACCTAATTGGAAATTCTCCTAAAACTAATCACACGAAGACAGTTTTTTTTAAATAATATTTTCGTTCGGTTTAGTATAGTTTTTTTACTTGAATCGATTAAAAAAAATATAGAGAAATTTCGGAAAAAAAATACGCGTTACACCTATTTATATATTAGACCTACAGTGTATTTTAAAATTAAGATAATTGGTAGATCGGAAGAAAATTTGAAGAATTGTATGTCGGTTAGGTATTTCACCTCAAGATGGCGCCTCTAAAACATAAAAACGATTCGATTTGCAACGAAACGGCTTATCACAAAACCACTGTTATCTCGGTAAGCGTTTTGGTTTTATAATTATTTTGTTTCCTTGTTCCGCAAAATTCCATCTCGCTTTCTGTCTAATTAAGTGTTTGTTTTGATTTTTCTCTTATCAACGATATTATTCGTCTTCGCTTATAATAATAATATTATTATCGTTATTGTCCGTCTACAGTGGTTATTATTATTGGTTTTTTTTCTTGGAGTGCTTTTTGAAAACGCACATCCAATTTTTGAGTCGCTGTCGAAAACCATGTAAACTGCGCCGATATTTCGGTAATTATGTCGCATTGTCGTTAGCAACGCGATAATAGTACTATTGCACGATCCTTATCTGTTTTACCAGTGACACTAATTTGCACATAACGCGATTTGTAAACATACAAGGAAAAAAAAATACATATGTTTCCTTTTGTGTCCACAGTTGCTTAAACACTTTGTTGCGGTCCAAATTGTCGATTTTCGGTAAATGTTTTTTACTGTTACACTTTAACTTTGTTAAGATTAAAAAAAAAAAAAACCACCAATGGATTTTATTTTTGATATTCCATTGTTCTATAACGATTATTGAAGTTTTTTCGAGGTTCTACTAGGTGTATTGTATTGTTTTTTTTTTAGAATATCAAGAAATATGGAAGAACAAACCCTAATGCGAGACCTCATGGAATTAGCCATGCGATTGCGCCAAGAGAGGCTTTTCACCCAGTACGAGTTGAACAATTTGCAGACTCTAAACGAACAGGTGATTGGTGATTAATAATGTGTTAAAAAAAGAAATAATTATAAATACTACTGTTGGACACACTAGGTGACAAGCGTGTCGCATAGACTGGCGCAAGAAGCGTGGATAACATCTCAGCAGCGGATAAACCTAAACAGGTTGGTGGTGTCCAATCCGGATTGTACGCCAGCAGATTGTTGCGAGTTAGCTCATCGTTTGGACGAAGCACAATTCATTGAATCACACGAAGCTCTTGGATACGAGGTAACAAAATGAATATAATTTTTTTATATTTTAATGTTACTGGAAATACTATTTGTTAAACATCATAGAATGCACAAACATTTGGAATGCTTGTTCAAAAACTACGCGTGAACTCTAAACTGTTGGCGTATTGTTTAACTGCCGGAGACCGACTGCTGTCCAGTAAAATGCCAGAAGTGGTAAATTGTATTTTGTCAGGCGTATTCGGGTCATGTTTAATGGCTGAAGACAATGTGTTAATTTTGAAGTTGCTAAGGCACTTGGCCGTACTACAATTGATTCCGGCCGATAACCCTCACAGGTATGTTCTTTTAATAAAACGACAATTTGTCAACATTGTTCAATACATATCATACGTTTGTAGGATTTTAAGTCACGGCTCATGTGCTTTCTCAAGATTGTATTCGGCGTTTCATGGAAGTTTGTTTTCTGCAAAATTATTCTTAACCGCTGCATTTTATGAACCCATAATGCAATTGCTTAAGGACGATGAAAAGTTCCTTGATATCGATCCAGACAAAGCTCGACTGAGGTTGGTTATCTTCTTTAATTATAGTATGGTTTACATTCTATATAACATACTTTTAAATTTTAGATTTTCTCATCTAAGGACGTGCAGCCGAGAGAGTCCGGATTACAGCATAAAGCTTCAGAATTATAGAAAAACATCAGTCGAACAACTAGTGGCTATAGCTTCTAAGTTCATTAATAGTCTCAATGAGAACTTATACTGTTTTCCGAGCTCTGTGTGTTGGCTTGTCCGTCAAATACACATGTTATTATCAGCAGGAAGTACTTTAAGCGAAAAACAAGTAATAAATTATTATTTTAAAAGAATTATTACTTATAGAACAATATTTATAAATTCTTTTTTTTTTTTTAAAGATTTATAGTATATGCGTAAATCTAGTGTTTACATATTTTATTTGTCCGGCAATCGTAAACCCTGAACCACATGGTATCACGGACGCTGATATTACTCAAACAGCACGCTATAATCTTATTCAAGTAGCAAACATAATTCAAATTTTGGCAATGTGCAAGTACGAGCAAATTGACAATAAAGTACAAGACTTGTATCAGCATTTCAACAAGGACTGCGTCTCCAGTATAATGGACGCATTGTTGAAAACTTCATTTAGAAACTCGCTCAATGACGATAATTTGACTGTTAATTCTAATTTTAAACTGGAAAACCTCATCAGATCAGTCGCTTTATTTACCGAAGAGGAATTGCAAACATTTGTAAGAATTTGTTTTATTGAACAGAATGGAACGATCTTTGAAATTCATTTCTTCTTTTTCACTGAACGAACTCTTGTACATGTTCTTAAGCAAATTATAAAAACATGTTCATTTTTTTGTCAAATGTGAAGTATTTTTGGTTTGTTTATTCTCAGGAAAATAATATATTAATATTTTAAGTATACTTGTTTTTTTACTTAATTAATTAGTATTATTTTTATAAAAAATAAAAACAAATTGAAAGCGTCCCAAGTTCATACTTAAGTAAATATTTCAAGCTCTGATTATTTGTGTAACAATTGTAATTTTTTATTCCTATTGTTGTTAAGGTTAATTTTTTGAATGTCGTTTCCAATGATGGGATGCTAAGTGAAACTGATAAGAAAGAATTAGCCGATATGCTGGTTAACATGCCGATCATGTGGCCGGACAACAATTCAAATGATAAGTTTCAATTACCACTTGAACAAAAAAGACTTGGCATCCTCAGTAAAACGGGTAACCCATTAAAGCTACCGTAGTTTGAGCATATATGTATAATTATTGTTTTTATTTTAGCTGCTTCATCTCTAGGAAAAGTCTTACCAAATTCCAATATTTTAAATTTTTCCAATGCCGAAGGAGACGTCAATGACGAAGAAAAAAGCAAAAAAGTTCTTATAATTCCATTTGAAAGTTCTTTCAACGCAACCATTGGAATGTTACCAGAACACAAAGTATTAGAAAATGAAAAAACAAACTCTGAAGTAGATGATGAACAAAATAAATCATATGAGAGTACAAAAAAGAAAGAAAAACCTTTACATTCAGTCTCTCATGAAGGATCTATTGGTAATTTTTTAAATATACAAAAAAACTATGTATTCGATGTACAGAACTATTTGTGTTAATAGTCGATCCGGGAAACGCCAGTGACTATCTAGAAGCTGTGTCAGAGGCTGCGTCCAATCATAGTGTTCCGTCATCAGTAGAACTCGATCAAGACCAAAATGATAACCTATCGGATATGGTGTCAGCTAATGTATCAGGACGAGGCACCCCGAATATATCAGGTAAACGCTAGAATACAACATGTCGGCTCTCTTATTATGTTTACGTTACGGTACATTTTAATTAAATGTATTATTATAGGCCGAGATACGCCTTCTTCGCAAGTAACAGAAAACGAAGACGTAGCTAATGGTGTTCTGATACCGACAGCTCGTATTAATGCAGCAGCAAAACAATGTAAATTTGATCTGGATGACAAATTTGGCAAATTTGAAATTAAGTCTAAGATGCAAGGTAGATAAATAACAGTATTTTAATATTGATTTTAATATGAGTTATAAGCAATTTAATTTGTTAGGGATAGGACGCGACGAAACTACGTCCTCAATGGTTTCCGATACATGGAGTATGGACGTTTTAGCCAGTGATAACGAAATACTCGATCAATCTGAGCGATCTCAAGTCAATGTCCAACCTCCTCTTCAGCCTCCTCCTGTTAATCAACAAGTAATAAACCACAATTAACCGTAAGACATGTACAGTTATCGTTTTTCAATGAGCAATTGTTTAGATTTTGGACATCAACGAGACAGCATCAGAAGCCTGGAGTACGGATGTATTTGCTTCGGATACTGATAGATTGGCTGAAGTAGATACCGATGATACCGCAAGTGTAGCACGGTAAATTATCAACAGTTTTGTATTATGGACTAAGCATAAGAAATAAATTAGATCGTATAATTTCTAGGTCTGATGATATGTTAAGGTATGAACTAGAAAACCGTGGCGATATGGAAGGAATGGACTATCAATATCGTAAGTGTAACTTTCTTCATTTGTTAACTGCTTGTCAATTAATTAATTTTCTATTGCAGCCCAAACTGTATTCAGGCCAATATTAGAAGTACAACAGGAAGGCGCGTTGCGATCCGAAAACGCGGCTTTGTCGTTCCACAGTCGAGTACAAAGGCGTAAAGTGTCCGACAGCAGTGGCGAATCCAACGTTTACAAATTGATCAGTTCTCCTGACGATACGTCCATCAACAGAAATGAGTCTGGATTGATTACTTCTAGATCAGCTTTTTCTGTGGTTTCTAGTGGACAAGCGGCGTCTGGGATAGGACCAAAACTATCTCACAGATCACATCCTTCGTCTAGTCAAGAGGTAACTCAATCTTTTATAACACATTTAAGCTTTGGTGCAAATCAAGAGGAGGGAAAGGTTTTTCTGATATTATTTATAAAAAAAATTTTCACACCTCATTTGTTTACTTAAGGCTTCTGTCGACGACGGCGACGCAAATATCGGCTTGCATATGAGTTCGTGCAGTTTAGCGTCAACGAGTAGTAGCAGTGGCAGCAGCTTGGGCGCCAAACCCAAACCCATAATGAACGGATCAGTAGTCACAATTAAAACCAATATAAACATGGTACCGATTCACCCTAAAATAGGCAATGGCAGCGGAGGTCTAATAACAAAAAGTATTAGTTTTGATAAAACCGCCGAACGCGGCGATAGAGACCTGTATGACGACGATAACAAAAACAAAAAAGGCTTTTTCAAAAACTTCAAAATTTCATTCAAAAACCGACGTGGAAAATGGTATCGAAACGACGAGTTAGGGTAATTTTAAAATGTTATAACAATGTTGAGTCAATTGTTAGAATTGTTAAATGTCACTATTAACCTATTTTAGTTACGATGCAATTCAAGGCTGCAGTGGTGGGACAAGTGGCAATGAGTCATTACTCAGCAATAATATTTCGGAGACTTCATCGTTGAATGGTTAGTTTTAAGGGTACAATTGAGACATCATATCGTTCTTATATAATTTCACTACACATATACCTATTGTTGTCTATTGTTTGACAGAAACATCTGAAGACATTTTGGCAAAATACCGAAAAAAGCCAAACACGGTAATTACGCCCGAAAAAAATCTCAACGAAAAGTCTGGCAATGCCACAAATGAAGATGACACTATGGCGGACATGAACAAAAGTATTGATTCTGAAACATCTTTATTTGATGACGCCAAAAAGAAATTGCGTTTAGTTCTTAGCACAATCGACATTCAATATGTTCCCTGGTGCAACGAAACTGAATCCAAACCCATGGTAACAAAAAAATGCTCATCTTATTGTATAATCTGATTTTAGTAGTAATTTAAGTATTGTATTGTATTTTCGTTTCAGTTGAATACTTGGCGTGATAAAGACAACGAGCTCGTAGGCTTACTTCAATACCAATTAGCTGAAGCCACAAATCTGAATGATCACTTTTTAGCCGCGAGACTCCACGAAACCATTAGATGCACAAAGATGTTTGATACGCATGGGTACGTTTATTTTTATACAAAAAAGGCTAGCTTAGTGGGGGGGGGGGGACAGGGAGGACACAAATTTTCGGTAATTGTTATAACTGAATTATCGCTACATGAGTTACAAATTCAATTTGTACAAAAACAATATTGAAATTAGGAAGGCAATTTTTTTTTTACATTTGACTGACCTATGTCAATATAACAGTTCAGCAAACAAACCCTTCTAGAATATAAAAATCATTGAAATCTTTTGGAAATAACTTAATACAATTTTTAGTCATCTATAAATTGAAGTACAAACAGATGGTTAAAGTTGTTTGTGTTTTGATTAAAAAACATAGGTTAACATAACAATTAATAAATAAGTCATATAAATAAAATAAAAAAAATTGTATAATTTTAAAAAACACAATAGTGATTAAGTGAACCACATTTGTTAAATTTCTAACCTATAGACTTGCTGTCGTAGGTTCTACAACAAAATATATCTTTATCCACTTGGAAGCTTAAAAATAGTCATCTCTATTTATAACATCTGTTATATTATTAATGTATGTATTTTTTTTATTATTCCAATCAAACAGTTGTCAGAAATTGCTGAGTGCTTTAAAAGAAGATTATAAATCAAGAGCGCCGTACATCACCTATTTGGTGAGATGTAGGAAAACGCTGTTGACTAGTATTGCACAACTAAACAGGTTAGTTTTATATTTAGCTCACAATCGGATATCGTTACCAAGATGATATTTGACATTATAAAATTTGTTCAGACTTTTGGAGCAGATCAAATGCGAAAGAGATGTGTGCAGTCAGTTTTTGGTAACCAAATGTGTGCAAATCTATTTGGAACAGAACGAGCCATGTGTGTCGGAATTTACAGTAGAATTTGAGCAACGTAAATTGGCTGACGAGAAAAACCAACTTTTGAATAAATTTTTATCAACGCTCGAAGCTGGCATGAAACGAAGCAGTATTTGGAAATGTATAGTAAAAAAATTATCATTTAAATATTTTCCCGACGTGTGCGTTATTTTATTTTGCCTCTAGGCGCCAGTTACGATCAATTGGATGATGCAAAATTAGCAATCGAACGAGCGATTATCACTAGAGTGTACACATTGGCTATGTATCCGAATGGCGATGCAGACTTTTATAGAGACCAGTGAGTGACATATTACTATTATCGTTATATTTTAAATACATATATATTTTTTTTTTTTGTTTAATTCAGAGTTTTGCACGAACACATGTCGAACATGTCCAAGAACATATTACCCACTCATATTCCAAAAGTATGTTGGGTCGCCGTTTCGGAGGGAATATATTAACTCTTACAAGCTTTTACTTGCAGGTATTTCATTATGAATGTCCTTGGCCGTCAGCCCAAGCAGAGATATCAGCGATTTCGGCGTATAAAACGCCAAAGGACAAATTACAATGCATTTTTCGGTGCACCACAACGCTTTTGAACTTGATGTCTATAGCCGGCGAACACGGCAACACTCATCCGGCGGCCGACGATATCATGCCTGTGCTCGTATATGTTCTGATTAAAGTATGACTCGTGTTATAGTGGTTTTACTTTTTTCCACATTGTCATTTTTCGATGTTTAGTTACCGTTTTTGTTCTTTACAGGCTAATCCTCCGTCGTTATTGTCGACTGTTCAGTATATAAATAGTTTTTATGGCGATCGATTAGAAGGAGAAGAGCAATACTGGTGGATCCAATTTTGTGCCGCTATCGAATTTATCAAAACGATGAACTAAAAAAAAAAGTAATAAGTGATAACGAAAATTGGTGTTTTTTTTTGTTGTTTAAATTCACAATCCATACGTATACAACATTTAAAATATTTTTGAACATAATGGTTTATTCTAATTTTATAATTTATTATTATATTATTTCATGATGTTCGTCGATAATAATTTGATTGGTGTTGTTTGTTATTGCAATGTGTATCCATTTAAATTTTACCTGAAATGTCTTTTTTTCATTTCATATTTTACCTGTCGAAGAATTTATGTTGTTTTACTTTTTTTTCCATTTTGATTTATTTATGGTAATTTTGATTTTTTTTTTTCACGATCTAAGTCACTTCTATTTTTAATCATGAAATATTTATGTGTTTCGGCCGACGTACCGATTATTATATATCTGTATAATATTAATATTATAATGTATGTAGTCGTATACTTTACCCTTTGCTCTTTTAACTTTTCTGTAATTTTATTTAACGAATTTCAACATATTATATTATTATTATTGTATACAAAAATTTTATTTGTTTGTATAAAAAAAAGTATTTTTTTTATTATTATACATTTTAGTTAGTATTATAATTATTAATTATATTATATAGTACTTATTCAAAAAAATTACAACGTAGCTATATTAGTAATTAATAATATTTTTTTATTTCCTAATCTTCAGACTTAATAATTACCTGTACCTACCTAATATTAGCCATAAAATCATTTCCCATAACTGTTTCTAAGCGAGTACAAACAAAATTCGAAATTGATACTGGAAATTACACACTAATCAAACAAGTATTAGTTTTTTTGTATTTATTGTATCTAGTTTCACTTGATCACTTTTTCGTTTGGACATCGGCTGTGTTACATCCTAAAATTTAAAAAGATTCTTCCGCATTATTCATTGAGACAAATTTTTGTAATTTATTGTATATTTTATTAGTGGACGATTAAAAATAACTTCCCTAGTATATTTTCAGAAAGTTCTAATGTAATTTAATTAATTTTTTTTCTTATTAATCTAGCCAATAAAATATAAATAACAATCGCATTGTAAATAGTAAGTGATAAATGAAATGAGGTAGGTTTGAAAATACTTTTAAAAAAAATGTTGGACGTGGTTTTATAAATGGTTATTATGAATTAATTAACAGGCTGTTGGAAGTAAAAGAGACTTTAAATTATATGGTATGTGAGACAATCGAAAATCGCTTACAATGGTTAATTTACATTGCCATATTAATTATTGTCGGCGTTTTGATGACATTTAATTGAATGCAAATGAATGTGCGTTCGAGTCATTACTACGATTAATATTATTATTACACTTTTGATTTACAACTTTTATGTTGTATATTATATTTGTATAGCTTTGACAGGACGCCATTGAAGTTATAAATAAAAACTACCTTAAAAAAAAACCTGGTTCACCAAAAATTTTTAAAAATTGATTTTTCTTAGCGATACCATTTAAGTTTATCTACACGTAATATTTTTTTCTTTATTTAATCTTCTTTTTTCTTTTCATTTTTTTTAGTAGTTTTTGTTTTTGAGCCTACATATTTAAAAGTACCATTTTTTTTATATTTCAAGTTAACTTTATAAATATTACGACGAAATCCCACATTATGATTAATTACTTATATTATGTAGTTTTCTTAGTTAAATAAATTAAAAATTATAATTTCAAATAATTTTGAGTTGTTAGAACTTAGATAGATGTATTTTTTTTTTTTGTATGGTAATACCTAATTATAAATGTATTTAACAGGTATTTAATTAGTTAATTTGTTTTTAATTTTGTAGTAAATGTAATATTGATTGACTTGAAAATAAACAAAATGTAGTTATTATTATTGAATTATTTCAATAGGTATACAGGGTGATTCTTTTATCATGAACCAGTCAATATCTCACTGGGTTTAATTAATAATTGAATTTTTTTTTAAATATTTTTATGAAACGTGATCTCAATTTTTCACAATTTTTTTGTTTTTACCCCCTCCCAACTTAGTTTTTTTGATAGCAACTTTTGAAACTTAAATAGTAACGTACATATTTTATTAACTTTTTAAATTGAAAATAATGGACTAAAAATTTTGACTGGTCGATAACCAGTTTCGAATAACTATTTTTGAAGTTATTGAAGTTTCAAGTTTAGGGCAAGTGAAAAGGTGGAGTGTATTTTTATTTTTATCTGCACGCATTTCTCAACCGCACTTCCCCTCCCATCCTAAAAACAAGCTTAAACTTTTACAAGTATTTAAACGTCATAATTAGTAGATAAACAGGCGTTATCACGTAAATAGGTATTTGGAATATTTTATAATTTAATTAAAATAGAAAACAATTGAGTAGGTACCTAGGTATTCATATTTTTTTATCATGTTTAATTATCAAGTATTATTAGGTTTAGATGTGTTCTGTTTACTCAACTGGGAATTCCAGAATATATTTTTTACAGTGATTTAATACTTCTAATCGCGTCATTAAATGTTCTACACGTTATTATTAAAATAATTATTTGACTGCGACAAGAAAATCATTCTCTTTAAACGCGTAGGCGCTCCAAGTCGTGTAAGACATCATTTATATAAAGTAAAATTTATTATTATTTATTAATCACTTTTTCTTTCTTGGATATTATATACATATATTGTATTGTTTATTGCAATTTTTTGAAACTTTTTGGCGCTGATGAATATTTATTTATACAGCGCTATAATACAGTTCTACATACTATATTAAGTATTAACATTTAAATACAATGCCAAACAATAAAACATAACAATGAAGACTGGAGTCTATTCAATTTTTTTTTTTTAATTATGTCTAGGAAAAAAACTATTTTAATATAAATGTAAAATCGTGTTTATTGGTTCAAATTTATTGTGATATTTGCTAGTAAAATTCCATCACACCTTACTGACTAATATTGACGTCATAGAAAAAATTATTTAAAAAAAAGTAATTTTTTTTGTTGCAAATATTAAATTTTATTTAAAAATCTAATCTCTACAAAATTTAACACAAAATAAAACAAAAGGCCTATTTTCAAAACGTAGAAAGTACAAAACTTTTGTACCTTGTATTTTTTTTAATGAATCAATGAAGTATACTTAATATCGAATGACAAAACATTTTAATTATACCTATGTAGTAGCAATTCGAAAACAAGGTCGGAAAATTGCTGATGATACCTATGAATAGGTTTTTATAATTGCATGTTTACCGCTCGTTAATACAATTGAGTTGGTAAATAGCAATTATTTTCAGAGGGGAAGTTTGCTTGTTATTATCTAATAATATATTATTGCATAAATATTTCACACGGCTCAAAAGTTCTTGTCTGTACGCTACACAATCAAATTTTTAACGTTTAAAGGTACACGTTATTCATTCTCAATTAAATACTTAAGTGTTTAAGGCAATTTTATCATGATATACCTATTGAATATGCTATGCGATTCGAAAAAATATATAATTTTTAAATCCTTGAAATAAATAATAGGTACCTACTTCGAAAAGTGTGGAGAAAATGACCTCTTCACCATTTATCTGTGTACGTATGATAAATACATGAAAAAATTACTTTGGCAAAAAATAAAAAATAATTTAAATAACAATAGTTGTCGGTCAAAACTCAAAATAATATTACAATAGACAATCGATTTCCGAGAAAATCTACTTCTGAGGTCATCGGCTTACGTAGCCGATAAATTAGTTTATTCATATACCAATACCGTGGTAATAGTGGTAGGTGTAATATGGTACCTAAATATTACCTTGCCGTTTATAATTTTATGTGTGTGACGGGCGACTAATCTGGATTGCCAAAGTGCAAACGATTAGCAGCAAATTACACGTTTTATTTTCTTACAAGCATAACATCTAGCGCGTTTCCTATAATTATTATTGTACTATATATCGACCTTGAACTTATTCATGAAAATCATTCCTACAGTATATGATTTCGGCGGCCGCGAATGTATTTTTTTAAACTATTGGTAAGTCATGTTTCATTCATTATTATATTATGATAATATACAACATTTTTTTTTTTCACTCGTGTTCAGCGATAAACATGCATGTGTTTAAAGTAATCTTAGTTTTTAAAAATGGTTCCAAGCCGTTGTTTCCATTGCGGTCACACATGCGAGAGCAATAGTCCCATTATTATAATAAACGCGGACACCGCATGGAAAACATTAGAATATATTCATAAAATATATTATAAAATTAAACTTAGTAGGCGTTTTACTTCGAAGAGTGTACAATAATATTAAACGTTTAGCGTACGGCAACAAAATAATATTTATTTTTGTTTTGTTTTTACAGCCATAGTTACCTATCAACGTGCATGATAGGTGTTATACTCTTGTTCTTCGATCAACTGTAAAACGCTAGCAGTGCATAAATCTACCATATCAATGATCAACCCACTGGACGACGAATGATACAAATGATTATCTTTTATTTTCCAATATTTGTAAAAATAACACTTGTTTAAGTTATGTATTGTTATGCAGTATCCTAACGAACTGTACGTTTTGTAAATAGTTCTTGTTCAAAACCGCATTTAGCACTAAGTTTAGATGACTTTAAGTCAGGAAAACTTAAGGAATAATAAAAAAATAATAATACTTTTGTTAAGTTATTTATGACATGCTATACATTTTTTAAAAAATGTATAGCACACCTTTATTTTATATTTTAAAAAGGTTTTAATTTTTAAGCTAATTTTTTTTTTTGTTATTTTGAAGGGTAAGGGATACATTTTTTCATTTTAGTCCTCATAGAGTACTTTTCAAGTACTGTTGCTAATCTGTAGACTTGTGACATGAAAAAATCGGTATAGTGGTACATAAAAAATAAACAAAAACATCGTTGTTTCTCAGCTCCGCATAGAAGCTAAAATAAGTTTGTTGAACCGATAAAAATGTCCACGAAACAATATATTTGGTTAAAAAGTGTACCACAGAAAAAAACCCATTCCCTAGTGACTTCTTATAACTGTTATCACTTCCATGTGCTTGATGACTGAATAATATGATGCTTATACATATGATTTTTGATAGTGTACTGTAGTCTTTATTTTGATTGTTAGTTTTTATATGAACTCCACTTGAAGTTTATGTTACGCAGTTAAAATTTTAATTGTTGTTCTTGGTTTTGTTTAAGTGAGTTATTAGTTAAACATATGTGTGATGTATATGTAAATATACTTACAAATATTACTATCTGCGCCAGTGTATAATTATAGAAATCTACTGTTGTAGCTATCAAACATATTTTCAATAGTTGCTAGCTGTATGTTTAAATAATCTTTAAATGTGCGCTTTTAAGCACCCTCAACAAGTTAAGTATTTGAAGTTGTTTTACGTCTACGATTTTCATTTACACTAATTTTAATGAAGTGTACATACATAATGAATCATAATTACTATTACATTGCATTTATCATAGTTTATTATAAGGCAAACGAGTTGTACGGTCTACATAGACAA